CATTCTACTTGAGTCATATTTTGACCTTGTCAATCTATTTGCTTATCAGTCTTGACTGTTTTTTATATGAGTGTACATGTGTGTACACTTCATATCCCATGTCTCATCACATGTATGTAGTTTATTTTGTCTGCCTATAAATATTGAGTAACGCCTGTCTGAAAAAAAATTGGCTTACCAGCCATCTCCCCTGCGCGGCATTTTGCTTTGTTCTATCACATTCACTTTATATTCAAAATAAATGTATTCAAAGGCCATTCCCGTTAATTGACTTATCTAAATTCAGTTATTGACTAACCTAATTTGGGTCGATAATTGTATACGAGGATAGGTGATAACGAACATTCGTACGATCTAAATGGAGTCAGATCCATGGGCCACTAAATCATCTACTAACCTCCGTTTCCACGTGTCGGTGATAGATTATGAAATTGTAGCAGGTCTTTACCAATAGTTAGCGTAGAAACATCTGCAACAACGGAAATCTAGTGAGCGTCTTTGAGTAGACCTGTAGAGGCATTGGGCCTTAACCACATAATCCTCAAAGCTGAACACGAAACAACTGGGAAAATAGACATTCAACGTTTAACGCGGAGAAAAATCCAACGATGGAGAAGGCGGGAACAGTAGATTGACTTAGTTGGAATTAATTGGATGGCATGGCTCAGCCTTGTAGGCGTGGTCACTCTTGAGTGTTGCCATATATCTTATTCATATTAAATATATTGTTCTGTCTCCTGTGCAAGCTCGTTCTACATCATATATTGGTGGTTGTTACGATGCGGAAAGTTGGTGTAGACTATAATGTGATCTTGTAGATTAGACAGTTGCATCATGACAAATCTACAATTTTGGGATTAAGTCTATCATTACAGTACTATTAATATCGAAGTAGACTATCATTCTGCAAACCCACGTTAAGATAAACATATCGTTTACTGTATATGGCAATCGGCTTTTCATATGCTGTCTGTAACTTGGAAACTAGTTCATGCAGACAGCTGTTATGACAACAACGCCACCTTTCGCTCCAGTGTCAACGATTTAGCTAACTTTTGTCATCACATCAGTGATAGACAACAGATATCTGTGGTTGCCGGCTACGGTTACCGTTGACGCGTATCGGCAGGGAACTTTCTCGAAAACGTTTTCGTGTGGGACGGTTTGAAGCCCGGGAAACTGTGATGTCTTTGCGATTTCTAGAGGACTTACCATATCTGTTGTGGTTCACCACCGATCTGGATTATCTGCCTACCGTGGTATTGAGACAGACTTTTTTCGTGAAGAACTCCTTAGAGCAGTTTTGGTAGCTTCTTCGATTATGAAGAATACTAAGATGACGAGTCAGAGTTTGGCATAGGTCTGTGACGTCATTTTGTGTGGTTTGAGACTGTTTTTTACAGAATAAACCTCGGCGTTTGCGGTTATGCTAATCTCAAGAATCCAATCGGCAGGTACGTTCGGTTTGTACACGGCATCATTTTGAGATGAGACAAGAACCACCTACGCCTGTTGGAGAAGCTTAGACAAGATCTGTTTTAACAAGCTCTCGCCAAAGGTTCGTTGATCATTGATCTCTGGTATACGTAGCAACTTTTCTATTGTTGAACTGTGTTGCAAATCGATGTTGTAGAATAGCTAGTCGGTTAGATCTCCACCTTTAAGGATAACCTTCTTTAAAGTGTCGTAAGAAGCATCACTAGTAAACATACTAGGCATTACGTGCCTGTCAAGAGCACGGGAGATTATACGCGTGGGCGTATCATGCTGTGCTCAGGCAAGCCAGCTTCGGTGTAGCGGAATCAAGCTCCCATACTGTCGGGCCAGAATGTCATGAGCTGAAATGTGGGAGGCGAAAGTGTCTTAATCTGTAATAACTAAGGTCCTTTTTCCGTCACGATGAAGATATAATATATCAATCAACGGGAAAAGATGTCCGAAAATATGAAAACAGTATCACGATGTGTAAAAATAAACATTAAAAAATTGTTATGTATTATTCCGATAGTCTGGGTATGAATGTGCTCTCAGTCGTGTAAATGAATAACCGTTACCATGACTACATTACTCGTTGTATACTTGCAGCTGTACTGATGATTGCAATGAATAATATTTCGAGCAAGTTCTTACTGCCTCATTAATTTATATCTATTCCTCTTTGTATGAGTCGCAAACTGTATGAATGGAATTAACGTATCAGAAACAAGCTCTTATCTGTCGCCTTTTTATACGCTGCATTAATTAATGCAGATCTCGTTAACGAGATCTGTCAACAAAAGATACTTGAGATAAGTGACGTTTTCTATCCCATAATTATTGACTTAAGATGGTGAAATAGCATACAATATCAGCTAAGCCCCCTTACCTTCATTTCCTGCCGTCCTAAAGTAAATACACAAGTTTCCTCACACCGGCATTTCATTCACTTCCTCCAAATCTCTTTTGTATCTGTGATATGCAGGATATAATGTTTTGTAAACGGTGTCATTCGATGTAACTGACTCAACCACTTCATTATTTCTACAATGAAGTAACGAACAACAAAAATAATAAAAACTCGTTTGTAGTAGTTCTTCGTCACGACTTGTTTTAAGAAATCCTAATGTTTCAACTATTATGAAACGTTCTCTTCAATATCTTTGTTTGTTTATACTGCTGTGTTTTGGCACTCATTTACTATTTGGATAAATTCTCGCTTAGTTTTTGGATTCTCGTTATCTATTATGTTCTTGTTGGCACTTTCTTAATAATGAGAATATTAGATAATAGGTAATCTTTTTCATCAGCATTTTTTATCAATATTTCCAGGTAATATACGTCTAGTTTCAAAGTATTCATCACGGTGAATTAACTGCAGTTAATAAAAACTTGCTAGTAGTCATCATCAATTATAACTGTAGTGTCCACTTCGTACAGCATTCGTTTAAATCAGATTGCTTGACACCTACTAGTATATTACTGCTAGCACGTCATTATACTATAGTACTTCTTAACTTTCTGGATCATTAAACATCACGTCGTAGGAATGCCAAAAATCTTTTTTCAATCAAATTAACTCAAACGCACAACAAATATGTCTTAATGAGGCAAATTTTAGTTGCGTTTCACACTTCGGTGGTTTCTTACAGAAATATCTTGCCTTATAATTTTTTCGTGACCCAGTTCCGATTAATCTCTAAAAAGTACACCAAATACTTGGTATGTCTTCAGTCTTCAGTAATAAGGATACTAGGTTGGTGAACCTGTGTTAACCCTGACAGACTGCCTTCCAGTGAACGTTCAGCTTCTTGTAGATATTCACTGATGGATCTGATACCACTTGTTCGTGTACGGTGTTTCAGTCATGTACGTTAACCTTTGTCCCGGCACTTATTAAATACAACGATGAACAAACCATCGTATATATATATGTTAATTTGGTGTTATTTTACACAATTCTAGCTTTGACAAACTTCAGGAAAATTTATCTTGGTTTTTTTTCTGAATGCATATCCATGGTTGAATCACTACCCGTAGGTCTGTTCTTAAAATTCTTGCTAGATCTACTGACAACAGTCCAAGAGTGAGTAAGTGTTTCTGCTACCACTCAATTTGTTGATTTGAGGATCTGGATTTCAGACTCAGACACTTCAACTACAATCTGTCACTACGAGTACGCATAAAAATGTGGTTTGTTTCGCGCTAGTTTAAGAGTGCTAATTGTAGGTCATATTCCTGAATTCATCTCATAATCAAGACCTTTTTCAAAGAATTTTTCCGCGTTAGGAGGAGTAGCGAAATCATGGTGATAAGTAACTCGCTCCTCTTGGGTTTAAATTTTCGTTGGAAAATGTCTGTTTCAAATGAATATGTCTGACTTCTACCACTCACTCTTCTGAATTAGTGGTTAAGGCACCTAACTTTTGTTCCGAACCCCCACTTACTTTAGTTCTGACAGCCTGTCAATATCACTTACTATCATTTCAAAGTGTCTGAAAGTTGAGTGAATATATATGTACTGAATAAAACCGGTGTACACTTCTGCTCATTTTACAACAGGCTACTTGTCCTTTTGTCAGTGAGTTCCGTAAAAAGTTATTCCACTTTCTTCTAGGCTAGTCTGTATTACACCTGTGGTTCCTCGTTTCAGAACTATTATTTCTTTACTTTTGTGATGGTAGTGTTAGGTCCTTACCTGCTTCGGTTTGGGCACCCGAGCAGTATCACAGCCCTCACACATATCGAATGAGATTTGTGTGGCGCATATGTATTTGGTGCCTCCTTGTACCAATATCTATGTGTTAAAATAAATAAATAAATTGTTGCTAGGCTCCTTATTTGAGCAATACGACCATAACTTTAAAGGAGATCTTTTTATATTTAATAATTGGATAGACTTGATAGGAATAAATTTTTAAAACAGATAATAGTGAAATCAGAGCACTTAAGCTTTTCTGTAGCAATATGTCACTTTCCAACATGAGCTATCACGTTTATCGAATGTTTTCAATTATTTTACTTTTTCTTTTTAAAAATTAAATACGTTACAATCCTTATATTGCTGTACGTAATCTTTGAATCACTTTACTGGTTATCATCCTGAAAAACATCTTACAGTACTTCATTTATTCTACTATTGAAAATCAAAGCAGTAATTTCAATTGCATGTAGACACTTTCGTTCAACCTCATGTACGTTCAACAATGCGGATGTGGTTTTGATTTCACAGCACAAGTCTTGTGGTATCATCACTCTTAACCGCCCAAAAGTTCACAACTCCCTGAATCTTGAAATGTTAGGAATTATTCATTCCAAATTAAAAGACTGGAATCACGATCCATCGGTAATCGTCTAATTTTTCTTTATGTCAGGTCTCACTTGTTGTTATAGAAGGTTCTGGTGAGAAGGCATTCTGCGCTGGTGGTGATGTACGTTTTATTGCATCTGCTGTCCAAAAAAGAAGTTTTGCTGCTCAAGAATTCTTTCGTAAAGAGTATTAATTAAATCATCTTATTGGGGTAATGACCAAACCATATATTGCTATTTTGAATGGAATCACAATGGGTGGTGGTGCAGGAATATCAGTACATGGAAGGTAAAATTTTTTACTAGCCATGTTTCCACAACTATATGTTTTACTCGTGTATATTTCTTGTTTTATGATCACTACTTACTTATCTAGATACAAAGTTGGAGACAATGGATAACACTATCCGAAATCGATCACAATATTGTAAATTTCATCATTCTTTATCTCAGTATTATTCAATACCTTTTGTGCCTCTTTTACTCGTTCCTATTAAACTCTGACTTGTGTTCGACATTTTACTGTGGTTTACATTATTCTTCTCACCCCTTGAAATAAATATGATGATTAGGTGTCATATATGATTGGTGAATATCAGCTTTGTGGGTCACTCCCTCTCAATCAATTTAAAACTATAAGTTAGGGTTCAATTTATCTCTATGCCAGAGAAGCCTCTAGAATTTTTTGACTTTTATGATGTCATTTCTATCCAAGCTTTTGACATTTTGCTTGTAGAATATGTACTCACGATTGTCTAAATGCATAGACATAACCTAAAATATATTCTAACGTCTGATAGTTAATTTGCTTTTATAGGAGGAACTACAGTGAACAAAATGGACTCTTTCATCTTTGTCCGTATGAAAAGTAATCAGCCATGAAACGTTGCATGGTATCTCTTATACCACAAGGTATATACAGTTATGGCCACAAATTCAACCAGGAAAATGTCGGAATAATGGATAAAGGAAACCCAAAGAAAGTTAGAGAACTTTTAGATGACACAGCATTAGCCAGGGAATTGGTTGATTATCAATATCAAATGTGGTATTTTAAATTGAGTGAATCGACAAGTCTAATTACATTCATTATTTTTGCGTAAGCTCTGAACATCGTATTGTTTCGCACTTTTTATTCTCTTTCATATCTTGTTTGTCGTTTCGTTTAATTGTTTAGTAGTTTTGGTTTTTTTATTTTTATTTATTTATTTTTCTCTTGGCGTTTATGTAAAGAATGCCAGCCTAAGCTGATAGGTATTTATGTCAGGTTCGACTTACGATTGAAAATCTGAGGAAATGCCTTTTTTCAAATAGTCTCGTTTCCGTTTAAAGTGGGACCCTGATAGCCCATTCTAAATAGATTTTTTAAAGGTTAGAAGGTTAATTTATTTTCGCACATTATGCAGATCCTTTTAGTTACTTATACTCATTAAACGAATAAGTAAATTGAGTTACTAATCATTGAGACAATCTTATAGCATTGTTACTTCTTTACTTTTAATTCCATCTATTCTATTTATTTGATTTTACTTATTGTTTGCCAATCCTGTCGACTTTAATATTTTTTAGATATCGTATAGCTACGGAAAAAACAGTTTTTGCTATGCCTGAAACAATGATTGGTCTTTTTCCTGATGTTGGTGGTGGCTATTTTCTACCACGACTTCCTCATCCAGGACTTGGTTTATTTTTAGCACTAACTGGATATAAGTTATCTAGTATGAATACTGTATGGGCCGGTATTGCTACACATTTTATTCATTCTAAAGATGTTAGTTGATGGTTTAATCTTTTCATATTGTTTTAATTATTAGTTTTGAAAACATAATGTATTTGTTGTCTGAGTCTTTGATTAACATTTCATGTTAATGAGATATATATAATTTTTTTGGAAAAGCCAAAAACAGCCACTACTTTTTCCAAAACTAGTGATCTAACAGCTACTCACTGCAGTATGTTATGAATTGAGTGGATTTGGAAACTGCGAATCAATAAATTCTGTCTTAGTGGCTAAGTGCTACCGTGCTCGTGACAAGCACTGAATCTATGGTTTTTCGTACTATCTTATGATCGCGTCTTTCCAGTAGGGTGCGAGTATTCAGTTCTCTCTCATTTCCAATGGTTTTTGATCAAATGTTCATTAAGCATTTATAACCTACTAATAAAGGCTATCTGATTAGAAGCAGTAGCTTATAAAAATAGATGTGTTTTTTAATGGTAGTGACACTTCTAAAGATATAATAAACCATACTACCCTTTGACTTGCAAGTATCACCCATTTAAAATAAACTGGACATTTTTTAAAATTTATGCATGTACCCTGGGTGTTTTATAAGATTCTTTCGGAGAATAATTATAGTTGCATCCTACCAACTATTTCTAGAATATGTGACAAACTATCCACGATTTTCCAATTTTTGATAGTACAAGGAATGACTCGAATTCAGTATAAACTAAACCAAAGCTTTATTTTGCTCAGTAATATTCTGATAGATGAAATTTTTATCCATCATACTGTGATTTATGCTACTTATGTTGACACATATAAGTAGTATGTAACCAATCGAAAATTAAATGCCTGGCAACAGAAGATTGAGAAGATCAAATTGAAGAGAAGAAGAATGTAAACAGAGAGTGATTTTAATAACACCAGTAGCGAAGGAATGATGAATTTAGTAAAGGATGATTGATGGAAGATGTGCAAATAAAGTATTTAATATTTAGTTTTCAAATTTGTGAAGACAGTAATTTTACATTAAACTATAATTTGATCTTCCCCACCAAATCTTCGGTCACTACATTACTATTAACTGACCATGGTAAGAATTGTGCTCTGATTTTCCTACTACTTACCATATAGTTGTGTGTTGTTTTTACTACATCCCCTACGATGGAAAAAATTGTCTTGTTTGAGCGAGAAACATGACAACACTTATAAACTTACTAGTATTCGTGTTTACTTCTGTCCGGAAGAATTCAAGCTTTACTATTTTCTTATTACTGTCGAAAGGTACAGACGTAGTTTCTGATTCATACATAAGTACTATCACATACCAAACACCATCTACTGTATAAAGGTAACAAAAACAGCTTTTTGCCGATGAACATACGTGTGCGAACCCATAGGTCCATTTCAAGAGATATGGTGCATCCTACTCAATCTTTATTGCTGTTTGTGGGTCATATTACACGTTTAAAAATTATTCACAGAAAGCCTCATGTCAACTTGTCACAAATCCTTAAATGCAGTAATGTAAAATATATCTTCTGGATTGTCAGCTAATAAGTTGCTTGTGTGCACAACCTGACCCTATAAGAAATTATTTGACTTACGAATTAGCTTTCTAGGTTATATATACAAAGTTGAACAACGTGTTTTCAAAGCTGTACTAGTAGCGTCAAGCAACAAACTACATCTAAGCGATACTGAATAAGTTAAACACGATGTCTCGATTTTCCGGTATCTTTTAGTGAGTAAACATTTATTTACAAAAAATTACTAGTCATTGTTTTTATACACTATTCGTTTTTTTTATAGTTATCAAACTTCAAAAATGTACTAATGAATCTTGAATTAAAATCTACATATAGTCCAGATGATAAACCAGAATTTGATTATGCTATTGACAAAGTAATAAATCAATTTAGTAGTAATGTGCCTAGTTATTACCATTCTTCAGTATCAAATGATCTCCTATATATTTTAGACGATTTGTCAAAAATATTTTGCTTTTATAAGAATAATGATGATGGCGGTGATCATGAGATTCCAGTCACTATGGAAGATATCCTTATAAAATTATCTAAATGTTATCAGAATATAGAAAATCATGAGAAAGTCATTCATTGGGCTAAAGAAACTTATGACAAATTATTGAGTTGTTCACCTACTTCATTAAAAGTATGGTTTCATTTTTCATTCTATCTTGTCTATTTATGTTTGGGTTATTTATATTTGATTTGTTTAATATTTCTTTAGGAGAAGTCATAGTGTATCAAATAGATAGATGGTTAGTTAATCTTTGACCGTTAATTTTGGGGTTTGTTTATAAATGGTAGACATCATGGTATTCTTGTGAAAGAAAAATATAGTGATATGGTGTTAAATCTATATTACGATGAACTCATTCGCTATTTAGATTTCTCTTCCAATCTGTAACATCCTTCTATTTCTAGACCTTAACTTTTATGTTTGTCTTTACTATCATTCACTTGAGTTTAATGAGAATATTGACACATGATATCTATAGTTCTTTCAAAGAGTTCTTTGCAAGTACAGTTATATTAAACAATACTATAGAGTTATTTGAAATAACCAGGCATTATACTGTTTTTTTTTTCAAATAAAAATCCGTGCTTACAACTGACCTCAAATAATATCATTACCAAGGTTTTTCATGATAGATCCAAATAATCGAAGCATTAGTAGGTTGAAATAAATATAAATTTATCATATCCAATCAGTAGAAAATCTGATTTCTAATGTTTCGTATCTTATTGTAAGTCGCGCCAAAGAATTGAATTTATGTCAGTTTAAACAAAACAAATTGATAGCTATACTTTTCTTTATATTGAGTGCAGTAGTGTTTTCCAGTATATCGAAAGCTTCAGTCACTAGATTTTCTTTAAAGTTAAAAAAAAAAAACTTTTCAAGTTATTTTGATAGTATTTATGTCCTATTGATGATTATTGAAAATTGCATGTACTGCTATTTCTTATTTGATTTGTAGATTTTCAATCTCTGTAGGATTATTAGGTCGTTTTATGTGTCTTACATGTTCCTCGGTACAAGTCATGGCTTCACGAGGTAACTTTTCGACACAGAAACCAAAATCAATGCATTCTGTTATGTAGACATATCTTTGTGTCAAAATCAAATGAATGTTTTTCTTTTAATCAAACTAACGCATTTCGTAAAACGTTGGTTGTTTTAGAGAATGCTTTAGTTTAGTGTAATTTATGGATTCATTGTGATTCTTTAGTTCTACCGTGGTGGCATATTAGACTATGCCAAGTATATATATGGTACATGCAGTATATTAAACCCTTGGAATCCAACACTGACTAAATCACTTTTTCTAATATGTATGTTTCTGATACTTAACTTGAGATACTAAGGATTACAAACTTACCTTATTTATGTATCTTGATTTAATTGTTTCTTTACAACAAATCCTTAGTTATTAATATCATCATGTTGTCACTAACAATTTTGATTTTTAAGGTCACTTTACGTCAATTACAGATTGGTTCTAAATTATCGTTTAGTGATGAATTTAAAATGGAATATCGCCTATCACAGAAAATGATTAAAAATCCTGATTTCTATGAAGGTGTTCGTGCTTGTCTTATTGATAAAGATAACACACCAAAATGGAATCCAAATAATCTTACCTCAGTAGATATGAATCAAATTCAATCATATTTCAATCAACTACCGGAAAATGATGAATGGAGACCTGAATAGTTTCTTCTAATCTATTCTGCATTGTTGCTATAACGGTTGTCTTTTTTTTTGAAATAAAAATGTACGTGTTTACAACTTTTTCATCAACCTTAGAAATAAGAATAATTGGCTTTCTGTTTAAGGAAGACTTTCAGTGAATACCAGATTTAAATTCTAGATTTAACTCTCCTTGTTACTTACATTTCGCATTCGTTATGCCCCCAAATGTCCTGGTACGACCGAGAGTGAGGAGAGTCTGCTCGCCCTCTCCAAATGCTCTCACATGGTCACGCGTATATAGCCTCTGCCAGGAAAGTCCTACTCACTGCCATCTCGCAACACGGGTGTTGTTTACTAAATTTAGAGGATGAAAAGCGAATGTCCGAAGCTTTAACCGGGTTGATGGACACACAGAATCCACCTAGGGGAGTTGGAAAACCCTGATTTCAAATCAATGGTGCACATGGTCTCCAGTATCCTGAAACAACAAATGGCGTATGCGCCAATCGTTGTTGACCAACTGCCATGGGACTGCATCTCCTTGCGATGCTCCACTGCCTTGTGGATCAGACATTCAGGTCGAAGGCCCTGGGTGTGGCCCACTAAGAAAACTACATGCTTCGGTTTTGGCACTCAGGTAGTATCACAGCCCTCACACATATCAAATGAGATTTGTGTGGCGCATATTTATTCGGTGCCCCCTTGTACCAGTATCTATTTGTTAAAATAAATAAAAAAAAACTCTCTTGAGATCAGAATAAAAGTGCATCTCAAGCTACGTTGTCATTAAATAACATTCAAATGACTTGCAGTTGAAAATTTGTTATTAAATTGATTTCGTTGTATTATAAGGAGTATTTAAATCTGTATTAATCAAAGGGAAAAATAGAAAAAAAATCATAAAGACAGTTTCTGTTTTTCTGTAGACAGTTCTGGACTTACCTGAAAACTATTAAAGTTATCTACTCTTATCAGAGTTGCATTTGAAAGCCCTGCATGAAAGATGTATTTTGCAATATTGTCCTTGTATCTATACTCACATCAGTGGTAAATACTTGATTAGGCCTTGTATACATTACCTCATTGCTTAAGTAAAAATAGTTTACGGGACATAACCCATTTTTATTTTTTTTAACCTTGTGGTATTGAATAATTTGTTTAAGCATTGCAAATAAAATTAGGCTAAAACTAAAATTACAAGGAAAGTTTTTTCAGAGTAAATGTTCCTATAAATCTTGTGTGTTTACTCGAAGAAAATGTGTATTTAATTGATACACTTATGTTCATACTGACAGATATCAATCATACATTCATATTGTGATTGCTATTACTGCGTAACAACTCAATGTTTATGATCACTATAGTACATCATTGCTTCATGTGATCGTGTTAAAGCATCTGGTAATGTAGTACCTGCAATCCAATCTAATTGACGTTGTAGTGCTCCAGTATATTTAACATTCGGTGAGCCAGTTTTTAAATTAGATTTAGCAAGTGGACCATAAACTTCACAAAAATAACGGCGACATTCTAAACCTGTTCGAGTTGTATAGAAGTGTGGAACATATTGATGGTCTGTAGGTGGTTGGTATAATTCACTAATTTGTTCTTTTTAAAAGGATAAACACAAGAGAAATGGAATATTAGAATATCAGCAATAGTAGTTTACTAGTTTTTAAGATAAACAAAAAGATAGTCATATTACTTTTAACACTTGTTTTAGAAAGTATTTATCGAATGTATTGAAGTCTACCAATTTGTTGTTTCTCTCTATAAACTGAAGTTTATCAAGACTAACGATGGTATATAAAGTGCGGGTTTCATCTTGTATAGGAATTCTCACGTACCGGCATCATAATGTTAATGCATACATGTGTCTCTTGCTTCAAATGCTATAATGTTATCGACCACTGGTTCGGAAAAAGCAGCCCTGAATATTAACAATTAAAAAATTCGAACCTTTACAACTGCTAATAGTCACACATTACTAAACGTTTTGTTGATTTTAAATCTATCCATCCTATGGAAATCGTTCCCGTGTTTATCGTCAACTTGTCTAAATCAACAGTGAACAATTCTGATAATTGAAATAACTGGGTTAAGTGGGCGTCATTTATAATAGCTTGGTAGTAGTTTGCTTCCTTTGTTCTTTCTTTCTTTTGCCTGGTGAATATTTAGTCATTATTTAATCAGCATTGATGGATCGGAAGTGCCACCAAGTTGTACTTAAACTAGCTAAGGAGTCATAGGATTGAGTGACTTTCGTACACAAATGAGTAAGTTAAATAGCTACATATTTTACTTGACGCTGTCTCAGTTCTAAAGTTTATCACGTTTCTAAACATGTATTTTAAAAATACCATACAGTGACGCACGTTGTTCATTATTCAAGTGAGTAATAGTGTTTATATATATAACTTGAGGCCTTCGTTTTTTGTTCATGATTAACCACTTGCTGTGCGATAAACGATTTATTCTGGTTGGATTTTGTACATAATATGACACATTTATTTCGTAGACATAAAAACATACATATAATCAATTATTCATCCAGTGTCAGAAAACTTGATTTGGTCAATATTTACCTAATCTCGTTACCTCAGTTTTATATTGATAATTCGACTTTTCAACAGTAATTTAATAAAATACCAGTTACACGATAAGTATTTTGAATTCACGATATTGCAAATCGATTGTCGTTTGATATATACACTACTGGTTGTCGGTTTGAACGCTAAACGTTCAAAAGAGGGAGAAAAAGTCTTAAGTGTTGGGTCGTTGATGTGGGCCACTAAAGAGTCCTATTCCGAGACACAGCTATCCACCTGTGGAACCCTGGTTTATTCTTACTCCACAGAGAATAGAGTAAGATTAGGAATATAAACGCAGAGAACACCAATTTAATCACACGTGATGGAAAAACGCTGAAAGATGCGGCATCATCGATGAGCAAGGAGGATCTGATGCAGATGTGAAGGCAAGAATTGATAAAGCAAGAATGGCATTCCTATAGTTGAAGAACATATGAAACTCAGTATAACTAACAGTCAACATCAATATCAAAACATCTAGTGAGAACGTTAAGACAGTTCTAATGTACGGAACTGGAAGTTGGGGAACTTCCGTAACCATCATCAAAAACTTGCAAGGTATTTATGAACAATTGCCTAGGCAGGATACTCAATGTACATTGGCTGCATACCATAAGTAACAGTCCACTATAGCAGAGAACAAACTGGAATGTACATCCCAGGAGAATTCGGGTAGAAAGCCTATGTCCTTCACAAGAGGTAACAAACGTAAGTGATGTTACATCTACTATTTACAGTAGTGTTGAAAAGTTTCATATTACTCCCGATATCTAATTTCATTTATTTAACTACACAAATCAATAATATTGCCATAAACTTGTTTAGAATAAAAATTAATTTTGATTGAGATCATGAACCGATTGAAGTTAGACCACCACTGAAAACTTAGAAACACTGGATGGTTGTTTCGTCCTATTGTGGGACTCGTCAGCAGTGCGCATCCACGATCCCGCTCACGAGATTCGAACCCAGGACTAAAAGTATGGCACAATAATATTTAAATAATCTGATATATAATTAATTATAAAACATAGAATACTTCAATAAAATAGTTATATGAACATACGTTCTGTAAGATATTCTGTAAGATATAACTTTCATCTGTATTAATTGTACTTCTAGTCATTTTCAATGATTTCAAATAATGATCATCTTATCAACTAGTTTTTTTATTATTTGTTCTAAGAAAATGTATCAGTGCTAAGCAACGAAAAAATAATATTGATGTTTAAACCAATCAGAAATATTGTTAGTATGTTTAATGAAAATATTGGTAAAAAACATAATGTCAACCTTGAATGAACCAATCAGAATTAAGATGGTACCTCATAGAGTTTTGTTTTTTTTACCCGAAATCAAAAAATTTATTGTTAGATAACTTGTATATTTAATGAACTAAGTTGAAATTGGAGGTATTTAGTTTCTAAAATCATTGAAATTGATAATCAGTCAGTCAGTCAGTCAGCTACGATGTAGGACCAGGCACATTTATGCATCGGTCCAAGTTGCCATATCTCATTAACACAACAAGTTGAACACCGGATTCGTGAAAGTAGTCACTTCAATGGAAGTAATATATAAAAGAAAGATTGCTTATAAGGATATAGTACAAGAAGAAAGAATTGGTTCGTAGAAAGAAAGATATGAAGTGATTTTAATCTTATAGTTTAAGGGAAGACAGAGAGTGTATACACCGACGCCATTGTGATCGATTCTGAGCCATGTCACCAAGAGTCTCCAACCATTGGTTACGAAAGTCACGCTTACCCCAACCAAGTAGTCTGCATCTCCTAACATGGCTCAAACTAGAAGTTAGTGACTTCGAGCACTGATGCCACGTTTTGGTTTGGCCGCCCCTAACTAGTTCCAACCATCCTCAACATCGGTTAGCATTTCACGTCGCGGTAATCGGTGTTTGGGCATACGTAACACGTGGCCCAACCATCTCAGTCGATGAAGATTCACAACCTAATCGACTGATTTACCATCATTCGCTAATACCCTGCGTCTAACATCACTATTACTTACCCGATGATCCCAGGAGATGTTGGCAATATTACTAAGGCATCTGTGGTAAAATACTGGTAGCTTACGACCCGACCGTTGTTGCTACCTTAACGTGGTAGTCGGGCTTGCCTATCGTGATGAAGCAACCGAGCTATACTGGCTAAAACAACCGTTCCTCAAGGTCCTACCATGTCAGACAGGTCGGTTGAAGAACGGTATGACTAAAAGCATCAAACCCAAGGTCCGAAGGCGAAGTCGTACTGCTAACTGTACAGAGGTGTGACAACAGTAAGGTGTTTCATTCAGACAACCAGCATGACGGTGACGCTGCCTTCCCATCATGAGGGGTGGGGTTAGAAAATGTCGACCCTAGAAATGCACACCTCGCCTTATCCCACGGATATCCGTGTCTGACAGTAAGGTCTCAACAAGTACGGAGCTAGCACAAAAATTACCCATAAAAAGATCGTGTGTGATCGACCTCAAGCAGTTATCTCGTGGGCACTGCGGTAACGCTCTCAGGTCACTAAGACCTCACCTAATCCAGCTACCTCTTCAGGTACCTCCAGAAGAAATCTTCCACGGTGTGGGCAACCGGGGGGTGAAAACCGCCCTCATCTCTAACAGCACTCAAGACCACTGAAATTGATAATAAATATCTATTGCACAACGAAACAGAATATGGTATAGTGCTTGAGCTAAACTAAAAGAAATACTTGCTCCTGAGGTAGGTTTTTTGTTGGAATATTCGATATGAATCAGTAAATATTCAAGGCTGTTTATATAGTTAAGTAATATTCTTCTAACTTTCTCAATTTTATCAACAAAAGGGTAGCGAAATTTCATTGTACCATATCTGATATCTGTCATTGATGTAAACTCTAACCCTAATTCGTAATTCAAACTTATAACTTGAACTCAACCTCGAAGTCCTAATCAAAGTCTTCTATATTTTAGTTGATATCTGTTTATAACTTAAACTATTGAATTAAAACCCTAATTCACAACACTAACACGATTCCTAAAATATAAACTTTTCTTTTGATTCAATATATAAGGGTTAATTAGTCATATTGTACTATAATTGTTTGATAACTAAACTGCTTTTTAACTGGCTAATAAGTCGCTCAAGGTCTCCAGTATAGTTTACTTTTGGCAAATTTTCTTATAAAATTACCACATGTTTCATTTATTATCAAGTACATACGAGTAATAAGTTCATTATGCTATGATACAGTAAAAATATGTTCAAATTAAATCATTTCATTATTACTGCACCGAATTTAATGATCAAACTTATCTTTTTGATATCAGAATCTTCGTTTATACGATTTCTTAATTGTTGTCTCATTATGTCACTTTATCAATCAACAGATGAGTTTTCTGAAAATTGCTTGGGAAACTATAAGAAATCTTGTGATTTACACCAAAGACTGAACACAAAAATAATAATCCTTGATATCCGGAAAGCGCTGGATAGCTGTTTTGTTCTAATATGGGCCCCCTCATAGTACGAATTTATGACCACATTAGGAGCTCGTCTCTGAGTCTTCAGATATCGTGTGAAGCGCTTAACTCCTGAACACTGACCCTGCATTAAACGGTCTACATGTCTAACTTCAATCAATTCCCTAAATAAAAAATACTTACATGAGTATTTACGATATGATTATTCCATCGAATTACAAATTGGTGTTCTTTTTGCAATGCTGGTCTATCAACCATGATTTCGGTTGGTAATTTTTTATTCTTGTTCTGCCATTGTCTGTACATTTACTTTGTCTTTCCCCTTGAATTGATCTTTGACTTTATAATTCCTTATAATTTTTTTGATTGGTTAAGAAATAAGATCTATATCAATGTATTTTCACTGATTTTTGTCTGACCTGATTGAAAAATTTCTAAAAATTCTCTGATCTCTTTATTCTTTCTGTTCCCAGCCGCAGGTATGTTCATAAATGAAATGAGTGAAGAGACATTTTGGGTCATGATAATTAATTATGTCCTTGAAGACGAAGAGAGTAATAACTCTATCTGATGTAATATTTCTCAGTTTATCTTTTAGATGTTTGAATTTTCCACTTTTTGCAATTCTTCAATTGGTTTGCATACGATTGATGGAAGTGATTTTGCACTAGCTCAAAGAACGTAACTATCAAAAGTAATCTCTTGTACGTTAAATTTACACTACTTATATACAGAGAGATTCTTACTTACAACTTACTATTTACTCATTTTCTATGAAGGATCATAAAATATTCGAAGTTTACTGTAGCGCGACGTAGGGTTGTCAGCATTTCATAGGCTTATAGAACTCCCAAAAGACGTACATGTATATAATTACATGGCAACTTATTACAAAGGAGACAGAACTTAATACACTGATTGTAAAGTGATTATGCAATTATTATTTTTATTATCATGAGTACGAGTAGTATTAGTATTATAAAAGGTTCATTCAACGTTTAGTCATGTTAAACATTCGTGCGGATACTTACTGATTTTTGATGTTTTATTACACTAGTTAGTAAACAGATTTTAGATAAAAATTTCAAATTTTCTCATTGATTTATCTGAAAGGAACTTAGATGAATTTTACTGTATCGTGACTCAGGTATCAGACAATGAAGACCATCTGCTACAACTATGCTCAGATGACCATATGCTTCTAGCAAGTTTTGACTTTAAACATAAAGACAAACACTATCTGATATAGCCACCCCCATAATCGACTCAACTGTGGACTTGGATAGACCAAATTACCCTCAGCCACCGTTGGAGAGGCTCCGTAGAAGACTGACTCGTTCCAGAGCACATGTTTAGACTTTAGTCATTCTTTAGTACGAGCACGTACTTTCCTGCGTTTTCTTGGATGAAGAAAATTGACGGCGAGTAAACCCTTGATGTTAAGCCTAATGATGAAAATGTCAAGAATATATTTCAGGTACAACTAGAAAAAGAACTAGCCAACGTTTTAAGCGATATCCACCTCGAAATAGTCTGCCATGATATTCAAACAGCTGTGGAAACAACAGCGGTATCTACCAGTAACTTGAAACTAAAGGTTAAGAGACCAGTAAGCTCGAGCAATGTTTACTGAACTAATAGTTCCTTCGAAACTCATCCAATCTGGCTAAAAACACAACGAGTAGTGAAGGCAGCTTTGATGCTGGCTGATAAAATGCCTACCTAATGATCTTGAGTCGTGGTGGGTAGCGAAAGGAAAAATAATGGAAAAGACAGCGGCAGACTTTCCGGACTTATCTAGTAAGCCAATAATGGAAATCTGGCTGTTATTGAGACTATAGGAAAGTAATAGAGATACTATTCCCTCTCAATTCAGGGACAAGGTCAATTGTTTTTTCAAAGTGCTTCACGCACGATCGATATTTCCTGCTTTACACCAAACTACTTATTGTTATTCAGTAGTTTGAATTATATTTAGCCGTTTTATGATTGGCGTACATTGGAGTGGATTTTGACCTGTTGAACAAGTTATGCAATCAGTGAACAACCTCTGTTTAATATTTCATATTCTCTACTTCATGTTTTATTTTTATTATGTGTTACTATTCGGGACTTCAAGTATGAAATATGAACTTTACGTCATAGTACGTTAATCGCTTATATTCACGGCCCATTTTTCATGATAGTACATGCGGTGGTGAAGAATGTTTCCTAGTCATGCGACCCTCGTTAAGATTGTTTCTAAGGGCATTCCCTACACTGAAAACCATATGAATCCAAATGTACGAACCCTGCTCTCATTTCATCTTTCATAATAGTACCACATATTCTGACTTTTTTAATTGTTATCAGGTTAAAATTCTCGGTATAATAGGGTTTTTTTCATAATAAGAATGTCGTTAGTGATCATAACTTGTAGTACATGACTTTTTATCACGACTATCTACTATTACTATATCTTAGGTACATTGATTGTTAATCTATATCGATAAGAGTGAATCAACCAATAAACGCTCACCACTTAGGACTTATTTGGTATCAAGCTGATTATTATTCTAACCCGTTTTACTTAATTGCCAATCATGAAACTGCACCAATCATTATTTTAATACAACTTTATTTATTGATTCATTTTTTTGTCTCTTAACTAGTGTTTGATAGGCGTGTATTTATTGTTGTCGTTGTAATTGACTTTACTATTTTGTGTCTTTACACCAATTATATGAATTTACATTTTAGAAAAAAAACATTATAATTGTTGACGATATACATAGTTATCTTTTTTGACTATAGCCCTGCTAAGAATCTATAAGTAAAATATAGGGAATTATCTGGAATTAGATGGTGGTTGGAGGTAGTCGACAAGAAACCCTGGACCTGGGTTTCGTGCTACTTGGCACTCGTCAGCAAGGTGTGCCTGTAATCTTGAGGGAAGTGGTGCTCCCCGATGGATTCGATCTCGTGTCACCCAGCTTCACATTCGGAGACGTTACCACTGAGCTATCCGAGCCGCGACCGACCTCCTGTAGGACTGAGATGTAATCACAATTGAATGATCACTGGGTGGCGATCAGTGTCATGCGTGTCTAGTCCTTATTAGTGTAGACCGGATGCTATCGATCATGTTGATCGCAACCCAGTGATCAATCAATTGTGACTTATCTGAAATATCCGTCGACAGATTAATTAAATCCTACAACGATAAATTGCAACACCATACAAGAACAGTGCTTCAAAAGCATTGATACTCAAATATGTCTTCACTGATCCTAAACTTCCACTTTTACAATCATAAGTCAACATAAGCAAACAGATATCTCAAACCGTTGACGTAGACAGTAATAGTTTGACACTTAAGCTAAATGAGCATATTGGCATTGATGTTGAAATTTAGCCACTATAAAAAAAATCTACCAAGATAACAGAGAATTTCACATAAGAGCAGAACATTTTTGTTTAGATTGAATAATTAATTTACATGGTTAAGATCATGAGTCAATTGAAGCTAGACCACCACGGAAAACCTGGAAGCACTGGACGGCTTACCATGGTGATCTAGCTTCAAATGACTCATGATCTTAACCATTGAAATTACTATAATATCCACAAAACCCATCTGAAATTAATTTACATTTTAATACTGACAAAAGCTTAACAAATAGAAATGATTTTAAAAATGTAGATTTTTGCCTGGTCAATTCTCATTTTCTAATGGAATGTTACATAACAATAAAAATGTAAAAATTTCTGATTAATTAAAGAAATTATAAATAAAAATTAACTATTTAAAAAGTGTTCGAACGTGTGTGTATGTGTATGTGAGGTCGTATTCACATTAAAACAAATTAGAATACATAGTCAGAAAATGCGGGAATCCAAATTCATGAAAGAGGGATATGTAATAAAAGACGATATATATATATATATATATACCCATTATAAATTTACATTATTGTCTAATTGAATGATTGATAAAAAGCAACTCATAATACAAAAGGAAGAATTTATATAGGTATAATCGTGTTGCTACGGTATGCCTGCGTGTCTGTGTGTATGTATGTGGTAGTGGATTTCTGTAAAAGTTTATTCTTTGTATACACATATATTCATCATTTATTTTCTTCACAAATGGAGTACACAATAACGGATATTGAAATCTTCTGGCATATATAATATTATTAATAGTTATAAGAATTCAACAGTATAGTTACCATTTTGTTATGAACATATTCAACAAAGAAGGATATATATCTATAGGATAAATATTTATATATAAATTTATGTGTATAGATTAGCCAAATCGTTCTTTGACAATAGCTAAAGCATTTGTACTGATTGGATCAATTTCACGATATTCAATATGTTCATCATCTGGTTGATTAGCACTACTAGTAGCAGTAGTAGCAACAGTAGTCATATTACTAGTACCATTACAAGACATTAAAATTTTATTTGATTTTAGGAATACAGATGAATCCGACTGAGAAGATAGTAGAGGATTGATGTTAGTAAAAGTTGTAGTAGTGGTAGAACAAGAAGAAGACAAAGAATGAGGATGCATCCAAGACATAATTACCGTTTGTTGTAAACCATTTGTTGATAACTGTTTATTAAATAAATTCGAACAAACAGATGTTATAGCAGTATTAGATGAACCTGTAACATTGGATGAAATATCAGAATTTACTGTTGTTGTTGCTGTTGTTGCTAAGATAGGAAAAGCTGACGCAGTTTTTAATACTGATGTTGTTGTCAGTGTAGTTACACGAGATGACAACAAATTACCACCAGCATCAACACCATTACTATGTTCCTTCGGGCATTGAACAGTACGTAAATCCAAATTATATGGTTCAATATAATTTAAATGTGATATTTTATTAACAGAAATTCCAGATTTTGTAAGATTAATATTGGTGTTTGGCTTAAAAAGAAATTCATAAACGTTATATTAACATGCTGAAAAATGAATACAAATGAGTTGAACACAATTATCTCAACATAACACCCTTCTAATCTGATCGATATAAAAAATTCTTATTCTTGTAAGATCATTCAAGAATTCTTCGGAAAAAATGCATTCAGTAGTCAGTGTCAAGTGCTTAAAAGTACTTATGCCAATAAGTTTTTTTGTGTGGAAATTATTAAGAGATTCCTACAAAACAATTTGGTATATTTACCTTAATTTATGTGGAGAATTAACGAATCTGTTTGCCGATCTTGGTGTGTTTTTTTTCTGCAGAGCCTTCTGAAATTATGAGACCACGTATAATTGTATGGATATAATCATGATTTATATTAAACTTTGAAGCTAAAGCTTTTAAATTTATCGTCTATTATTCTTTATTTAAAGCAGAAGAGTAAACGACATTTATTGACCTTAAAGAGGTATGGAAATTAGTATCTAAGCATTTAAGTGGATGACATAGATAATTTACAAACTGCTATTTGTTGTTCTTATCCAGAACACCTCAATAAGACATATGATTACAATGCCCGAAGCACAGTTATGTTAAACCAATGAGTTGGAATCAAATAAAGCACGCAATTGTTTACTCATCTAAGAGCTACTCTCTACTGATAAATAATACTTTTAAGACTTTTAGTAGGATTCAGTAATTGTATTTGTTAGGTTATTATTGAGATGGTGGAGAAGATTTATAGCTCAGGTGAATGATTTTGGTGGAGTTTTGTTCTCTGAGCTGGATGGTTCGGTGGTGGAGCTTTCATCGTTCTTCTGAACGATATCATCAGCACAAACTTCAGACCTCTATCTAAAGTTTGTGCTGATGATGTCGTTCAGAAGAACGATGAAAGCTCCACCACCAAACCATCCAGCTCAGAGAACAAAACTCCATCAAAAATTAGGTTATTATTACTATTATTATGGTTTTTGATTGTTCTAAACTGCAATTTCCAATTGTTTCAAAGAAGAACAACGACGTGAAACAAAAAGAAAAGCAAAACCAAGCTGATAATCGAATTACGCATAAAAAAGAAACAAATGACTTATCAGATTAATGGTTCATCAAAGTTTATACATTTTAATTATCAAGGGTAAGAAAAAATAAATCCTCTTGATTACGTTTTCCGAAAGGTACTATAATTTGTTACTTAGTTTTTCAGAAGGAAAAAAAAACAAACATGCAAACAAATTTGACCAGTCTTTGTTGACATATATGCACTTTATGCGGGTTACTTCAATACATTCAGTAGGATAAAATTTATATAAAACAGAAGGACTATGACTAGCATGACACGCATTTTGTATTATTTAGGAGTCGTCAGTTACATGTGGCTTCATCATCACATCGGAATGAAATAGGCATCCTAGATCCCATTACAAGCCAAAGTCCTTTTATTCTAGAAAAAAGGGATTATGATATATGGTTATTCATTCTAAAATATCATATTGTAACTTTTCTCTGTCATTTTCAATACCAAAACAATGTGGATATTTGTCAACACAAAAGTATAGAATTTATAACTCGTCTACAAATTGTATAATTAGGAGTTAAAAGTCTCCATTAAGTACTTATATCAAGGCAAAAAAACAATAAGACAAGTATCTATGAGCTCAAGGTATATGACTTGGAAATAACTATGTTTTACACCAGGAGGAGACAATTGATTGAAAATGTGCTTTTAACTACTCAGTATTATTGAGTAGTATATATCGTGTAAAAATTTATGAGTACACGAAATTACAGCATTATTCATGTAATTCGTTTTTTAAGTACAGATTTGTGAACTTTCCTTTTGTGTCACACTTTTAGTGTTGGAGCTGATGATATGCATACACATAAAGAAGCTTAAAGCAAAATAAGAGGGGCGAGTTTCAAATGTATCTGTAGGTACGGCATATGCTTCACTCACACTAAGTGTAAAGTAACTTTACAAGACTACCTGCACTCACTTCTGGTAGTGAGCAGTTACAATCTGTTAACAAGTCTGTGCAGATGTGTAAGTGCTGGTGGTGACGTAAGTGACAAGGTCAATTTACGTATGGTGAAAACCAAAGCGCTTTACGCCAATCTTGGCGCCTTTGTAATGCTAATTTAGCTGTAAAAGGTCGGATCAACAACGCGTCAGTTGGGGGAGTTTCGCTCTATGCTTGTAAAACTTGGCCTCTCTGAGTTTAGCATATTCTCTATATTGGATCATTGTTGTCTCCGAAGGATTGCTGACATCCAGTGGTAACACCATGTTAGTAAAGCAGAGGTTCAGCATCGTTTGTTCGGGTACAGCTTCGGTAGTTAGACTGGTGTCACCATCTTGAAACACCGACTTTGGTGATTTGAACATTTACTATGAATGACTTCCCAGCGAATTCTGCAAAGTCCATTATATACCCACTCTAGGAGCGGTTGGATGGAGCGTAGAGGTGGTCAGTGCATGACATGGTGCCGTGGTACGAAAGAAAGCTGTACAGGACTGGCTTCTATTGATCCTTAACAACTCCCCCACGGGAGTTCCCGAGGTAGTGAAACGGTAGCTTGAAAGGTTACCAGATATGCTTCAGAATGGGGGGCTGTGGCAGTCCTGCTGTGACTTTCTTCTATTTTCTTCATATAAGTGAAAGAAGCTTCTATAACTGAAGGAATAGATCCTGGTTGTAGTTATTAACTGAACTGCTCTCCCTACTATTAATATTATTGTCACTTTTCTTTCACATACATTAATTTATTACACTCGCTTTTCTCTCTCTAACTCTTCATGAACTCATTTCCTTATTGTATAGCCCATGTACATTTTGGTGTCCCTTTATGCTAATGCTTATTTAAATTAATTAAAATAAACGATTGAACCTAGATAGTAGTACCTTACTGACAGTCATCTTTCCACTTCCCTACCTTTTACAAGTTTCGTTTTACTAACAAAAATTTGATTTTTGAATACTAACATAAAAACAGTCTGAACCAAACCATCATTAAAAAACTGGGAAGCCGTTTTGTTGTAGTATGGGACTCTTCATTAGCGCGACCATGCGCGCAGCGTTCAAACCCAAGACATTCGCTCTCATGCACAAACGTAAACCAGTTAGTATACACTTAGCAACATGGCTCAGTTCACTTGTCAGTGACTTCATGGATTTGTACCATGGTTTGGTCTGGCCGCCCTAGTTTTCTTCGAATCTACTCTTACACCATAAAACATCACACGTCGAGACAGTTGGTGGTTGAGCCTACGTAACACGTTTCCCAGCCATTTCAACTCAATGAATTAAAATATAAACAACCTGGCATTTAGGATTTTTTTTTCTTTAAATAATGTTGAAAGATTTGTTAAAAATGAAACACAATCCTTTTTCTATTGAATGTGATAATAAACTATAGTAATATGATACAATATTATAAAATAAAATACACATTAATAGATTGCATGTATAAATGGATTTAACAAAAAAAGGATAATTTTAAATAATGAACATTAGATTCATTCATTTCATGATGTTTTAGAATCAAAAATTGGAAGAATGATGCAGTGGTTAAACAAAAACATGGCATACATCTGTTAAAACATTGACTGTTAATAGATGTAGACTATCTGGTTACGGTCCGTTAGCAACCAGCAGTTGAAAATTCTGAGTAAAATGTTTGAGAAACGAACACGGTAGTGAACGTACATTTACTATTTATCAAACATACATACCTTCCCACCCTGAATTCGAATGATGTACTGATTGCATAGTATTTCCTATTTCATTGGTACTACATTACTTAGACACTTTTAAAATTTACCTTGTTAATTTCATCTCATTGTGCTTAATTGATAAAGCAGTTCAAGCTAACGCATACTAGTATTAGGCTCTATATTACGAGTGACTTACTACAATTTACTTATTTAAGCACATAAAAATTGGTACAAGGAGGCACCAAATCCCCTGGTACGGCCTAATATGTGGAAAGTCCAGTCTCACTCTTGAAATGCTCTCACATGGCCACGTATATACAGCCATTGTCAGAGAGGTCCTACTCATTGCCTTCTCGCAACACGGCTGTCGTTTACAAAATTGAGAGGATGAGAAGCGATTGTCAGTTGCATTAATCCCGCTGGTGTATATGGAGGATCCACCTAGGGGAATTAAAAAAACCCTGATCACGAACCAATGTTCCACACGGGCTCCAGTATCCTAAGGGTATAAATGGTGTGTGAACCTATTGTTGGTCACCGGCTATCATGAGACTGCATCTCCTGACATTGTTCCACTGACTTGTGGATCAGACCTTTAGGTCAAAGGTTCTGAATGTGGCTCCCTACGAAAACCAGTTGCTTCGGTTTTGGGCACCCGGGCAGTATCCCAGCCCTCACACAAATCGAATAACTTGTGTGGTACATATATATATATATTTGGTGACTCCTCGTACCAATGTTTAAGTGTTTAAATAAATAGATAATTGACTTACTAACGAAACAAGAGACACTCTAAAATAAGAGTTAATAACTTGATGACATTTTAAACTAGTAGAAATTCTTAAGGCAAAACAACAAATATGTACATACATAATGAGAATTTTCTAAATGGTTTAACTGTTTTATTAGTTAATAAGTCAGATAACAGTCGAACAAAATAGTCAGTTGAATAACTTTATGTTATTTAGTAAGTAGAGATTTCAATGGTAATAATAAGTAAGTCATATTATCATAATCATGGTGTTGATCTGCTTTTTATCATTATATACCAGTTAGTCATAATAACTTGGTAATAATGACAATGTTGTTAGTGTAAAGTGTTCTTTAGATTGTTGAATTTAAGGTTTTTATATCGTGCACTGGATTATAAGCATTAAGAACCAGGAAACATTGAGCAGATATTACATACTATAATGAGATTGCTCAGCAGTGTAGATTTAATTATCCTATCAGGTATTGAAACTAGGAACTTGAGGTTTGGCAGTGAGTGTTTTAACCTTTATACTACTGAGTTACTATGGTTTACAATTCCAACCAGTTTATTCCCTATATATATAGTAGGGATAAACATCGCTGATTAATCTAAGACAATCATCTCAGTGCTATTTTACTTCATAATGCGAAATTTCCCTTCAGTCAGAAGTATTTAGCCAGTTCTTATATCAAGTTATTTGAACAGTTTTTCAATCAATGATGATGGATGAATAAAAAGAGACAAATATCATATCGATGAAAATATATAAATACTTACTTGAATTTTATCGATTACATTTATGTTACAATGATGATCTACTGATTGTATTCTATTCTCTTTATTGTCTTCGTTGATCTCCTTATCTATCATATTGTGATTTCGATCCAGATTATCACCATTATTATTATTAAACTCATTTTTACCGCGACCATCATCAACATTTTCATGAGTTGTGTCGTTAAGGATGGAGATATTAACATCACTACAAGTACTACTACTATTTAAACTACTATCTACAGACATATCCGATCCTTTTGCACGAACTGGTAATGGTGATTCTAAACTATAATATATGTTTATGTGAAAAGAACGAAAGAGAATGAAAATAATTCTTCAAAAAGTTATAACCCAAAACAGGGAGATTTTTGCATAACTATGAAAAAATAAAATGAAAATTTGATTAATGATTAAAAGATTTTTACTGGCTATGAAGTTTCTAAGCATTTAAGTTTATCAGATCACAATTCATTTAATGAATGATAACTTAGAAACATGTTACGTTCTTAGTTTAATTAGTCCAGATTTAATAGAATTGATACAACTAATTATATGAATTTTGAATGTTTTTGCCATGTTACAGCCGAGAGTGGGGAGAGTTAGCTATCCCTATCCAAAAGCTTTCGCATGTCCATGCGCATACAACCATTGGCAGGGAAATCCAACTCACTGCCTTCTCGCAACACGGGTGTTGTTTACAAAATTTAGAGGATGAAAAGCGAATGTCAGTTGCATTAATCCCGCTGGTGTATATGGAGGATCCACCTAGAGGAATTAAAAAACCCTGATTACAAATCAATGTTCCACACAGGCTCCAGTATCCTGAAGGAATAAGTGGTGTATGAACCTATTGTTGGTCACCGGCTACCATGAGACTGCTTCTCCTGACATTTTTCCAATGACTTATAGATTAGACACCTAGGTCATAGGCTCCGGGTGTGGCCCACTAAGAAAACCACCTGCTTAGGTTTTGGGCACCCGAGCAGTATTCCATCCCTCACACAAATCGAATGATTCACGTGGCGCATATCTATCTGGTGTCTCCTTGTAACAATGTTTATGTGTTTAAACAAATAAATAAATATGAATATGACCTCACCTTAATGTGTATATGATACTAAGTACTTTCGACACAGAATCTCTTTTTCTAGTTTACTATCAACAAACTAAACTAATTAATTTCTATCTTTATTTTTTAATCTAGCTGAAACCCCCTAAAATACATGTATTCCATTCTCACTAACTTACTGGCTATGAAGTTTCTAAGCATTTAAGTTTATCAGATCACAATTCATTTAATGAATGATAACTTAGAAACATGTTACGTTCTTAGTTTAATTAGTCCAGATTTAATAGAATTGATACAACTAATTATATGAATTTTGAATGTTTTTGCCCTGGTACAGCCGAGAGTGGGGAGAGTTAGCTATCCCTATCGAAAAGCTTTCGCATGTCCATGCGCATACAACCATTGGCAGGGAAATCCTACTCGCTGCCTTCTCGCAACACGGGTGTTGTTTACGGAAGTGAGAGGACGAAAAACGAATGTCCGGAGCTTTCATCGGGTTGGTGGATATGGAGAGTCCACCTAAAGGAGTTGGGAAACCCTGACTTCAAGCCAATGGTGATATGGGCTCCAGTACTTTGAGGGAACGAATGGCGTATGGACCTATTGTTGGTCACTGACTACCACGGGACTGCATCTCCTCACGATGCTCCACTTCCTTGTGGATCAGACCTTTAGGTCGAAGGCTCCGAATGTGGTCCCCTAAGAAAACCACCTGCTTCGGTTCGGACACCCGGGCAGTATCACGGCCCTCACATAAATCAAATGAGATTTGTGTGGCGTATATGTATCTGGTGCCTCCTCATACCAGTATTTATGTGTTCAAATAAATAAATAAAGAATTCGTCACGTAGTTAAATACCCATTACACTCTCAACTGTTCAATTACTTTGAGGATGAAGAAATTTATCAGGGATGCTAGATCACCAGAAATCACTCGGTAAACGTTTTGTTCTTTGTAAGTTTATTTTGGAAATTCCAATCTCTCATTTTCGCACCGAAAGCGCCAACTTTTATCTTCAGAACGTATCTACCATTTGGAAAGACACGTTAAACGTTGTTGGTTCGTTCCCACTTTTAAAATGTTATTTTGTGACGTTTCTCAAGGATATGTTCATACTTTATATATACCCTTGAGCTGTGTACCTGTTTGTTAGTGCTTCCGACTGCTTGTAGAACATACATTACTCTCAGTTGAATTTGATCTTTTCCCTCTAGTTCACAGGGCTGGGGTACAGTGAATAGTTTAGCTTGGCTTGTCGTTGTGTTGCTGATTTTCGTTTTGTTCGCCAATTTTACGTGATCTCGTAGTCTCTTCAAACGTAGCAAAATTGTAACTTAATTTTTTGCTTGCTTTAAGTTCCTCTTGTGTTCACAGTTAATAAAAATTGATGATAATCAGTATGGTATTGTGGAATTTCATTGGAATCACGCACTGACCTAAGTTAGACAACCACTGAAAACTTGTTAGCACCACACGACTGTTTCGTCATGAGATGGGTCTCCTCAGCACTGCTCGTTCATGACCTCTCATCCAGAAACTGAATCTCGAGCGTAAATGCTTCGTCTCTCGAACAATGAACCGGGATCCACTGATGTACATGTCTAAATCTAGTCAATCAACCTTATTGGGTTCATGATTCCAATAAAATCGAATTATTTCGACAACAGTAGGCTGATAAATATCACGCGCTAACTAGTGACTAACTTCAAGAGGACATTTCCAGAGTTCCAGTGAGAAAACATAACAGGTAGAGTTCAACTGTGTCGGATGTGAGGAAGTTACCCAATGAATAAAATGGGAGATGATAGAGCAGTATCATGAATTAAATGAAATTAGACTTTTACAGTATAGGATTGTGACTCAGTGGTCTGGAGATTATGCATTCGCCGTGAGACCTATAGATCCACTATTTGATTCTCGGCTTCAAGGTCGTAAACACACACTTCTTTGAAGTCCCATACTAGGACAAGACAGCTATCCAGTGGTACCTCAACTGAAATCAATTTGAGACGAATACAAACTAAATAACGAACTGAATCTGTCGTAACTATTTCATATTTATTAGGAGCTGATAATTAAAGATAATAATACATTTGACACAGTTGTAATGTAGTTTCTATTAAATAACGGCAACACTTCTAAAACAATTATCGAAAGTAAACATAAACCAATAACGAGATACCCTAAAATGAAAGAATATTTCGAAGATTGTAACCTTGATCCTCAACACATACTAAATTACTCTAGTCGAAAGCAATCAATGTTCAATTGAACATTTGACGAGATCTTAGACTGGCAATGCACAATTTTATGAAAATTCTTAGAACATGGTCAAACGACTACCTTAATTGTTTCAAACTGATTTCCAAAGCATGGTAATAACACTGTAGAAATTAACCCACTACCTAAGATCATTAACCGCGCCTTTTTAAAAAAAAATGAAATGGAGATTCGTAACTCAAGAGTAGGATTTTGAAGGTATTGCATTTTCAGAACAGAAGCTGAGAGATTATGCAACACCATAATAAAACAAAACAGAAAACCTTGTACACCAAATACTTCAAAAAAAAACAACTAAGCATTAAAAGAACACAAGAACATACTTTAATCCAGACAAAACGTTAATTGAATTTGTAAATGTAGATGGTAATGTAGAAGACGATGATTTCAAAGGTGACATACGTGGTGGTGGTGCGGGTTTACGATTAGTTTTTGTCCCTGCCCCTGTTTTTATTAGTAAACATTGACGATTAGATTTTTGATCAAATGATGGATGAAGAAGTGGAGAATTTGATAGTGTACTACTACTTCCTGGTGCACAATGACTTTTACGATAAATTCTTGTATTCTGTATAATTTGATTATTGCGTTTTAAATAAATTTCTGAATCAACAATCGAATCAGTTGTGACAGCAGTAGTATTGTTAGTAGTAGTAGTAGTAGTAACTGTACATAAAAAATAAACAAAAAGTTTTAACATTGATCCTTCAGAGTATGTGCATGACACAATGAAACGTTTTATCAAATAAATAATCTGAACTATTTAAATTAAAACTGAATCCGAGTAATTAGTGTAAACTTGTACACTAATAAAGCCTATATTTTAAGTAATTAGTGCAAATAACAGAAATTTCTCTGTCACTTCTAAACAGGTCTCTTTATCTTATTGGATTATGTAAAATAACACAATTCGAAGGTATACTTTATAAGTTTAAATAACTTATATTGACTATTTCTATGTAGTATATATCACGGATTGTAATCCAGTGAAAACCAAGAAGCACTAGACAGTTATTTCGTCCCAGTTTTAGGAATTCTCAGCAGGGAGCATCCATGCCATAATCAAGGATTAAACCTAGAATCTTCAGGTCTCGTGACTCATGCATAAACTTTAGACATTCATGCATATGTTTTCCAAACCAATTGCTTACGTTTCTAACTTCAAGTGATTTGTGGCATTATGTAAATTAGCCCAGAGTATTCGTCATTTGATAATCGTTTATTCATTCTTATTGTACTACACAACCAAGGTCATTTGACAGAATTTAACATACTACGTTTTATTTCCCAACTCATTTATCAAATATATATTCATGTACTTCGCTTCGAGTCAAGTGTGAGAGCTGGTGATATGACCTAGTCGCCCAAACTGAAATAGCTAGGGCGGGGTTTGACCCCTAGACTTAGAAGCTGAAAGCCGAACACCCTAACCCCTTAATCACTTCTTCATTGTGAAGTAAACATCCAGTCACAGTTGGATACATTGCGAAAATGTTTCGTGTGAAAGTAAACAAAAACAATGACAATAACAAAGGCTACTAACCTTTAGACCCATCTTCAGAATCCCAGACATTATAGTAGACACTGTTAGAAGAATTTCGCTGCTTTAGAGAGTTTCTGGAAGGAGAACTAGTAAAATTGTTTACGTGATGACATTTGTTCTTCTGATTATTAATGTTTTCTGGTCAACATTCACATATATTACCGATAGGTATTAGGAAAAAAACAATAGAACAGACATCAATCACGTTAATAACATTTTAGTAAAATGACAAAGGCAGTAATCATACTGAAAAGTAAAAAGTAGACATTTATACGTTTTATAAGGTTGTATCTACCTACAAACCATCGTTGAGAATCGAAATGACATTGGTTAATCTACAGTTGATGTGGTTTGTTGTTCTGTAGTTCAAGTTGCTTACTAAGTTGTCCCTAACACTGCACTACGAGGCTCTGCATAGGAAAGAGATTAAGGGTCCTTAAAAAGCTTTGTTGTCAAAAACTAAATAATAATCCTTGCAGCCCATCAATACTGACAGATTTTTGCAAGGATAGAACCATATTAGAAATGACCTTGATTACATGTATAACTCTTTTAGTCATAATGGCCCACCCAAACTTGTCACTAATTTATAATGTGGCTATACAATCTGTTCAGTTTTACACAAAACACCGAATCGTAAGCAATATTGCTTTTCCTACTCGATCACTTGTCGTGATACTATCAAATGATATTTGTACAATTCAGTATAGTATTATGAAGTGAGTGAACAATTATTTGCTATCTACTAAGCAAATTCTTTTATTTCCTCTTAATGAAAGAAAAAAATATACATATACACAGTATAAGGAGATTTCAGAACTCAGTTTATAAGGGTAGACAAAGAATGAATGTACATGCACTAACGGTAAAGATTCTAAGCCATGTCACCCAGTCTCTAGTCATGTATTTGTGATAATCCCACGGGCCCCAACATGATAATTTAAACCTAAATACACGACAAACTTCAATAGTCAATAACTTCATGGACTTATTTTGTGTCCTGGTTTGATTGCCTATGGATTTCAATTAACTACAACAACACACCATATCGTCCATCGAGGTAGGTGGTGGTTGAGCATACATAACATACGTATCGACTACTACAGTTAATTAACGTTTACTACCTCACCAACAGGTATCCCATCTTTACCTGGTACCCAATGCCTAATTCCAGCACTATTCACTCAGTGGTCCCAAGATATATAGGTAATACTTTGGAGACACATATGATCGAAGACTAGTAACCTAAAATATCCTCTATTTTTGATGACCAAATTACACACCTACGAAACATAACGAAACGGACCCCTGTGCACTAAACTCGTCCTTTGGTTGGCAGACGGAAACCGTATCTACGGCATAAATAATGTAAATAAGCAAATGCTGGATCCGTCCCGACATTTCACGAGATATTAGCCCATTAGAGTCTATTACAATCCCAAGCGCAGTGCAGCCAACTATTTCACCCTCTATCACTAATTCACGAGATAATGGTGACCGGCTACAAAGCAGCATTTTTCAGTCACTACGAAATAATTGGATCATTAATATATTTGCAGTGCTGCTTCAAGTGGTCAGACGACTCATAAATTTGTCATCACCTTCAAACAAGACTGCGTATTCTAAGTCAACAAGTGAATCTCTCGGTAGGATATGAGTAAACAGTCTGTCAGTCAGGCGCGTGTGTACATCCGTTCAGATAAATGATCAAATTAACAATAAAGGAGGCGGAATTTCAAAAAAAACCGTTTTGTTATAGGAATTACAACACTTAGTAATTACATAAATGTATGTCTAAAGTGACGATTCAATGGTCGAAGAAATTCAAGAATATGAATTACGAGAACACTACATAAGGAAAAGAAACTGTTCATCAAAAAAGCATAAACCAATTGGATAAATAAAAACATGATAACTGCAATGGACCGATCACTGAGTGATTAATATCATGTCGTCTAGTCCTTTAGTACTGATCTAATCCTATCAACCAAGTTATAATGTGTTCACTAATCTGAGTGACTTGACATCGACTGCGTTATGTGTTAAGATTTTCGATAGTTTAAAGTAGTCATCATGAAGCTGGATGAAGCAGGTTCGAATTATACACATACTTTACACAAATTGATAAGTTCAACAATTGTTGCCCACAATATGGCTAACAGAATTATAATTACACAAATCTAATCACAGTCTACGGAAAACAGAAAATTTTAGTAGGATGTACTTTTAACTTGGACTAACTTGACAAATAAGAAGTGAATAAAACAGACTAACAATATTACTAAAAAGAAAAAAAATAGCCGTTGAAAATCAAAGTATTTTTTGACTGATTATCTCATTTATATCAGCAGCAGGACCCGAAAATATACCAGCTGAAGCACTGAAGTCAAACATCGAAGTAACTACAAACATGCTCCTTTACGAGGAGTAACAGGCGTAAGTAAGTCATCTCATTTATATTACAGTCCAAAGTTTATCAATATCATCAACATCATTTGTAAAACCCAACATTCTTTAAAATAAAATCAACAAAAAAGAAATTCTTTACAATGATATCCGCTTTATACTATTGTTATTTACTAATGGATAAGATACAAAATTTGTTACTTTGACAATTAAGTGTTCCGTTTTCTAGCATCGAAAACAATATTGACCTTGACACGAACTATCGATAGATTGCATTGATAGTAAAAGAGAGGGAGAAACAGATCTATGGTGTTACTTAATTACTTTGATTATGTAATAGTACATATTTTGTTACTTATAATTTGCATTCTAATTTTGTTACAAGTTACATGACCAACAATTTCGGTCAATTTATGTAGATTCGCAAAAAATGAGTATAATCTCTGTTTTACTATTAAATTTGTAACTATAAAAACTGAACATAACGTAAACAAAATTCTAAACAGTACAGATGTAAAGTATTTCAGACTATGAGATTCAGTGACAAAGATTTCAGTGTGTATTGGAATTCCATGTCGTGCAGTCCCAGAGAATTTCACGTTGTGTATTATTTGCCGACTCTGGGACTGGTTGGAAAAAGCGGAGAGGTGGTCAGTGCATGACATGGTGTCGTCGTATGAAAGAAAGCTACAAAGGGTTGGCTTCTGTTGGTCCTTCACGACTCCCTGGCTAGGGAAATAGAGATGGTGCAACACAGTGGCTAGAGACGTTATCAGATATGGCTCAGAATAGAAGACAGTAGCGATCTTGCTGTAACCTTCTTTTACTTTCTTCGTAAAAAAAAATTGGTTGTTTCTTCCTCAACTGAAAGATTTCTTCTGATTGTACCTTTCCGTTTCCCCGATTATTATTATTATTATTATTATTATTATTATTATTACACTACCTTACACCAATCTGTTCCTTATTGTTCTTTTTTTCTCTTCGAATTCTCATTGTTTTGTGTGACGCATATATATTTGGTGCCCTCTTGTACCAAGATCTATGAATTATTGGAAACAAATTAACCAGGTTAACCAGGTGATTTTAGTCGATCACCTCTAATTCTATAAATTATTAAAGAAATACACACTGTAAAGATACACCACTCGATGTAGTGATTCGGCCGATAAAATTCAATCAACAAAATAGGGAATAAACAAGATGCCAATGGTTATTACTTACATGAAATATAAGTGTTAATAATAAATTTCAAGAGACGTTGTGTCGATATAATGTTGTATTTAAAAAAAAGAATCTGGTTGCTCCTAATTTGAATAACCCTCATCCATATCAGAATATATGTCACATCTCTGTTTTCATTATTTAAAACAAAACCCACTTAAGTTAAAAGAAATCAAGCTGTCCAGCTGCCTACGACTTTGCCGTTTGTTAAATTTAAGTGTTTTGTCAGAATTATGAGCAAAGATAATTATTTATTAAAGCCAATTTATCAACAATCATTTAGCGAGTGAAAACACATAAGACAGTACACATGCCCAATATATCTATCTATCAACACAAGAGGTGAAAAATTTTTCCTGGTTTCTGACCACACTTAGAGGCTAAACAGTCTTTATAAAAACCATTTGATCCATTTAAAAAGAATGTTTAAAAAAGTATTTTTTTTTCACTCTGTTCGTTCTTTTAAAAAGAAATGCTTTTTTTTAGTGGATCATCTTCATAAACACCCGCTTTGACATTCCTTGGATTCGCTAGGGTTTTTTTATTTATTTGTCAAAGCATCACCTAAATAGAACATGATAATAGTACCGTTTGTACATTAATTAAGCAGACAACATAGACAAATGATTAATTATAAAGCGTACTTTCATACCATTTGATAATTTGCATGTAATATCACTGGTGGTTTGTTTCATTTGATCTATTCTAGGCAATGAAGAATAATTTATATTGAATTCTTTCTCCGTTACCACAGCATTAGTTAGATTTACATAGGAGTGACGTGAATCCGGAAGCTAAATAAATGTTTATAGGATAGGAAAGAAACATTATAAAGATGAGAAAATTTCTAATTTTAGAAATAAATAAAAATGGATGCATAAATGTATAAGTGATTGAATAGGACGAAGAATGCGGTATTATAATCTTTGAGACAATTATAAAAGGAATTATTATTTGTATTCTTTTTTGTATATTTAGTACACCCTTAGATTGATGTACATCTAAATTCTTCTATTTCTAAACTTATATTTGACCTATAAATCGGTTATATTGTTCCACTTTTATCATCCATTAACCACTTTTTTTTCTCTTCGGTTCTCGATTACCTATGGTTAAGTTATTTGTTGTTGTGCTGTGAAATATTTTGAGTATATTATTGTATGAGTTTTGAGTTATGATTGAAGTGAGTATAACAGAGAAGTGATCTGCTTTCAATCTTTATCTCCTGATAAGCTACTGGGTTAGAAAAAGCAGCGTTATGGTCTCTGTTATCGCTCAATCAATAATTAGGTCACATGGCAATAAAGATGGACTGACCGATAATCGGACTGGAGAGAGAGCTACTACTCATTATGGTCTGATTACACAGGAACCAAAGCAATCTGTGTTTTCTCAATATATCAGTAATTATAGAACACTTCATGTACCAGATTGGATCAAACAAGTATGTGATTTATGACTTTCATATAATATAGGGCGGATTCGAATCCGATAACATCATCTTTAATTGTCTACTGAGTTTTATTATTCAATCCGTATAATAACTGTCTTAAAAACTATATGGGAAAAATTAAAGATAAATCACACATATACCCTTGAAAATACTCCTCATTTTGACAATGCACTGGTTTCGTCAATACTTTCATTCTTCTAAATAATCCAATTATTATTAGGAAGGTAGACAATTTGGTTGTCTCATTATTTCATGCTTACCCTCTCCACATGGTCTTATTAGGTAGATAGTGTGAAAGGATAATATATAATCTAATGGTTATTAAACAGATAATTGATTCTTGACACTGAACTACTGAGAAAATCTTGACAACAAATTTCCAACAACAAACAATGAAAACGACCATTTCCACTTTCACTCATGGATAAAAACAAAAGACACCGACGTCTATTCCACTCATATTTCATACAACAACCCATACCTCAGTGAATATTTTACCAAGGATCGAGTACATCAACACTCATTCAATTCGGAGAAAAAAAGTCAAACAGGAAAAGTATACTACTGACAAAATACAGTTATTATATAACATTTTACATTAATAAAGAATTATAAACAGAATACGTCTGGAAAATGTCAGTCAGTCAATGATAAACAATGCAGAACCTTGTAAATTAAAAATATGACATTCTAAGCCATTAATCAGTGAAGTAGAAATGTCTCCCCTGTTCAGACTTTGATTTGTACTACTGTACGATGTGAATGATCATATTTAGAAATCTATTCGATTCATGGATTAATCAGCACGAATTATTCGGTCGCTTTATACAATGATAAGATCCGTCCATGATGTAAACTGTGAATCATTAAGCAATGATTAGTCGGAAATGCACATAAAACGCTAAATTTTTCTAAAACATAATTATTCGCTTATTGCGAGAAATATGCTATGTTTTGTCAACTGATATTACTGAGTTCTAGTGAGATATAACGTAGTTGGAGGCAAATCTTTATTTAAATTAGCTTTGATTACAGTATCACTATATAAGTGGCAATAAAATCTAAACAATTGAAACAAATACTGACGTTCCCCTAAAAGTCTTTAACACAATTGTAGATCATCATTATGGAAGACTAAAATTCTCTATAATCAATATTATGCAAACTAAAGAACACAACGACAAACGAAGACAACCTTAACATTATCAACAAGATAAATTCCATCAACTGCAAGAAACACTACACAGAACAAAGTGGTTTCCCTTCCCGTCTACCTTTCTACATGAACACTGACTGTTAGATGATACGACAAAGCATATAAACAGTTATGGATATGAGTTCAACTGAGAAAGCTTCGGAATATTGGACTGATGGAACATCAAGTAAACCAAAGAATTTTTTGGAAGTATGGCAATACGATCAATGAACATAATGAAGTCGGCCAAATTTATTTCCCAAGAAGCAAAATGCTAAATTTGAAAACAACTACCGCACAATTATAGATAACAATCAGTCAAATACCAAGTTTATAGTACATGATGTTAATAAGTTTTAATAGATCATTACTGTTTGAATTATGTATTGATGATTTTGTCTATAGTGACAATGAAAGGCTCATGGTTAAGAACGATTCAGCTCAAAACAAAACAAAAAATCACCTCAAAACTTCTCATTCAAAGTTACAACTATTCTCAGTACTTAATTCGAACGATTCACTCATAAACTTTAGAATTAAAACGAACTGATTACATGTGATGATATACAATAGACAATAAATTAATAGAAGTTAAACACAATGTGACTTTAGTAATTCCCGTAATCACATAAACACATATGCCTACCCTTTACTCGGTGATTAAAAATCATTCTAATATGATCTCATTAAAACACACACACTACACACATACACATACAACATTTAGGTTAATTAGATCTGTGTTTTGTTTTTGTGTTGTTGTTTTTTTGAAGAATAAATATATAAACAAACAAAATTTTTGTTTAAATCAACTGAATTCAGCCTATAATTTATCTGGATAGATAAACTTTCAAAATAAAAAATGAAAAAAATTGAGAGAACAAAACTTATGTGAAAATGAAGTCATGACAACTTGTTTTTTGTTGTTGTTGTAAATATTCATAATTCAGTTTATTTTGAGCACCATGTGTGAGTATATCAATCTATGTATACATATTGAACAATGTGTTGAAACATTGAACATGATGTTCATAGAAGGGTATACACAATGTTATTACATCATAGCAACAAAATAACATGTTACCTTATTCATAAATATAATAATAATAATAATAATAATAATAATAATAATAATAATAATAATAATAAATGCAATCGTACGATAGAATTATCAATCATATTAATTGTATAGTTTGAATTGTATTATTTGGTTATTTTTCAATGATACATCAAATACCTTGGTAGTTCAAAGTGTGATGTATTATTCACAATCTTTGCTGAATAAATTGTATGAAACGATAATGATCTAGTTATGATCACATAGTGCGAGAAAGAAAGACCAGAAATACAGTGTCAAACATACAACACAAACACATACAGGAAAAGAAAAATCCTTTTTGATGTTTCTAGTTGCTTTTCTTCTTTTCGTAGTGAAGGATACATTGACAAAGAGAATACAGTATTGTTCAAGACAATATTCATAATGGAACAATTATATACGGAATAAAGTCGAGAATTTCTAAGTGATCTTGGTTTCGTGTTAATTGGTATTCACTAACAAGTGGAACTGCAATTTGATTTTAATTCCCTTCAACTAATGAGTTATAGTCTAATTTAACCATTGATCGATTCGAGACGACATTAAACCCTTATAGGACAAAGATTTTTAAATAGATTGATCAGTAAGTAAGGACCAATGTTATCATTGTATTTCGTACAAACAGTCCACTAATATGTGGCAATCACCATTTAAGTGGACAATGTAATGGTTAAAAGTGATAGATACACCACATTTATTAAATATTCAAAACGTTGAGGGGAATAACCTTGGCCTAATCCCATAAAACTCATTCGTTTTGTTTATGCAAACTATGGACCAATTACAGATCGTTTTATTAGTATACTGATGAGTTAGGAGTGTGTAATAATAAAACATCCCATTATTATACAAATATGATAAGAAACGTTACATATATAAAGGTTGAAATATCATTGTCTTTAAATAAAAAAAAAGAAAACTACACTGAAAGAAGTAAATCTAACTTACATGATGATAATCGTCTAATAATAATTCAGAACCAGACAATAAGTAATCAACCTTAAGACAAGAAAGAAAAAACATGGTTTTGAGATGATGAAGAAGATTTGTAGCTTAGGTGGAGTTTTGTTCTCTGAGCTCAGAGAACGAAACTCCATCAAATAACATGGTAATTAACAATAAGTTTAACCATTAACAATAAAATTCTCTAAGGAATTATGGAATAGTGGTTATGTGATGTGAGCTAAAAGTTTAAGGATTAAAACAATCGATTCATAAAATCCCATCTGAATAGACACGATAAATTATTACAGCTTACAATGAAATTGAAACTACTTATAGATGAACACATAAACTTGGTGATAGGATGAACCATTTTTAAAAAAAAACAAACAGAATCTGTCTCATAGTCACATGGACATGAGAAACGAAAACATTGGAAGGTTATTATAAATAAACAAATTGTTCATCTGTCTAACGTTACTGCCTACATATTTTTGTCAGGATCACTTAAGTATTATGCATATTTATGCATGATTTATGTAACTTTAGATACAGCTTTTCGTATTAAGCTTCATATGCATTATTAGTACTTTTGTTCTAGAACATCAGGTTGATAAGTCTTATCGATTGAACACTATATTTATTTCCTAAGCTATTCCGTTGACCTGAACGCTAGAACTACACAGCGACTTGAACACCAGAGAGAAGACGCAAGTATGAGAGAAAAGACTTTATCCCAAGGTTCATTTTTGTACAGAAAATCATAGGTATTTATAGATGTTGGCGTCTGTTGAATCAACATCATATTTCAGCCAATCCGTTAACTACATATTATGCTACCGACCAATAGTAGCACGCCACGTTGGAATTCTAGAACCTTCCATCATACTCTGATTGGCTAGGACCCTTCGACTCCTTTTGGGCCTCTGGAGGCTCCACTGAAGTTCTCCGGAAGCTGACTCAACACAGGTTAGGGTCAACCGTTGGAAGATATATGAATTTGTAACTGATTAGAACTTGAAGATTACTAAATCATTATTATTGTCATATATGATATGTGCTGAGGATTGAAAACAAACACAAAAATTTGGTTCAATGTTTCACCATTAGATCATCACTTTCAATGATCCTGTGGATAAAACAGATCACATCAAAATAAGGCTTGATGATCAAATCGAAAAATTAAAGACGATATTGACGGCCAAACATGAGATACTGATAACTAATCAGCATTAGATTGTATGAAAACCATAGTATCATTAAAATCAAACACATATCATAATAACGCAACTGGAAAACGTTTTCGTGACTATTCGATAAAATGTGTTATAACGGTTGGTTTTCCACGTTTACACGTATGTGACGTTAATTTACCGCAGACGAATATCTACACTAGATTCCCTCCCAGTGTCTATTCTACAGGACTTCAACACAACTCAGATCAAGAACACGTGATTAGCCTTACTAGAACGTAAATATATTTCCACACCAAAAACCCGACACAATCCAACAACAATAAACAATCAATAATAAGTGAGTAATAATAATAAGGATAGGGGGATATATAACTCATCTGTAACCTGTCAGACTATCTACGTGTCTGACTAAGCAGACAACCAATCATCGGGTAAGTAATAGTGAGGTTAGACTTAGAGTATTAGAGAATGATGGTAGATCACTTGATGAGGTTGTGAATCTTCATCGACTAAGATGGTTGAGCCACGAGTTGCGTATACCTGAACACCGATTACCACGACGTGCAAGGCTGACTAGTGTTAGAGATGGATGGAAGAAAGTTGAGGCGGCCAAACCAAAACGTGGCATCAGTGTTTGAAGTCACTAACTTCTGGTCTGAGCCATGTTGGTAGATGCAGACTTCTTGGTTGGGGCCGCGTGACTATCTTAACCAATGATTGGAGACCCTGGGTGACATGGCTTAGAATCGATCACAATGGCGTAGGTGTATACACTCTTTGACTTCCCTTAAACACTACTGAGTTAATTGCTTCTATGAATCCGGTGTTCGTCTTGCTGTGCTAATGAGATGTGGCAACTTGGACTGATGCTCATATGTGCCTGGTCCTACATTGTAACTGACTGACAACCAATCATTATCATTCTCACCCACACATCAATCTGACATCGTAGCTGAGAATATTCTTTCGTGGAATGTTCGCTTTCAGTAATTTAATAACTTAAAGTGTCTGAATTGATGGTTACTAAATTTAAATTCTCGATTAGAATAACTTAAGCTTCTCTGTAATGCAGATATATTTAGTTAATCAGATAGGTAAATTATTCTATGGTGTTTTGATTCAAGTTATCATAGGTATCGCAGCAGCACAAGAAATGGACAAGAAAAAAACATGATTTTAATACAGTTTAACATATTAAAATCGGGGTCCAACTTCTTCAAAAATAGAAAAACATGAGATGTGAGGCTCTTTAAATTAAAAGTGTTGATAGATACTTGCCATAAACTGTTCCATATCAAATTAATTATGATGGTACAAGTGGCTGATGAATTATATTCAATAGATTAAGTTTGACAAACTGATAGTTTCCTCAGGAATGATGCTTCACCGATAATCATAAACCAGCTAGGTGGCCAGAAGTGATCAGCTGGAAACCTCAAATCTAAGTTTCGGACAAGTTAGCACCAGTTAGTAAGGCGTTCCTGCAATCTTAAGGAAACCGACGCTCACTGTGGGATTTAAATCCAGCTTAATGGACTGGCCCCCAAATGCCCTGATACGGCCGAGAGTGGGGAGAATTCGCTCTTCCTCTCGAAATGCTCTCACATGGTCACGCGTATATAGCCTCTGCCAGGGAAGTCCTACTCACTGCTTTCTCCCAACACGGGTGTTGTTTACGAAAATGAGAGGACGAAAAGCGAATGTCTGGCGCTTTAACCAAATTCCAAACCAATGGTGCACATGGGCTCCAGTATCCTGAGGGAACAAATGACATATGAACCAATTGTTGGTCACCAGCTTCCATGAGATTGCATCTTCTTACGATGCTCCATTGCCTTGTGGATCAGACCTTTAAGTCGAAGGCTCGGGGAGTGGCCCTCTAAGAAAACCACCTGCTTCGGTTTGGGCACCCGAGCAGTATCACAGCCCTCACACATATCGAATGAGATTCGTGTGGCGCATATGTATTTGGTGCCTCTTTGTACCAATATCTATGTGTTAAAATAAATAAAAATAATGAACTGGATGACGCTAGTGATCAATCAAAGGTGGCCGTAGACCTTTTATACTAATAAAACTTTTACAGTCATGATGCTCAATTTGAGACTATAAATATCAAGTATAATTAAACTGGTACTGATCGGTTATTAAGGTATAAATCAAATCATGTGTTAAAATGAGAACTCCTAAAAATAATATTGGTCGTTTGATTGACAAGCAGATCAGTAAATAGTAAACTCAAAAAAGGATAAATTAAGTAAGACGATGTTAAGAAAAATAGATAACTAAACTACAATAAAGATATCAGTGGTTATTTAGAAGTCTGCGAACTAATAGTATACGATAATGATTCATACGTAAATTATTGAAGATACTATAGATTATACATTTACATTATAGTACTATTACTAATAGTTCTAACGACTTATCATCTAAAAATCACTATATTAGGTGCTTGCTTTCCAGCTAAAGAGTTTGAACTTTCTATGAAAGTTTTTAAAAGTCGACTAATCGCCTAGTGTCTCGAAAGAAGTTTACTTCCACGTATCCAGTGACAGATTCGCCCAATTAAACTTTTCACCTTTAAAGCTGCCAATCAAACACAGAAACTCAGACTAATTCATTATAAATACAGATTCAATATATTTGAGAATCGAACAGCAACTAGATTCAAATGTAATAGTCTAAAGTTAACAAGGTCACCATGAAAGCAGCTGAGGGTCTGGGATTCCATTTCTCATATGTAGGGAAACTTGTGGATATGCGTGGCTGAGGAAACCTAAACGAATGCGAAACACCTAATTGTTGTGATACCTTGGTTTTTAATGTTTACTCTACTTGATAACAACTGTACTGATGATAACTTGTTATTTAGTGGATCACATAAACAATCACTAAAAAACACAATTCGATCATGAATATTTTCAATGGACAAAACATTAATTCATGTGATTTATCACATCTATAAAAGATTGTTATCAGCCGAAATTATATGTCTAGACAATCGGTCATTATCATAGAGATCTGCAAGTTCAAATCACCGATTAGAGAATGGTAAATATATGATAGAGTGATGCAATTTTTGTAACATTTGAAAAAAAACAACTAACTGATCATTGAGTTCCATGTCCGTCTAGTCATCTAGTGCCTGTGAAATTCTACCGGTTGTAACGCAACCACTTGTCTGAGTGAATCAACACCGCATTCACCATGTTAAGTAGTTAGATGTAATCGCCAAAAATCCTTAGATCTAGGTTTCTTGCTGATCGACAATCTATGCGCAGAGCATTACTGGATTTTCGAAGGACCTGGTACTCAATATGATTCAGACAAATGTCGCTGAGTTTCACAATCTCGAACGCTATTCTAAAAATATATGGCCCATGAATGATCCTCTCCGTAGGAGGCTCCATAGCACCACAGCTGAGCTCCAGAATCACGTCTCAGACTGTGAACCTAGGTGAGGTGGGTCAAAATAACACAAGGAGCATCAAGTCAATGAAGAACGCAGTAATCCGTTGTTATTGATAGTTGAGAAGCATGGGAACAACGTTTATGGATTCCTAACGACTACCTCAAACCACACATCTACGAATACTTGTTCTCATAATAAATGATAAAATTAACTTTCGCTTACTCCACCGATAACCTCTTTGTAATCATCTTCACCATTATCATTATCTCTGTTCACATGATTATTGCTCAGTGATTGATGCTGATTATTAGGGGACTTAGTCCCTATTTCTTCACCATTGGAATTCCTGGAATGTACGCCATTATCATTATTATTAACATTAGCATTATTATCTGGAGGAATTTTAGACGGTCTCTGAAATAAAGGCAGTTCATTACAAACGCCACCAGCACTTCGGTTGCTGTTAATGTTTTCAACAACAGTTCTTTGATTGGAAGTGACATCTTTAAAAAAAAAATGAATATTCATTAAATTGAGAAAAGAAATGTGGATAGAAAAATAAGAAATATTCTCGTTTTAGTCATTTCGATGGAGTATTTTTAATAAGATACATTTGTTAATGTCACTTATCTGTTAACACCAACGTATGAACTTATTTGGGTGATCGGTAAATAGTAAAACTTCTACACTTCTGTTCAAACCAAAGTACGTAGTCGAGTCGGTTGTATAATAAGTCACTGATAGTAAAAATCTCCTTCTATCTACCATGTTTTTTTTAGTAGATTCATAGGGAATGCCAGTCTGAAAATGTAGAAGGTTATGGATAAAATGCCTATCGATCCAATTCACCATACTTCATATGGGCATATATAGAGAGATAAAATGTAAAAAAATGAATAGATCATGAGTCTTGAAAAAAAAGAATAGCATCCATTGTTGTAGGAAAACAAATACGATAAAAATTAGTCAGTTATAATATGAATAAGTATAGATTCAACGTAGTAACAAAGTAAAAAAATATGAAGATGAGGAGTGAAGAAGAAAATCCCATTTTAATTGTAATAGATACCAAACTATGAGGGAGACAGTTTAGACATATAACCACCCAACGTCTCGAACTATTATTGATGACGAGTAATTCTCGAGCTCCAACCGAAAGTCTGTAAATTTCGACACAATTTAAATGAACAGTCAATGACTTCACTGACTGATACCATGTACTGTTTGATTAGCACGCTCCGATATTTTTTTTCTAACATACTCGTGTTTAGGGCAATATTGTATATAAGCAAATGTAAAACATATTCTGACTACCAAAGTTAATGAAAGATTGTAGCTATAGGTATAGAAACTTGAATACATACTACATATTTTTAATAAAACTTTTCTGCCAGCTGGAAATATTAAAGACGTGTCAACAACAAGTAAGTACTCCATAGTTATTTTCAAGTTATTACCTACGCCTGTTTCCCCTCGAGGAGGAGCATAGGCCAACCACCATCCAACTCAGTCATGGACAATCCTTTCCAGTTGCTATTCATCTTTTTCATGTCTGCTCCCACTCCTCGGTACATTATGTTCTTTGATCTTCCTCTTTTCTGTTTACCTTCAGGATTCAAAGTTATCGCTTGCCTCGTGATTCAGATTGGTGATTTCTGTAATGTATGTTCCACAGTAGGTTGTTGCTGATGGTTTCCGGTAAACGGACATTGAGTAATCTTGTGTAGACAATTGTTTATAAATACTTGTACACTTTTGTTGATAGTCTGAGTTTCGTACAATACAACTGTCTTGTCGTTCGTATTAAAGATTCTGACTTTCATGTTGGTTGACAATTGTTTTGAGTCCCATATGTTCTTCAGCTGTAGGAATGTTAACCTTGCATTGCCAATCATTGCCCTTACGTTTGCACCAGATCCTCATTGCACATATTTTCAAGAAAAACTCAAAAAAAGTACTGTCTTCACGTGGTGAACGCTAAACTTGGAAATAATGATAACTGGATCGAAAATAACGAATAAGTGACATTTTTAACTTTCATCCATTTGTCAATGTCTTAAGGAAATAAAAAAAACCTATTATGACAATGTCGATGATTCTTCAAATTGTCAGTCAGTCATTAACAACGTAGAACTTCGTACGTACGTACATCAGTTCGAGTTGCCATACCACATTAGTACAGAGATGCACTTGTCGATTCGAATCCCGTAGTGGTAGAGGTAGTAAGAGTATAAGCAGTAATCGGAAAGATTAAGGTTTGGAGATGTTATTTAAAGAGTATAATCCAGTGAAATAAATTTGGAAAGAGAAAAAAGAGACAAGGAGGAATCAGGAGATTAGAATTTGGAAGAACACAAAGAGTGTATGCACCTGCGCCATTGCAAACGATTCTAAGCCATGTGATTTAGGGTCTCTAACCATCGGTTGCTATCATCCCGCGGTCCCCAACCAGGTAGTCTACACCTACCAACATGACTCAGTCTTCAAATTGTATACATGACTGCCATTAAAATCACAGACATATATCATATACAAATGTAATACTAACAGAAATTGACATTGAAAAACAAAACAAAAAAACCCCATCTTACTTGTAGTAGAAACATCAACTAATTCAGCGACATGAGCTAAATGACGCACCCAATCAGACATAATTTTATTATTTGCTGCTATAAAATAATAAATTCGTTTATTTCCATTAAATAATGTTGAAATTGAAAATGCACATGGTTGACCAATATTCACATTTTCAATAATACATTCACAATGTTCTAAATCAACACGACCTAGTAGTAAAACAAATGAGATAATGATGGATAATTTATAACTTAACAACAAGAAACGTAAATTCAACGGAAATTTTTATTGAAGAAAATAAATTAGTCACCAAAAAAAATATATTAGACTGATCATTATTGGATCTAGCCCCCCCCCTTCATGAATATATGTTTACCATCAGTTGTTATGACTGTTCTAGATAAATGGGAGACATTGAATGGATATACAGTTGAAATAGTAAGATACTAAAATCAAGTATCGACAAGTAAAACTAGTAATCTTTGTAGTATTTTATATCTCATTAAACCAAATAAATATGAACGGACAATATGTTGCATATGACTGAAAAAAACTACTATTTAATTCAAATGCAACCCTTTGTATGGATATTTAATTCACATGTTATAATGGGAAATGGTAGCATGATATGAGTTGATTGATTCATTTACTTATTTTAACACATAGATAGTCGTACAAGGATGCACCAGATACATATGTGCCACACAAATCTCATTTCATTCGTGTGAGGGCTGTGATACTGCCCGCGTACCCAAACCGAAGCACGTGGTTTTCTTAGGGGACCACACCCGGGGCCTTCGACCTAAAGGTCTGATCCATAAGGAAGATGAGCATCGTCAGGAGATGCAGTCTCATGGTAGTCGGTGAACAACGATTGGTTCATACGCCATTTGTTCCCCGAGGATTCTGAAGCTCCAACTCCTTTAGGTGAACTCTCCATGTCCACCAACCCGGTTAAAGCTCCGAACATCCGCTTTTCGTCCTCTCAATTTCGTAAACACCCGTGTTGAGAGAAGGCAGTGAGTAGGACTTCCCTGGCAGAGGCTATATACGCGTGGCCATGTGAGAGTGTAGTGTCGGCTATTATATTAAGCCCATATACCCTATTCTAGCTTTCGGACAGCCCATTCTATTCATTCTACTTGAGTCACACTCTAACCTTGTTATTTATTCGCTTATCAATCTTGACTGTGTTTATATGAGCACATAGGTGTGTGTACATTTCTTATCCCATTACTCATCACATCTCCGTAACTTACTTTTGTGTAACTATAAATATTGATTAACGCTTGGTTAAAGGGGAGTTGGTTTACCAGCCATCTCTACTCTGCGTCGTTTCTCTTCCCTCTATTCCATTCGCTTTATATACAAAATATATGTATTCACAAGTCCATTCTCGTTATTTGACTTATTTAATTCCGTTATTGACTAACGCGATTTAAGTCGATGATTATATGCGAGGATAGGCGATATATATATTTCAACAACAATCATCATTATAATCACCTTGTAGTCAGATCACGGGCCACTAAAGTAGAGAGCCGTTTCAACAATACCGTTTGATCTAAATGACGATTAAATAACGGGCCTCCACAAGAGCATTTTAAGGGGGCGAGCGAACTCTCCCCACTCTCGGCCGTACCAGGGTATTTGAGGTCAAGAGCAAAATGAATCCTCTAATAAGATTATTCAGGACATACAGCAAAATGAATTAAAATCTGGAGTAGGAAAACAGCTTTACTTTATTGACCAACAGCATAAAATATCATACATGCAATTTAATCACGTTATAACATCACGTAAATGAGACAAATTTATGGACAAATACGATCCATCAAAATCAGTCAAAAAGTTCTGATTTCAAAACAATGATAAATTCCTCCTCTATAATGTCACACATCAACTCGGTGCCCAAATACTGTGAAACTATTAAATCAAATTTAGACGAAAGTTCTTATAAATGATGCATACTGATGATATGCGTAAAATTTCATAAAGTGTAAGTATGAACTGTGTGACTAATGAGGTTGATATTCGTGTATACGGATAGCTGAGAGTGTTAGTGGTGGCGTGGCAGATAAAATCGATCAACGGATAGTGAAAGCCACAACAGTTCATATCAGTCTGGAAGGATTATGGTATTATCGCGATGTAAAACTGAGTGTTAATATCGGTAGTGCACAATGTGAATTTTCAATGATCATAACATTATTTAGTGAGAATAGACGAATTTACTATTTTATAGCTGAAAATCAGCATATCGTATATTTTTAGTGTAAATTCGATGAATTATAAGTTTTCGGTTGATATGAAAGTGCTGACCGAGTTCAAGGTTGCCTAACTCATCCCATCAGGCTCCGAACACGATGAAGAGCGTAAATAAATCAGATCCACGTTAACTGAAATTCTAAAGAACGATCGTGAACAGAGGTGGGCAACGAAAGCAAAAGAGATAGAAAAGGCAGAGGCTATAAATAACACCAGACAGCTTTTCAGACTAATAAAGTAAAGCGGAATTAAGATGTCAAGTGTAAGTGAGACGATCTCGGAAAAAGACAACACCCATATCTGCTCTCAGCCCAGACGTTTAGAACCATTGGTAGAACACTTTAAGGAGCAGTTCAGCTGGCCTTCGGCAACTCTACAACTACCCACCATTCCCGAACAGCCTGAATGGAACAATAAGACAGGCCCCTTGAATCTAATTAAAGCTCAAAAAGCTATAGCTAACCTGAAATGAAGAAAAGAAGCTGGACCAGATGAATTGGCTCCCGAGGTCTTTAAGTATGGTGGTCCAGTTTTAGAGATTAAGTTGACTAATATTTTAGCTAAAATCTAGGAGTTGGATGCGATCCCATCTGACTGGTCGCAATCACTGATTATCATCGAAATCATCCTGTGATAATCATAGAGGAATTAGTTTGACTAATATAGCATTTAAAATACCAGCCTCAATCATTATCGGATGCCTAACAAAGACTCGTGAACTGAAAACACAAGAAAACTAGACTGGCTTCAGACCTAGTCATGGCCGTAACGACCACATATTCACTATTCGTCTGATTTTCGAACACAGGCATTCTTATCAGAGTTCGAAAATGATAGCTTTTCTTGACTTAAAAGGAGCATCTAGAACTTCTTCAATAAAACAACCAAAGTAAAAAATATAATAAACATTGCCAAGTTTCCGGTAACAAATACTTCATCATAAACAAGATTTCTTTATAATATATAATTGAATAAAGTTATCTTTATGTAGTAATCAGAAATCCAAACAACCAATAAATAAATTATATAGAATAAAAAGATTAAAACTATTACATAATTACATCAAAGATGTAATTATCAACATACTCAAATCCTAAATATTATTGATTTTTTTTGAGAAAATGTTGCTAAGCATTTGGTCTGCTCATCACGTCTAATAACATATCCATATATTTTAACTTAGATAATTTGGAGACGCCAGATAATGTTTTTCTTTTTAAAAAACAAACAAACAGTTTATGATCTGAAATTATTTTATTCTAACATATAGATATTTGTACGAGGGGGCACCAGATACATATGCACCTCACAAATCTCATTTCATTCGTGTGAGGGCTGTGATACTGCCCGGGTGCCAAAACCGAAGTAACTGGTTTTTTTAGAGGAACACACCCGGAGCCTTCGACCTAAAGGTCTGATCCACAAGGAAGTTGAGCATCGTGAGGAAATGCAGTCTCATGGTAGCCGATGAACAACGATTGGTTCATATGCCATTTGTTCCCTCAGGGTACTGTAGCCCATGTGCACAACTGGTTTGGAATTAGGGTTTTCCAACACCCCTAGGTGAACTGTCTGTGACCACCAACCAGAATAAAGCTCCAGATATCCGCTTTTCGTCCTCTCAATTTCGTAAACAACATCCCCGCCACGAGAAGGCAGTGATTAGGACTTCCTTGACAGAGGCTATATACGCGTAGCCGTATGAGAGTATTTCGAGAGGGCGAGCGAACTCTCCCCACTCTCAGCCGTACCAAGGCATTAGGAGGCTATGGTCAGAAATAGTGTGCATAATAAAGTAAGAATACACTTTTTATGTATATATCACAGTGTAAAATATTTTACCCTTTGTGAGATACAATGATTAAGTTAATTAATTTAATTACGTAATATCATGCAGTTATAGGAAAGCTGTAATCAGATAATAATAATAATAATAATAATAATAATAATAATAATAATAATAATAATAATAATACAACACATCGACTAGTCTAATACAGAATAAGACTTTAATGTAATATAATTCGACTTAAATATAGTTTCATTGATGAAAAAAATGTTTATACTCTACCAACATCCGCTTCGAGATTAAAAAAAATGTTGTTTACAAGTAAAACGAACAATTATTAGTATTTATGTTAAGATGTGATGTAAATACTACTGATAGCCAATCCATAAAAGTTTAATTCGTATTTGTATGACTTAATTTACCTGAAATGATTTCATATATTAAGTTTATTCATAAACTGTGTGCTTCTCTTTATTATTAAAGCAAGAAAATTTAGTACGATAATGAGTTTGGCAAAATATGATTTGTTGCATAACTTCAAAAGACATAAAAATAAGACAAACCTAGTTAGTCTTTAAGTGATTAAACGTATTCAACAAAAGAATACCTGGACTTAGGTTTTATGATATTTGATACTTTCCACCAAAGTGTCCTTGAAGCAACTGGAGGATTCGATCCCATACCAATCACCTTCATGGTTTGGCATATTATCACTGAGCGACTTGATCAGAGACTGATCACAGCCCATGGGACTGAAATGGTTACAATTGATTGGTTACTGATTAGTGAGGAAGTTCATGTTTCTTTAGTCCTTTATGATGTCATTCATTAGTGCGACTAGTCTTTGTATCTTGACATCGCGTGCACTGGATTGAAATGTCAAGTGGTTGCATGTAGTTAACATGAAACCCTACATATAAGATTCCAGATACACAAAAGAGGGAATGTTGTTTACGGAAGTGAAAGGACGAAAAGCGGATGTCCGGAGCTTTAAACGGGGTGGTGGGTGTGGACAGTCCACCTTGGGAGTTGGGAAACCCTGATTCCAAACCATTGGTGAACATGGGCTCCAGTATCCTGAAGGAACAAATGGCGTATGAACCAATCGTTGTTCACCGACTACCATGGGACTGCATATTCTTACGATGCTCCACTTCCTTGTGGATCAAACCTTTAGGTCGAATGCTCCAGGTGTGGTCCCCTAAGAAAACCACGTGCTTCGGTTTGGGCACCCGGGCAGTATCACAGCCCTCACACAAAACAAATGAGATTTGTGTGGCGCATATGTATCTGGTGCCTCTTCATACAAGTATTTATGTGTTCAAATCAATTAGTTCAGCATATAATCCATCATCATATTCCAACTATTTCAGTTATAAGTGATTTACTCAGATTTGTATCATCATCTTAGTTACGAACCTGCGCATTTAGACTTGTACATTGTTATTCTTTGTGAGCTTGTATTTTATTGATAACTAATCGCGTGATTTCACGAGCCTCTCTATCATAAAAGGCAGACATGAACACTTGTTTAGACTTCCAATGTTCCTATAAAGAATAGTTACGTGAATGACATTCCGTGATCCATTGATTGTGACAAATACAGAGAGTGATAACAGATTTAGTAGATTTATCCATGTTTGTATATTAATAAAGAAATTCGATATTTATGAAAAATTGATCTGGGTAAATCATTTCAAATGATCCATTAGTATTGATATTTGTGAAAATAATCTAACCAGCCAGTTTTTAGATTTGTTACGGCCTGTATTGTTATTGTTATTCTTGTTTTTGCGTAAAATCCTGTACATACAGTTATTGATACTTGAAGTTAATGTATGCAAAATGAAATAGAAATTTTACGTAATTAAATTTCGCTCACACTCAACGTAGAGCCTGATACATTTGTGCAACGGCTCTTTCTGCCACACAACAACAACACACAGAGAGAGATACTAGAGCAATAGAAGCAGAAACAGTATAAATGAGAGTAAGAAGGACTAAAAATGAGCACTATGTTTCGGAAATATGGATTAGTGAACAGAAAGTACAAGTATAAAACTGAGGTTTTAAGGGAAGACAAAATATGAATTCATCTGAGCCATTGGGACTGATTAAGGACAAAGTAACTGTATTTATTGTTGGCATGTGTATTATCAATCAAAAACCCACTATTATTATTATCATACAAATCGATTTAGGCATATTAATTACTGCAAGGTATCATATTTTTAAAAATGATTTTCGAGATTTAAAAGTGCAACAACCGAAATTTAAACCCTTTCGGTAAAAATAATTATGTAGTCACCAGTTACTTAATTCGAGAAGTGATTCCAAGAGTTCTAGTAAGCCATGAAAATTAGAGTTCAATTATATCGAATGTGAGGCAATAACCCACCAATTACAATGGAGTATGATCGCCCAACATCGAAACTTTAGGGTTCTACGTTCGACCTGTGGTTGGGTTGTGGACGCTGATAAGTCTATTACCATACCACTTAATCTTGTCTTCCTATCCGGTTCCTATAACTTAATTGCTACTATACGTCAAGTGAAACAGAGGAAAGGCACGAATTGAGTAAAAGCTTTACTTCGAGATTAGTTTGCGTACAAAAAAGTAAGGATATATATACAAAGGGTTATGCACGACTTTGAGCTTCTAGAAACTTCTCAAACCATGCTAAACACAGTAACAGTATAGGACAATATTCAATCAAAACGATGAAACGTGATTCTTCCTTTTCTAGATGTTACTACAAAGCTTCTATTCAACACTGATTGGATAAAACATTTCCTGGAGTTTCTGATCCTCTATCGACTATGAAGAGGGACATTTGGGGACTTATCAGATATTCATACATGGATGAAACGGCGAGACTATAATTTATGGACGAACCAATCAGATATAAGATAACAGGTCATGAAGTTTGGCGCGAAATTCATTCATCCATTTGGCTAAATACTGTTTTGGTATTATAGCTGATCTAATTTTTAACTCTAACCATCAACTGTAAATCATAACTCTTACTGGTTTATAACCCTCATTTAATCCTTATCAGTAGGTGTCCATTCTCAAGGTAACTTCAGTGTCATTCAAAGGTCGTCCATAAATTATAGTCTCACCAGTGAATCTTGGTTGTCAATAGTATTTGTACATGATGTAAACTATGAGAATTCAACAATTTTCACAGACCTTGTAGAGTAAAAGGTTTAAACTCGATAAAAAAACAAACAATACATTCTTCATCTTTTTTTGCTTTGTATCCATTCTAATCATTTGACCTTAATAAGCTTTTTAATCATACAATGTAAATCAGAGTTCTCCTTTTGTTAAAACCTATTGCTTATTATAGCAGGTTTTTGTCAGTATTGTAATTTTCGAGACAAAAAAATGTAGCACAATTGAAACAAGTCTACGTTTTTTTTTGTTGTTGTTGTCAAGACTGAATATATGTATGTATATATACATTGTAGTGTCTGTCTAGGTCTACCTACATTGAATGTGCATCATTTAAAATGTTTATAACAAAGAAACAATAAAATAAGCTTTTTTTAAGATAGAAAACTTTTTTTTTCTCTTTTCCTTAATCAACAAACTAAAAGATGATTGTTTCTAGGGGTACGATAAAAGAAACAGACAATGTGAAAAAAGAAACACCTTTAAGATTCAAACCATTTGGAACAATAAAGTTTATAAATAGTAGTGAAAATATTAGCTGCAAAGGAGAATAAATTACTTATTTCTGAATTATATTTAGTGAGAATATATAAATTAACTAAGTATTATGGCCACGCGTATACAGCCACTATCAGGGAAGTTCTACTCACTGCCTTCTGGTAACACGGGTGTTGTTTACGAAATTGAGAAGACTAAAAGGAAATGTACGACGCTTTAGTCGGGTTGATGGATATGGAGGATCCACTTAGGACAGTTGGAAAACCCTGAATCCAAACCAGTGTTCTACATGGACTCCAGGATCCTGAGGGGACAAATGGAGTATGGACCTAATGTGGATCACTGGCTACCATGGGACTGCATCTCCTTACGTCGATCCACTGCATTGAGGATTAGACTTCTAGGTCAAAGGCTCAGAGTGTGGCCCCTTAAGAAAACCACCTGCTTTGGTTATGGCACCCAAACAAATCAATTGATGAAATAGTGAAACTTCATCAGTTGAGATCGCTGGGACATGTGTTACGCATGCCCAATCACCAACTGCCCCGACATGCGATGTTTTATGGTGTAGGAATAGGTTGGAAGGAAGCTAAGGGTGGCCAAACCAAAACATGGTACAAATCCATGAAGTCACTGACAAGTGAACTGAGTGAGCCATGTTGACAAGTGTAGACTAACTAAGTGTAGACCCGTGAGACGATAGCAACCAATGGTCAGAGACCTTGAACGACATGACTCAAAATGGTTTGCAATGGTGCAGGTGCATCTACTCTTTTTGTTCTCCCAAATTCTAATGTTCGGAATTCTTCATGTCTCCTTTTTTTTACTCTTTCCAAATTTATTTCATTGGATTATACTCCTTGAATAACATCTTCAAAGCCTAATCTTTTCGATCACTGCTTATACTCTTACTAACTCTATCACTATGGGATTTGAATAGACAACTACATCTCTGTGTTAATGTGGTAGGGCAACTCGAACTGATGTACGTACGTACAAAGTTCTACGTTGTTACTGGCTGACTGACTGACCCAGGCAGTAACCCAGCCCATACCCAGATTGAATGATAACTACTTTGTGGAGTATCAACTAATAATCTAAAGAGGTAGCCAAATTTAAGGTAAATACATCCATTCAACATTAAAATTAAAGCACAAACTTATTCAAGTTCCCATTACATACCAATCATTTTAAGATAAATAAGTTTATCACACTAACGAGAACACGTTCATGAGCTGAAATTCCACTATGTTGTAAGCAATTTGGAAAAAGAATATTCCTTGAACACCGAGAGTCACTATCACAAAACTGCTTTGTGTACCAAGTAATTTTAGATTTCACTATTTCGTCATGTATAACAATATTTATAACTCTTTATATAAAATAGATTAAATGTAGTTAGTAGTGGAATTTAAGATGCATGTTTCATCCTACTCAGGACTCATAAACTTGCATCATGGCTATATTGAGGTAAACCAAACAGAATACACTTATTCCAATTGCGAATTATCCAATCGTAGTCAAAATATCAACAATGGGATTATTCAAACAATTAAAAATTAAATTTCTAACTCTTGCTTAAGTTTTGTGCAAAAGTGTGAATAGTGTGAAGTGAACAATATACATAGAAATGTAAACTATTGGATATTAATTCAATAGTTTGAATGTTAAGTGCTCACTACGAGACCTGAAGGCTATAGGGTTTTAAAAAGAAACAATATAGTTTAAAAAAAATTGTAATAATGTACATCTGTAAGTAATAATAAATTGCTACTCATAACACTTACCCTTGAATTTTGTCACAGTTTCATCTTTGTAATAATCAAAAAATATTTCAGTTTTATTTTGACTATGAACTTTGTATAGAATGAAGTATCTTCTTTTCCAGTCCTATTTCATCATATGTTACAAATGTAAAATAAGAAATATGATTATTTCTATGATAAAAAAGCAGCAAGCAACTCTTCACACCTTAGTTAATCATAAGCAATTTAAGAACCTGTTACATATGTGTATCAGCTTATTACATCACATCAGTACAGAGAGAGACAAAAGTATCAAAACAAACGACAGAGTAGTAAAAGTAGTGATAGTAGTATCTGAGATCGTGAGAAAACGTTAGGTATATATAATATGATTAAAAGAAAATGAATATGTCCATGGAATATAAAGTATAAGATAATTTTGAAACAGAATAAGTGTACCTGTGTTAATGCAACTGGTTCTAAACTATGTCACACAACGTCTCCAACCAATCGTTACAACAGTTTTGTAGACACCAATTAAATAGTTAACATCTACTAATATGGCTTAGTCCAACGGTCAATGAGTTCATGAGCTGACAATCCGTCTTAGTTTCACCATTTCTAGCTTCCTTTGAGTCCACTTCTACACTAGCTAGTATCTCGTATTCAGGTAGACGGTGGTTTGGCATACACAACACATATCTCAACCACTTTATACGATAAAGATTAAACACCTTATTAGTTAATTTGACATTCTTGACCCAGTATCCTGTATCTAACCTTGGCATTACTCAAGCGATGATCACCAAACGACTGAATAATGCATCGAAGACACATATGACCAAATGTTAGTAAATTACGAATATCTTTTATCTTTAAAGACCACATCTCACATCCATAAAGCAGCATAAAGGAAACTGACAAACAATAAATTCATCATTTGCCTAATAGATGGACATCTCCCCTACGCTACAAGTGATGCAAATCGGCCAAAATCAAGGTAGGCTTCCGAATCTGTGTCAAGATTTCGTCAGACACTAACCTACCGAGGCTGCGCAGAATTTGAAAATCGATGAAGTGGTCTATAATCGTAAGCACCTATCAACATAGATCAGTCCAAAAGTCAATGACTTCATGGGTCGACGCTATGTCTTGGTTTTTCTGTCCCTAGATTACATCCTATAGACTACTACACTAACAAACATCACGCATCGAAGTGGAGGTTGATTCACCATATCTACATATATATCTATATTTCAAAGCTCTAATTCAATCAATCATAACTGATGTAGGAACCTGAACTGAATATGTATTAGCTCAATTCAGTATATCAAATTAGTATAGTAAGATGAGCTTATTATCATTAAAATAAACATTACAGCACTGAAAACAGTAGTATAAATAATAAACATAAAGATTAGATATAGAAAATATATGGTATTTTATTACTAAAACACACTTTTTTGTATTCGTCTTATTTATTCACCACCAACCTACAAATTCAGAACTTACAAAACACATAATATTGTACTTTAATTTTGTTCTCATCTCATCGACTATGTTTCTGTCAGTTTGTTATATACATGTTTGAACAAGTAGTAAGACATAAATAAATAGTAGGCTACTAAACAATTTTATTTATTTTAATTTGATTTTTCTTTTAAAAAGAAAAAGAAATGATATTTGGCCTAATTTATAAATACTACTCACTACTAAATCTAAACCTAAGAATATGCATGAAGCCTTACTTATCTATACATATATGTGTAACTAAGGGTTTGAGACAATAAAATCTTCACTATATAAACAGTTAGCGTTTCTTTTAGCGAGTTAGTTTTCTACGAGATGGAGTCGCTAATCCCATGCTCAACCCTCCTCCTTTACCCGGGCTTGGAACCGGCAGTAACTCTAGAAGAGCATTCCAAGTAAGGACAGGAGTCGTACAAGACTGTCTACTCCCTCCCTTCCTCTTTCTTCTGGTGGTTGATTGGATTATGAAGACCTGAGGGAAAACACGGAATACAATGGACAGCTCACAACCAATTAGACGATTTACACTTCGAAGATGACTTAGCCTTCCTATCCCATACACATCAACAAATGTAAATGAAGACAACTAGTGTAGCAGCAGCCTCTGCATCAATAGACCTCAACATACATAAAGGAAAAACCAAGATCCTCAATTACAACACGGAAAACACCAACACAATACCTGGGGAGCACCATCGATGAACAAGGATGTTTAGATGCAGATGTCAAGGCGACGATTGGCGAAGCAAGAACAGCATTCCTACACTTAAAGAACATATTAAACCTAAAACAACCGTCAACCACTATCAAGACAGTTCTACTGTACGGGGCTGAATCTTGGAGAACTACTACAACAATCATCAAGAAGGTACAAGTATTTATAAACAGTTGTCTGAGCAAGATGCCCAACATCCATTCTCCGGATACCATCAGCAATAGCCTTCTGTGGGAAAGAACAAACCAGATTCCAGATGAATAGGAAATTAGAAAAGACTATGGAAATGGATAGGACATACATTACTGAAATCACCAAACTGCAATCACGAAGTAAGCCCTAACTTGGAATCCTGAAGGGAAGCAAAGAAGAGGAAGGCCAAGGAACACATTTTGTCGAGAAATAGAAACAGTTATGAAAAGAATGAATAACAACTGAAAAGAACTGGAAAGGATTACCCAGGACAGGGTTGGATGGAGAATGCTGGTGAGCGGCCTATGCTCCTTCATGAGGAGTAACAGGTGTAAGTAAGTAAGCACGTACATAAACAGTGGACAATTGAATATTTACACTATTTGATTTGACATGAAGATCAATTGTAACTGTGATGGTTTAGTGAAAAAGTAAGGAGAACTATGAATTTTGAGTTAAATTGAAATCACTATTATATAATATGCAATTTATGAGATCACTTGAAAATATGTATAAAGATGATTAAAAGTGAAATTATCTGTAGAAATGTGAAGTCACAATTCCATTTTGACTTTAGTATTAAAATATAGATCCTAATTAACTTTGTATATATATATATATATATATATATATATATATATATATATATATATATATATATATATATATATATATATATATATATATATATATATTGACTTACCATATATAATATTCAAAGTCGAACTACAAGTGTTTAATATACATACCCTTGTATAATTAGTCAAAAAGTACAAGCATAGAATCTATGTGATTTAAAAATTGATGTGCTAGCTAACTTATGGAGTTAAGTGCAAATCTATATAATTCAATTGGGTTAAAAACGGTACATTTACTGGTCAGGTTTTACAATCGAATAGTTTGTAAGGGAATTTGATAGGAACTGTTAGAACTTTTTAAGTTAGAATCTTCTAAAACAGTTTTTTAAATAATACTCAATCTTTCGGTAAAATAAGTTGAAGAATTTCAATATTAAGCAAATATTTTCGTTGCAATTTACTCACGAATACATTCGCCGAAATTCAGCACTTTAGAATGGATTTCAAGTCATTTTTGAAGATTTTATGGAGTTTGCCCTCACTGTTTATTCTTGGGACTAGTTTATTTGACATAGATCTAGCCAATCATGACCTTTAAATGGAGATAATAGACCTTTAAGTCAACAATAGCCTGAATTAACCCCTTAAAGGTAAGTTTCTTAATCTGAAAAATTCTTCAAGTAAAATGTTCGCTTTTTTGAGTCAACTGACATTTATAAACAAGCTTTCCGTATATAACATCCCGAGCTCAGATCACAGCTACTAGATATAAATCTACAGTCTCATTAAAACCAACGGACTGATTCCTGATTACAATACACTAGTGGAAAATTGTGAACAGTTTTGCACGTTTCATTGAAATTGTTATATTACGTTGCTTGTAGAAGTTTATGTTATCCTAATATAAACATGTGACGGATTCTAGTAAGCTAAAGTAGGTTTGTACGTTATTGTTACTATTGAACGTGTGATTATTAATTCCTATCTGCAGTAGTAAACATCACACTTAGTACTGCTACGTTCAAATGTTGTGCCAAGAAAAATATGTCTAGATCTTAAAGGGAATACGTTTGTCTTATCATAATAGATGTTAGCGGGACATAGACTAGATTAAAGCATGCTCAATGCATGATTGTTTTGGTGCACGCTGATTGGCTGATTCTTATCCAATCAGCACTAGTCGATAGTCGGAGAATATTTTGGAATCTTATGTAAAAACTATAAATATACCGACGTTTTCCCCTATTGTGCTTCCTACTGGCTTCTGACTTGCTATTTGGAATATAATCTTTTTCCTGTTCAACCGTGTTTTGATTTGGGGACTTGTCGAGTGAATCGGTGTCCGAGAATACTAAGCAATAGGAATAGCTGGGTCATTAACCGTAAGAAGAAAGAGAGATTATAACAATAGATCAATAGATAAAATATGGGATTGATTGACATATTCGAACAGATTATTTATACAAGACGCCGATCTTTCTATATTAACTGACTAGATAGCAGAAGAAGGAATCACTGGTCAAACAACAAACTACATATATTAGGGATTTATAGCTGTCATTTCCACATAAAATGGCTTATTAAAAAGTTTTGTCATGAATTATCTATCACAAAACAAATAACTAATTAAGAATAAAAATGGAATTCGCAAAACAATCAAACAATACTATGCATCCTGCTAAAAGACAAAATGGTGTAGGAGAATTAAGATATCCTACTGACCATCCCCAAATTATCTACACATAGCCATGTCATTTAAATTCATCTGTACACTATATTCAGAGATTGTCAGTCGGTCAGTAACAACATAAACTTTGTACGTACATCAGTCCGAGTTGCCACACCACATTAACACAGAGATGTAGTTGTCTATTCAAATCCCATAGTGATAGAGGTAGTAAAATTATAAGCAGTGATCGAAAAGATTACGCTTTGAAGGCGTTATTCAAGGAGTATAATCCAATGAAATAAATTTGGAAAGAGTAAAAAAAAGGAGACATGAAGAATTCCGAACATTGGAATTCGGGAGAACAAAAAGAGTGGATACACCTGCACCATTGCAAACCATTTTGAGCCATATCGTTCAAGGTCTCTGACCATTGGTTGCTATCGTCTCACGGGTCTACACTTAGTTAGTCTACACTTGTCAACATGGCTCACTCAGTTCACTTGTCAGTGACTTCATGGATTTGTACCATGTTTTGGTTTGGCCACCCTTAGCTTCCTTCCAACCTATTCCTACACCATAAAACATCGCATGTCGGGGCAGTTGGTGATTGGGCATGCGTAACACATGTCCCAGCGATCTCAACTGATGAAGTTTCACTATTTCATCAATTGATTTGTTTGGGTGCCATAACCAAAGCAGGTGGTTTTCTTAAGGGGCCACACTCTGAGCCTTTGACCTAGAAGTCTAATCCTCAATGCAGTGGATCAACGTAAGGAGATGCAGTCCCATGGTAGCCAGTGATCCACATTATTACAATTTTTTTTAACTATATTGTTTCTTTTTAAAACCCTATAGCCTTCAGGTCTCGTAGTGAGCACTTAACATTCAAACTATTGAATTAATATCCAATAGTTTACATTTCTATGTAAGAGTTAGAAATTTAATTTTTAATTGTTTGAATAATCCCATTGTTGATATTTTGACTACGATTGGATAATTCGCAATTGGAATAAGTGTATTCTGTTTGGTTTACCTCAATATAGCCATGATGCAAGTTTATGAGTCCTGAGTAGGATGAAACATGCATCTTAAATTCCACTACTAACTACATTTAATCTATTTTATATAAAGAGTTATAAATATTGTTATACATGACGAAATAGTGAAATCTAAAATTACTTGGTACACAAAGCAGTTTTGTGATAGTGACTCTCGGTGTTCAAGGAATATTCTTTTTCCAAATTGCTTACAACATAGTGGAATTTCAGCTCATGAACGTGTTCTCGTTAGTGTGATAAACTTATTTATCTTAAAATGATTGGTATGTAATGGGAACTTGAATAAGTTTGTGCTTTAATTTTAATGTTGAATGGATGTATTTACCTTAAATTTGGCTACCTCTTTAGATTATTAGTTGATACTCCACAAAGTAGTTATCATTCAATCTGGGTATGGGCTGGGTTACTGCCTGGGTCAGTCAGTCAGCCAGTAACAACATAGAACTTCGTACGTACGTACATCAGTTCGAGTTGCCCTACCACATTAACACAGAGATGTAGTTGTCTATTCAAATCCCATAGTGATAGAGTTAGTAAGAGTATAAGCAGTGATCGAAAAGATTAGGCTTTGAAGGCGTTATTCAAGGAGTATAATCCAATGAAATAAATTTGGAAAGAGTAAAAAAAAGGAGACATGAAGAATTCCGAACATTAGAATTTGGGAGAACAAAAAGAGTAGATGCACCTGCACCATTGCAAACCATTTTGAGTCATGTCGTTCAAGGTCTCTGACCATTGGTTGCTATCGTCTCACGGGTCTACACTTAGTTAGTCTACACTTGTCAACATGGCTCACTCAGTTCACTTGTCAGTGACTTCATGGATTTGTACCATGTTTTGGTTTGGCCACCCTTAGCTTCCTTCCAACCTATTCCTACACCATAAAACATCGCATGTCGGGGCAGTTGGTGATTGGGCATGCGTAACACATGTCCCAGCGATCTCAACTGATGTGGTTTCACTATCTCACCAATCGATTTGTCACCCTTACCTAGTACCCGCTTCATTGATTGATACAACTATGAATTGGTCAATTAACTTAAGTTTGCTGATATCAAGCGACCAATAATCTACATCTCAATGACTTTTGTTTAGATAAATACACACAATATTTATAAACTAATGTAACAGTACATAAGATGTAATTATTCGTGTTTTAAATTTATACAAACTTAAGAAAATAAACATGGTATAATACCAGATTTTATTTAAAATTACAAGTGAATCAACAGTTTAATTTTGTCTTTTAAGCATTAGCCAATTCTTAAAGTGATTTAAACAACTTACTAGTTAACAGATATATAGTTAGTATAATAGAATGCAAATATATTCATATTCAAAATAGATTTATATGATAACCAAACGAAAAAACATTTTTGATTTCAGTACAATCATGATGTAATTAGTTAGTCAATAACCCGACTGTATAGTTAGTTTAAGTCAACATAGAGCCTGCTACAGATGTATGTTCCCTTAAGTAATCTGAAATGTAGTTGATTTATTCTTTTTTCACAATCTCCCTCTCCATCTTATGAAATAAACCATGAACAAGTGACAAGTTTGATCATACGAATGATTACTTTTAGTCGTTTTAAATATTGGTTGCACTAACTCAAGGATAAACGATTATTTATCTATTTCACAAATTTCGAAGTTTTTATCCATAATGGTCGGTGATAAATATGAAAGAATTATAACAAGCGTTTGTGATTAAATACTTATATTTTAAATAATGTGAATATCCTAGAAGAAAATTTTGAAACGAATGGAGATATGTTATTAGAAATATGAATTAACAGAGAAGGTAAGATGAGTATAGATCGTTTGTTCATTAACAATTTCGAAGAATTTTGAAATGTCAACGTCGTATCTACCATCAAGTAGATGAGTGGTAATACTCAAAATATTCAGTTCTCAAGGTGACAGTGACAACACCAAGTTACTGGGTCAAGAGCAATGGTCTGTACTCCAAAACTACTAATGACGTATACTAGTTACTGTAAGACCCTCAATTTGACTTACTCCATTAACCATAGCTTCCAATTAAAATGTTGCAACATATTTTACTATTTATTGTCGATTTATTATTTTACTATTAATTGGAGTGGCCTTTTAATTTTCAACTGACGTCGCAATGCCATAAGGTTGAGAGAGTACTAATGAAAAGTCTAAAACTAGAAAAAAATAGCTATTCAGTGCTTACCGATATTCAATAGTTCCCTAGCTAGTCTTATTTTGTTCTGAGAGCTACTTTATACTTGATATATCAAGAGTATATCACCAACTCTGATGACATTGAAAAACATTAAGCATAGAGGTAATTCGAAGAGAAGGAATGAATTCGGGGGAAATAATTTTAAGGCTTAAAATTTTACTTCAATTATATCAAATAATACATTTTATTGGTGCGTTTTCAATGCGATTATCTCTCTTCTAACTTGGAAAGAGTAAGAATAAAGAATCAAGCAGAATAACACGAGCCCACTTGATTTTGTTAGGTTCTTGTCAGCTGCTCACAACTTGTAATATTTAGAATTCAAAATTAAAGTGGGTTGAAAATACTTGCATAATGAATGTAATAGGAATTCGTTGTAATTATATGCCAGCTTAGCATTGCAAAGACGTAAATAAATTTTAGTTATTATTCGTCCGTTTGAACACAGAATTCTTAGTATTATTGAGCACCAAAATATACGCCACATAAATAAGAAAATTCGATTGCGGATAAATAAGCCTATCATTGGTCATTAGGTATCGTTTAATTGCACCTCGTGACTTCGTACCACCGCCTCATGGATTAAACCTTTTGGTCGAAGGCTCGATGAGTGAATTTCTAAGAAAACTACCTGTTTTGGTCTGTGAGTACGAGCAAAATTTCAGCCCAAAGGGATCTGTGTATGAAAAACCTTTATTTTTTAACAATATAATCATTTTATTTTGAACGCCATATTTCTTGGAACCTTATTGTGCCAGACGTGTTTTGTGCTAAAAGCACAATAAAAGGCTTGGCATGCATACAAACTACAGTTGACTAAATAACCAATAATCAGCTTAGGGGTTACGGAGACCGTTGAATGTTTTTTCCAAGGCGGCCTGCTTGAGCATCTGGGCTACCTGTTCCTGCCATCTAGATATTTCGACAAGTTATCTATCTTTGTTTGTTTTAATATATCATTATGTCTATTAATCGTACAACCTATTCTGCTGCGTTTCTGAAAAGTGTACAACCTTTCGTTGTCAAAGTTACAAAAAGCTCAAAAAGAGAGAATATTGTTGCTGGCAATATACAACGAAAAGAATGTACATTATTCAGATATTCATTTACTGGACTGTTAACATCTAGTTGGCGATCACTCAGTATTTATCGCGAGGACCGACCAAGAAGAAAGAAACGGAAACTTGTCGAAATACTTTGTGCTGAGAATTCTATATTGTACCAATAATATAATATTGAATAAAGCTAATAATAATAAATAAATAAAATAACCGATCCCAGTTAAAACACCAAATATTCAACAATCTTTACAACCCGCTATTATGATAGTTATCATGCGCTTATTAGTGACCAGCTTAGAGGGCAAATGTTCCGAGTTCTAGTGATAGACAAAGTTTGATTGTGTAGGATGTTAAGAAGATAGCCACTAAAGACAGTAGGAGATGACCGCGCAATATTGCAGATTGGCTGAATTTAGACATGCACATCATTGGATTCTGGCTGTGGCCTAGAGATTAAGAGCTCACGCACAAGACCGAAGGTACTAATTTTGTTAACCTGTGATAGGTTTATGGTGGCTTATTCAGATGAGTCCCACATCAGAACGAAACAGCTGTCCAATGCTTTATGGTTTTCAGTGGTTTTCTGATTTAAGCCGGTTAGTGGTCTCAATAAATGACTGATAATTAACAAATGAAATTGTAATAACTAAATCACTTATATGTAGCGTGAAAGCAAATAGTGCAACCAAATCTAGAGATTTGTTAACAAATCAATTAACAACTTACTAGAACACTGGATTCTGACGAATGTTTCATACAGTGAAGCTAAAGATGTTTTATTAAAGTTTCGTTTAAAAGAAAACAAAACAGCAATGAACATACATTCCACAGGAGTTTACGTAACAATTCAATACGTCTGCTTTTCATCAAATAGCCACAAATGATAACATCTCCAGTAGACAAAACTTTCGAGCTTTTATTAAGATTTCAATTAAATAAATGATTTAAAGGAACACTATGACACTAGCTTACTTCGAAACCATAATTAGCTCGTTATTTAGCAAAGTGACGCTCGAAAATGAATTTTATTTGCCACGAGACCACCTGGAATATAGTGACGTTTTTCTTTAACTTGGAATCTAGAAGAGAAAAAACCAGCATTAATAGCGATTAACTTTGCAAAATGACAATCATAAAAGCAATGAACCTTTGCCTTAAAGTAGTATAAATAGTCCTCGAACCAATACTTTTGACTCTGACTATAAACAAAAGTAAAATCACGACAAACACCGAAATAATATTCGTTTTCAAGTCAGTCAGTCAGTCAGTCAGCTACAACGTAGGACCAGGCACATATGTGCATCGGTCCAGGTTGCCATACCTCATTAGCACAACAAGATGAACACCGGATTCATAGGAGTGGTTAGGTCAAAGGTTGCAATAAGGATATAGTATAGGAAGGAAGAATTAGTTCGTATGAAGTGATTTTAATCTCTTAGTTTAAGGGAAGACAAAGAGTGTATACACCGACGCCATTGTGATCGATTCTGAGCCATGTCACCAAGAGTCTCCAACCATTGGTTACGATAGTCACGCGGACCCCAACCAAGTAATCTGCATCTACCAGCATGGCTAAGACTAGAAGTTAGTGACTTCAAGCACTGATGCCACGTTTTGGTTTGGCCGCCCCTAACTTTCTTCCAACCATCCCCTACACCGGTTAGCATTGCACGTCGTGGTAATCGGTGTTCAGGCATACGTAATACGTGGCCCAACCATCTCAGTCGATGAAGATTCATAACCTCATCAACTGATTTACCATCATTCCCTAATACCCTGCGTCTAATCTCACTATTACTTACCCGGTGATCCCAGCAGATGCCAGCAATATTTCTAAGGCATCTGTGGTCAAATACTTGTAGCTTACGGGTGTCTTCTACTCTTAAAGGCCATGTTTCGCTGCCGTAAAGTAAGACAGAACGGACTGCCGCGCAGTATACTCGTCCTTTTATTGATAGACGGATATCTCGCCTTCGCCATAGGTGGCGCAAGTTGGCAAAAGCCAATCGAGCTTTTCGAATCCGTGCTGAGATTTCGTCAGACACCAACCCATTAGGGCTGATCAGACTTCCAAGATAAGTGAAGTTGTCGACGCGTTCAACTACTTCACTCCCTATCCTTAGTTCAGGTGTTGACGCAGACCAGTCCTGAAGCAACAACTTGCATTTAGAGGGAGAGAAGCGCATCCCAAACATTCTGGCATTGTTGCTCAGTGCTACCAGAAGACTCTGCATTTTGTCAGCCTCTTCACCAAACAGGACTATATCATCTGCGTATTCTAAGTCGATAAGTGGACCTCCTGGAAGGAGATCAATACCCGAGAATTCAGTCGACGAGAGTGTTATTTCCATCAATAGGTCTATGATGAAGTTAAACAAAAATGGAGAAAGTGGACAGCCTTGACGGACACCACTTGAAGTTGCAAAAGTAGATGACAGTTCGCCATAAGCTCTGACTCGACTAGTAGTGTTCGAGTAAAGAGCCTTCACAAGGTTTATGTACTTCTGAGGTACGCCTTTCAATGACAGACACTGCCACAGAGTCTCGCGGTCTACAGAGTCAAACGCTGCTTTTAAGTCAAGAAAGACCACCATCGTCGGACGCCGATAGGTATGCCTGTGTTCTGGAACCTGACGAATGGTGAATATGTGGTCGATGCAGCCACGACCAGGTCTGAAGCCAGCTTGGTTCTCTCGAGTTTGTAGTTCACGAGTCTTAGTTAGGCGTCTGATAATTATCGAGGCTAGTATTTTAGATACTATGTTTGTTAAACTTATCCCTCTGTGGTTGTCACAGGATGATTTTGACCCTTTCTTATATATTGGGACGATAAGTGATTGCGACCAGTCAGATGGGATAAAGTCTAATTCCCAGATCTTAGCTAAAATGTTAGTCAACCTAATCGCTAAAATTGGACCACCATCCTTAAAGACCTCTGGAGCCAATCCATCTGGACCAGCTGCCCTTCCTCGTTTCAGATTAACTATAGCCTTTTGAACTTCAGCAAGAGTTGGGGGACCTACTTCAATGTTCCATTCACATTGTCTGGGAATGGAGGGTAGTTGTAGAGTAGCTGAAGGCCAGCTGAACTGTTCTCTAAAATGTTCCGCCCATCGTTCTAAACGTCTGGACTGGGAGCAGATGAGAGTATCATCTTTTTCCGAAATAATCTCACTTACACTTGACTTATTAATTCCAGTTTCTTTTATTAGTCTGTAAAGCTGTCTTGTGTTCCCTATAGTCGCCGCCTTTTCCATCTCTTTTGCTTTCGTTACCCACCACTGCTCACGGTCGTTCCTTAGACTTTTTCTTAACCTAGATCTGATTTGTTTTCGCTCTTCATCATGTTCAGAACCTGATGGGATGAGTTTGCGAGAATCCATCAGTGTGACAGACCTTGAAGAAATCCACTGGTTCTTTGTAACTCTGTGGTTTAAGTCACTAATAGATGTCACTGCTGTTTCCACAGCTGATTGTATGCCCTTCCAAGCAACATCTGGGTCAGCCTCGTCTTCACAACTACCTAATCGTGACCTCAGTTGTTCCTGGAACCTACTTTTGGTTTCCTCGCTACTCAGTTCGGTCCTAATGGGTCTTTTTACTGTGGCTTTTTTGCGTCCAGTGAGGCGCAAGCAGATGTGTGCCCGTATTAGGGCGTGGTCGGAGTCCAAGCAGGTACTCCAGAATGAGCGACAATCTTCTACCGACCCTCTCCAACGATGACTGATGGCAATATGGTCTATTTGAGTCCATCGTTGGTTTGGTGTAGGGGGTCGCCATGTTAGACGATGTCTCTCCTTATGCTTAAAATTTGTGTTTGCTAAAAATAAACGATTGTCTGAGCATAGCTGCAGCAGGCGATCACCATTATCTGTTCGCTGTGCCGGAATACTAAAATATCCACCTAAATGCCTTTCTGTTTGGTTTAAGCTTCCTATCTGAGCATTAAAATCACCCCCAACGAGTACTATGTCTGAGCGTTTAGCTTTCTGAAGAAGTTCGGACAGCTTTCTGTAAAATTCATCTTTCACTTCATCTGAGCTGCAGTCGGTGGGAGAGTAGACAGAAACGACAAAAAGGCAACGACGTGTGTCCCTATCCTTCCGAGTTCTTACGTAGCCGTTTAGCCGAACAGCACATAGACGACTGTTGACGGGGATCCACTCTAGCAGTGCTTGTTCGGCCCTCATGCTTAGTGCTATGCCTACACCTGCCAGTCCACGAGAACTGGCCATCGGGTCACCAGATACACGAAGGGTGTATCTCGTCCGATATCCGTTTTGCCGAGGTGAGGTCAAGTGAATGACCACACTGGAATCCTGTATGCGTGTTTCGGAGACACAGCATACATCAATGGAAAGAGACTCTAGGGTTTTAGCCAAGGAAGCCTGCTGACCGATTTGACATAGAGTGCGTACGTTGAAAGCTCCAATGTGTAGTTTGGAGCGAGGTTTCAGTAGACCTGGGACAGAGTTTTGAGCACTAGAATCGTTGGCTATGGTGATACTTGAGGAGGAAGCCGAAGGAGGAAGTTTAGAGTTGAAAGTCGATGTAGGAGGAATAATAGGAATTGAAGAGGAGGGTTGATTATGAATACAGTGGTCTTGGGTGCTGTTAGAGGTATGAGGGCGGTTATCACTTCCCGGTTGCCCACACCGTGGAAGGGTTCTTCTGGAGGTACCTGAAAAGGAAATTGGATTAGAGGTGGTCTCAGTGACCTGAGAGCGTGACCGCAGTGCCCAAGGGACAACTGCTTGAGGCCGGTCGCGCACGGCCTTTTTGTGGAAGGTTCGCGACATGTTAGCTCCGTTCTTCAAAGGGCCTTACCGCCGGAGACGGAAATCCGTGAGGTAAGGTGAGGTGTGCATTTTTAGGGTCGACCTTTTCTAACCCCACCCCTCCTTGTGAGAAGGCAGCATCGCTGTCATGCTGGTTGTCTGAAGGAAACACCTTACTGCTGTCACACCTCTGTACAGTCAGCAGTACGACTTCGCCTTCGGACCTTGGGTTTGTTGCTTTTAGTCTTACCGCTCTTCAACCGACCTGTCTGATATGGTAGGACCTTGAGGAACGGTTGTTCCAGCCAGTATAGCTCGGTTGCTTCATCACGATAGGCAAGCCCGACCACCACGTCAAGGTAGCAACAACGGTCGGGATCGTTTTCAAGTAGTAACAACCGTTAACACAATTAAAAATCTTGGATTTATGAAGCGCAATTACCAAGTTTTTTGATGTGTGAAAATATCTAGAGTATCATGTTAATGTAGGTGAAATGGGGCTCAAACCTGAGACTGAACGGCTAAGACTTGTGCTACTCAAAAACTGATGTGTCCATTGAAGAGTGTACATTATATATGAAATTACTTTACACTACTTTATAACTATGAAACCAAGCATACAATAGTTTAAGATGTATATGAGTAGCCAGTACTTGAACATACCTTCGAAGCATTTCTGTAATTAAATGTAACTACAGAGTAGGTCATGCTGATGTTAAGGTAGGATAATGGGTGCAGAAGATAGGTCTGTTGATCTATTCGTGATTTTTCATCAAATTAAATCGTCTGAACATGCGTCACGCCTGCTTATTTGTTAGTAATCTGAAAATTAATCTTAGCTAATATATAAGGCACTGACTATTCTTATTATAAAATGATATTCTTTGGGTCTTGATTTAAGCTTGTTGTACGTTTGATTTAAACAATTAACTATTCTACGACATTTGGGTACTGTTAATTGAATATATTTCAGATGACTGGGTCTGAGATATTATCAGATGAAGGATTAGGTGGCGAAATGAAAGTGATATTCTAATTTGGATAAAGTGAATTAAAAGCAGCTAGCGCCACAAAATGTTGCGGATTTGTACTACCTAGTATGGGTTACAGTGAAGGGAATCGAGCTAAGATTTGAGAAACTTCAAGTGCGAGTAGATACAGGCTATCCACTTAATGACCACAATCAGTCGCTAAAGACTATGGGTCAGAATCTTTCACAATGGCACAGATGTATTGACTATTGATCTCTCTCTCGATCTTGGATTTTAGCATTCCTGTATGCATACCTTTCAATTCTTTCTTTTCGAACCAAAACTTATTATTATAAATAAATATATTATTTATTTATAACAATCTACCCAATGCTCAATTTATTTGAAATTATCAAATCAAACCTTGATAATGATACATACAAAGTTTATTATTGCTCATTTCATTGCTACTACACTTTTCGACCTATATCTACATTTATCTTATTAACTTAATCAGATTGTGTTTATATAATGTGATCAATTGGGAGAATGTACATCTGCGCTAGCACTTACGTCGATCAACTTACTAAAAAATGTGAACCATGCATGAAAAACGTTTTTACATTTTATAGTCATATGACTTACAACAGAAACTAACCAAAATGAAATGCACAGATTCAAATTCGATTTTTGTTATTACCACCCAATATTTGGAAGTAATGGTCTACTGCATTTGCATTTTACTCAGATGAAGATATGGGCTTACTTTACCACTCCACAACAATGTGAACTATATGGATTCTTAGTACCCCACATTCAAGTCTATTCTTCGAGCAGAGAAGGGAACAAAAAACATTCAACGCAACTATTTTAGCTCGACTGGATAACTGAGAAAAACCCTTTTAGCATGTCACAAGAATAACTGACGTAACAAGTGGTCGGGCTTCCAGACGAGTAGTGTTGGTGTTGCGAAAAAAGTCAAGGATTTATGTGCTGTAGGCTGGATCGCAAATTTAAACTGAGTGGTGAGATAAGACATGAATACAATTTCAGCATCCCCTGTGCAGTATTGCCTGACCTAGTATTACGCTGGAAGATTAAAGACAGTTAAATTTGTATGCGTAACCAAAACGTTAATCCGAGTATTCAACAAAATCGTGTGAATGATTGAGGGCATTTATTGTTATAAACCGGTTTTAAGCATCACAGGACCTCTCAAAATCGAAAATGCCAAGATGACATGCACTATGTGGTAAAAAGCTTATCCATCTAGTATCAAAATCCCAATCTCAATATTTTGGGGAAGCCGCTACAGAAATAGCACAAAAAACCCCAGAATTTCCCTCGGATCTGGAGGATGAGTAGCAGATAGTAAGAATCCAAAGGGTCCAAAAAAGTCTCATCCGTGGGGATTTTCTAATCACTGATTATTTAAAAAACGACCATAAAAACATGCTTTGACAAAGCGTGTGATTGATGACTTTTGCACTCATTATCGACATGAAGTAAGGGATTGAAATATCTTATGAACACCAAAAAAGGAAACTGATAACTTGAGTTGTCAAATATACATCTATAAATATAGGTGCATTTATACGCCTAAAACTTGACAATTTTTGTAATACGAGTGAATCAGAAGCCACTATTCATCACAAAAACTGCGTATGAAATACAACATAAGAATTTAAATAACTCTTGAAATAATAAACAGGCATATTAACTTCATGAGAAAACATGTAATGAGAAAATATTTCAGATTACAATTAGACCAACCTTGAGAACATTTGAAAAGTTGCAGAGTCTTCAAAGCTCAATCTGCAAATTCCGTGACAGAAATTAAAAGTTTTTTATTTATGATCTACCATTATGAAAATCGAACATTAAAGTCAAAAACTGTTTTGAATTTTTTTATTCATAAAAACTCTTGTAAAATGTGGTCTTTGAGTCATGATCTATAAGGACGTCCATTTCGTCTAAATCAGTAACTTAAGTTACATGTTCCTCTGGTTTTTTATTTGTCACTAATTAAGAATTTTGCATGCACAGAGATGCAGGTGTGTTACTGTACTACCGATCGTAACGACCGATACCTAAGGCTTGTCAAGTCTGTAATGTTTCTGTTAGAGGCATCCCTGAAAATATCTTTTGAATTTTTAATATTCACTCTATTTCTATGCTTTAAAATTGATCGAAGATATTCCATGTTCTCCCTTTTATTTTTGACTTTTTCAGTGACTATTAAGTTTTGATTACTCCCTGCGTCGTGTTTGAAATAAATCACACCAGCAACTAATATGTTGGACCATTCCATACTGAATCATCAAGTACAAATCGATTATGGACAATACGGGCCTTAAGAGTCTCGTCCTTAGATGGATTATTTGGGTGATAGCATTCCTAAGAAGTCAGATTTTTATAGGAAAATATTTATAATACACATGTTATCATCTATGAGCAACAAAATTCCATATTACATAAAAATTAAATAGGTATTCCTCGAGTAAAATAACATGTTACTGCGTCATGCAGCCCTTCAACAAGTATTGGTGGAATAGGGTTCTCGTTTGCCATACTGTCATTAGTATAACCATGGTTCTTCGGAAGCAGTGTAATTTACACACGACGTAGCTGTTTATTGGGATACTGATTTGTAGGTAGTAGGCGAAAGTATGTTCAACTATACTATGGATTTTAACTGTCAAACTGGGTTCTATTCTTACAAAAAAAGGCGCTAAAGACCCTATAGTAAACTTAGCAGTCAGCTGGCGAGTAAAACGTCCCGTGCTTTAAGATCGAATGGCCTAACCGATCAGCGTAAATTATATGGAAGGGAATAAAAATAGAGTAGTTATTTTGTATTCGCTTATAAACGCCATCAAACCAAATGACGGTACGCACTCATGCAAATAAGTCATGATGAGGTCTGGAAGTGACTTCAATTTGCATTGTTTATATGATTTAACAGACCACATTTAACTTTTCGGTGGTATTTTCTCTCTATAAAATAATAGAAAATCAGCATAGCATCTTGAGAATCTATGCACCAGACTTTGCATTCTGGGTAGAACTATCAAGTATTTCCTAAGCATTTGAGTCTGCACGAACGAATAAGTTTCTATGGGCTCTCTGATAACATAAGTTTTCCTTCGGCATAATATTGACACATTTAGCATGGATGACGCACAAGTTAGTGTCTTCGAAAAGCCCAACAAGCTAGGCTTCGCTAGCTTCCTGGAGAGCAGAAACTGCCGAGCTTTGGAAACGAAGGTTAGTCTTGAAGTATTACGCAATCTCCAAACGCTGGAAGGGCAGTTTGCGTATCAGTAGTTCGGTTGACTTTTGATAACGACGAATCTCACGTAGGGCAACTGTTGCAGGACGATAACGATGAAGTTTCTTAACACCACCAGTAGCTGGTGCACTTTTATGTGCCGCTTTGGTAGCTAACTACTTTCTTGGGGCCTTCCCACCTGTACTCTTACGGTCAGTCTGCTTCGTACGTGCCATGACTGTGAACAAGTTAGAGGTGTTGTGTAAAAATGACATAAGTTGTCTTTTGTCAATCACTGCTGTTAACATTTTATAAAAGCTGAGAAAACGCACAGTTCAAATTAAACATTGGTATCAGCGTTGTATAATATTCTCTCACACATATCATGAAGATTGGTTTGTCTAATAAAAGGTAGTTCAAACCGTGAGTTTGCCTCAATTTGAAATATAACCGATATATATTCTATTAATCATATAAATATATTTACATAGTTCTTTCGTCAATATGCTGTAAGAGAGTTTATTTTCTATAAATTAAGAACCGGAGACTAAATTCCGATATTGCCTTCATGATAATGAATAGTTATTTTCTGTCTGGACATTTATTGAAATAGAAATGTCTAAAATCAAACTATAGGGTATGGAAAGCACTTACCGAAGTTCACGAACGTGTACAGAGACCATCAAATTAGCATGTTAACAAATATTTGCAGACTGACGTTTTTTCCTTCAGGCCAAAAAAACTAGCAAAATGATTGTGCACCAGGAACAGTGCTCTAAGTCAGGTCACCCTCTGATTTAATGATGGTGTTAAACAGAACCGCTTCAGTTAGAAATAACTATTGAACTATTTCTTGGAGAATTACATACCACCACAGTCCACTCCCTCCCTGGTGAAGATTCATTTCATAGAAAATTCAGTGGAATAATCTTTAGGCTTCTGTTTCCATACCATATAACTAGTAAACCTAAATCGGGCTGAAATCCAAATTTAATGTATTGATAGCGACGATCATTCACCCTACTTGTGAAATCCTAGTATCGCTAGCTCGGAAGCTAAGTTCTCATCCCAAAAGCAACATTTTATCAGTATGAACAAGCGTTTTTAGGCTGTTAGTTAGGTTTTTTCTAAGTATTGTCTAGATTACCGGTGTTACTGATATACATCTATGATTAGAGTCGATTGTAGACGAGCGGGAGTATAAAAACTTTCCAGCTTACGTCGAGATCATACTTCGCAGCTAAAACCCGAAGCAAATTATGCTCTTGTGGTATCCAGGTTCTATAGCTACCTCGTGTTGGTACGGAAGAAATGCGTTGTCTCATCAATAAGCTCAATCGACAAGGTATCAAACCACATTTAATTGATTGGCTAACATCATATCTAAAAAATCGACATAATAATGCCAGGGTTAACTCCGATTTCTCTCGGGATATGGAATTCCTAATGGGGTCTCCAGGGTTTATTACTAAGACCTCTTCTTTTCTTGACGTATATAAACGATCTTCCACAGCAGGCGCCGTCATACGTATTACTTTTGTTGATGTGCAACTTTGGAGAGAGGTTAGATGTTACTTACGCCTGTTACTCCTCGTGAAGAAGCATAAGCCAAACACCAGCACTCTCCATCCAAACCTGTCCTGGGCAATCGTTTCCAGCTCTTCCCAGTTTTTATTCATCCTTTTCATAACTGTTTCTATTTCTCGACGTAATGTGCTCTTAGGCATTCCTCTTTTCCGCTTCTCTTCAGGATTCCAAGTTAGGGCTTGTCTCGTGATGCAGTTTGATGATTTGCGTAGTGTATGTCCTATCCATTTCCATCGTCTTTTCCTAATTTCCGATTCAGCTGGAATCTGGTTTGTTCTCTCCCACAGAAGGCTGTTGCTGATGGTATCCGGCCAATGGAAAATGAGTATCTTGCTTAGACAACCATTTATAAATACTTGCACCTTCTTGATGACGGTTGTTGTAGTTTTTAGAGTTTCAGCTCCGTACAGTAGAACTACACTGACGTTGGTATTGAAGATTGACTATGATATTGGTTTACAGACAGTTGTTTTGAGTTTAATATGTCCTTCAACTGTAGGAATGCGACCCTTAGTATTATTATTATTATTATTATTATTATTATTATTCACAAACATCTTATGGGTACATAAGTGTTGTGAAGAAACCATTTCGGGTTTCTTCAGAAAATGCAATAATACACAATTTCCAATAATGTTAGCATTATACTTGCCATATTAAAAAAAAAATAATAATAAAAATAAAATAAAAAATTGAGAATAATAATAGTAGAATATTAATAATAATAAATGGGGTCTTTGTAATTGAGAAGAATATTGAATTGAGTTTGAAGAAGGATATGGAGAAAATAAGGGAATAGGAATAAAGGAGACGTGAAATACGCAAACAGTCTAATAGGCGTGTTTATGAACACAGAACAAGAATAAACGACTATGTGTATCGTTGAATTAGTAAGAAAAAATAATTTATCATTGTAGTAAGATATGACACTAAAATAAATGTTTGTGCAGTTATAATTTAGAGTGATGCTATGAAAGTCACAATTTCGTGAAAAGGATAATAAAATATCATATATGCATAGTGAAGATAAAACGAATCTGAGAAGTTAATTAAAGTGTAACACAAGTTATTGTTTTAATTACAAACTTCGTAATCTTAAGAATAATATTTATTTAGAGGGAAAGAAGAGAAAGAAAAGAAGTGAACACCTAGTGAAAAGATTCATCCATGATAAGAATAATAATTGTGTAATGAATATCAACCTCAGAAGGAAACCAGAAATTTTTAAAAAAAATCCTTTAAAGCACTCGGATGAATACATTTAGATTTATGTAATAGTATACAGAGTGAAACCGGATATTAGTATAAATATTTGTGCAATAATAATTAAGATTGATGCTATGAAAGTCAAAATTGATTTCAAAGGACAATCTGGAGTTGAATATGTTTAGAAGGATAAGAAGATACAAAAAGAATATCTAATGTGTCGGAAAACTATTAATGACATTAATAACGGTAACACGAACATAATCAGTCCTCACCTTTACGTCTGCACCTGAGCCTCCTTGTTCATCGATGATGCTTCCCAGGAATGTGAAGGATTCTACATCTTCCAGAGTTTCGCCATCACAAGTGACAGGATTGCTGTTCTCCGTGTTGAGTTTGAGGACCTTGGTTTTCCCTTTGTGTATGCTGAGGCCTACTGATGCGGAGACTGCTGCTACACTGGCTGTATTCGTCTTCATCTGTTCGTGTGTATGAGATAGAAGGGCTAGGTCATCTGCGAAGTCCAAATCGTCTAATTGGTTCTGAGCTGTCCATTGTATTCCGTGTTTTCCTTCAGATGTCAAGGTCTTCATAATCCAGTCAACCACCAGAACAAAATGGAAGGGAGAGAGTAAACAGCCTTGTCTAACTCCGGTCCTTACTTGGAATGCATCTGTCAGCTGTCCTCCATGCACTACTTTGCACTGTAGTCCGTCGTATGAGTTCCGGATAATATTGACAATCTTCTCAGGAACTCCGTAGTGTCGAAGAAGTTTCCATAACGTCCTCCTATCCACACTGTCGAATGCCTTTTCATAACCAATGAAGTTGATGTACAGTGACGAGTTCCACTCAACTGATTGTTCGACGATGATCCGTAGTGTCGCAATTTGGTCTGTGCACGACCGATCCTTACGGAATCCAGCTTGTTGATCTCGAAGTTGGGCGTCTACTGCATCCTTCATCCGGTTCAGCAACACTCTGTTGAAGACCTTCCCTGGTATTGACAGTAGAGTAATGCCTCTGTAGTTTTCACATTTGCTCAGATCTCCTTTCTTTGGAATGATGCTTTGATGATTCTGAATCCGTGAGATTCCCATCCTACAAGTGCATTTCGTGCTACTTTGGACAGCATAAGACCGACTCCCTGAGTGTGTGGAGCGTTTTCCTCTTCGTGACCGGAGTATAGCAGCATCTCTACTGTAGCTAGCCTTTTCTGTCCAGCTTGGGTCCAATGGATTTCGCTGGTTCCCAGTACTGATAAGTTGTATCTCCTCATTTCCATTGCTATTCGACTGGTCTTCCCGGTCTCCCACATTGTTAGGACGTTCCATGTACCTACAAAAACTTTCGCTCTGGTTGTTAGGAGGGGCATCGGCCTCGTGGCTTCCGAAGGAACTCGGCTTTCACCATGAAGCGTCATAATTCTTCTAAATGAAGACCTTCTAACTCCCAGGGCAGAGTTTAAATGGTTTGAATTATTTTTTTCTGGTTAGTTTTCTACGGCATGGGGACGCTAACCCCATGCCCAACCCTCCCCCCTTTACCCTGGCTTGGGTCCGGCAGTAACTGTAGAAGAGCTACAGGCGGAGTTTTGGAGAGAGGTGCGCAACCAAAAAATTTGCTGTGACTTCAGCAGGATCTGACTCGACTTCAAAATTTGGCAGGTGACAACGGATTTACCTTTAACACATCAACGTGTAAAGTAGTCCAGCTGGTACATTTTTCAGACTACAGCTACTACTCTAAAGGTTTTCCAAGTTGAAAATTATCTTGGAGTGTTGGTACCTTGCAATTTGAAGCCTTACGCTAACTGTGACAAAAGTCCTCTCAAGCAAACATTGCTCTGGTAAAATTGAAGCGCATTTTTGGCCAGTTAGACGGAAAACCTTACAACATAATCTTCGACAGTTTTACTTGTCCCCATTCAGAATACGGGAACATAGTATTTCTTTCCTAACTTTAAAAGGAAAAGGACACTCTGAAAAGTATCCCACTGCTAGCCACGAAATCAGTTTGGGTACTTAAATTCAGGCCTTATGAAGAGAGCCTCCAATCACTGAACCTCTATCCACTAGAGTACAGGCGTTTTAGAGGTGACTTCCTTATAGCTTACGGCATCCTAAATACTTCTGAACATCCCCTTTAACACTTCAAGTTAAATCCTAATACAAACCTAATGTGTACCAACGAGAAACTGGAGACATAACACAGCAGAAAAGACTGTAGAGTGGTCAAACGTCGGAATTCGCTGCAGGCTGAGCTAGTCCCAATAACTACCAAGGAGTACTTTGAAAGGAAACTTGACTAAGGATAGTGTCTTACTATGATTTACCAATTTCTTTTTCCTCTTTTATCAATATTATACCTAGGTTTCTGCCTGAGGGTATTGGTAATCCACTGCTACTAGGCACGGAAACTAGTTAAGCGAAAGCTTCTTCTATTCCATCCATAATCATTTGAAACATTTTGATTAGGTTGTTGTCATAACAACGCGTGCACGCTTTTTAAACTATATAATGACATGATTGAAAATGCCTTTCTCGCCGCTTGAACTGCTTGATGAAGACTATTCAGAGCTTTTTCCAGCAACAGCTGTGAAGTCAAATGAGAAAGTCGACAGAAAAGAAGGAAAAGTCAATTCACATGAAGAGAATGTTCCTCAAAGTTTGTGTATAAATAAATAATTGATTTCCTATTACTTCCATTCTTAGTTCATGTAACTGACAAACTATTTTCCGATAACTGGAGTTATAAAGAGGGATCAAACATTTCCTCGCCGGTTGTTCAAATGACTTCTGGAGATGGAAATGAACAACTGAGTTCTCCAGGTAAATCATTTAGTTTTAAAAACTTTGTCTTCATGCCAAACTTCGAAGCTCCTAAAGTTCAGGTATGGATCAGGAACTAATTTCGACTGAAATCACCATACAAAGTATATATATATATATATATATATATATATATATATATATATAAGCTTCTTCGTTTATACATACTCGTAATAAGTAATAATCAATGAAAAAGAATTAGACGTTCGTCCGTTCGTTAGAAAAAGTGATGTTTCGGTTTCTTAATCTGGTTTTCTTGTTATGGAACTTCCAAATTTTTAAATAGTCTTCAGGATGAAGTTTAGCTATTGGTTTTATGTTGAGGAATCCAGTCAACTACGTTCAAACTGAACACTTTGAATGAGTTATGAAGGTGATGATTTGCCATTTCGTCTAAGTCAATTTAAAAGCATTTCAAAAGGATCCTGTTGACGTGTCTTGTGGCGAATATTTAAAGCCTCTGATAACTGAAAAAGTCTATAGTTGAAACATTATGATTCATATTCCCAAAACCGTGAATTTAAATTCTGTTATGTTTGAAGAACATTTTATTGTGAAATGTTTTACGCAAAAAAATCACCGAATCATTGAACGAAAAATGACCATTATTTAACCCTATGGCCAAAAGACTAACCAAATTTAGCATCGTTGTTTCCATCATGGACTAGCTGTGGTTAAGCAACAATTGAGTTTCAAAAAGCTCAGACACGCATTCCGCTCGCGTATCGCATCAAAGTTTTTATGCTCAGAGAGACCTGTAGATTCTGGGTCCAACTTTCGTTAGGGTTGTGAACCAGCAGTGTCTTCTCTCGACGAGGGTGTTCTTTACGAAATTGAGAGGACGAAAAGCGAATGTCCGGAGCTTTAATCGGGTTGGTGGATACAGATGGTCTATAGAGGGGAGTTGGAAAACCCTGATTTCAAACCAATGGTACACATGAACTTCAGAATCTTGGAGGAACAAATGACGTATGAATCAATTATTGGTCATCGGCTACCATGAGATGGCATCGCCTGACGTTGCCTTGTGGATCACACCTTTATGTCGAAGGCTCCGAGTGTGGTCCCCCAAGAAAACCATTTGCCTCGGTCTGGACACCCGAACAGTATCACGGCTCACACTAGTGTGGTGCAGATGTATTCGGTCTTCCTTTGTACCAATATTTATGTGTTTAAATAAGTGAATAAAGCGGTAGAGATCTCCGTGCTAGGACAAACCAGCTGTTCTGTTTTTAATAGTTGTATCACTAAAATCACTCTATGGTGTAGTTATGAGAGTCAAAGATTTCCAAAACTCTTAATTGGCAATTTTACAATAGAATAAACCATTATTATACAAACTCTTGTCATGTACCTTTAAAAATAGTTATTCCGTCAAACTAAGGAAATATCTATCTAACTAACGAAGCGTTAGTAATGATAAAATTAAGGTGAAAAATTGCTCTGCCTACGATGGATATATTAGGCCATTACAGGTTGAAATTCAGTATTTAAATAAATGTCAAATGGTTTGCTCTAAAGTCAACCGTATAACTTCATAAAATGAAATCTGAACAAGTTTTTGTTGTATTAGATGATTCAAAAACGAGTGAAAATAACCAAATATCCGACGATGAATATCTAAAGGTGGAATGTTTTGGAATAGAAAATAGTGACAAGAAGCTAAGTGAGAAGAGTGAAAAACCAGACAGTAATTCACAACGTAAATTATTTCATCAGACAAATGAAACAAGTGTTGCACCGACAAGTAATAATAATCTGAAAGATAGTAGCATTACATTCAATGAAACTAAAGAGTAAGTTTAGTAAGCATTGATCAATTTCAGCTTGATTTTTGCCCACGTATTTGTTAACTTTTAATACTTGATCTTATCGCGACCCAATTTAAAATAAGTTTGATTATAATCGCATGTTTTTCTATAAACGTTCATGTACAGCATGTTACCACAAAAAGCAAATAGTCTTTGCAATTTCAAAGAACATTATCACTTGTCAAGGCACAAAGACACCAAATATAAAAGAAATAGGTAAGATGCATTTCTGAAAGGCTGATTGACCGAACTCTCAGTCTGTAACAACTTCTGTAATATATGAATATTTACAATCGCCTTGCACTACACAATTATCTAAACAAGTAAGAAGCAGTTGACAGTGTTTGTCGGAGCGTATAAGTTTTGTGCTTAAATGCAAACAATGTTTTCATTTTCGGCCGCTTGAGTGAGTGATAAATTTTGACTTCAATTTGTAATTTTAGTTATTACGACCAGTTTCTACGCATGCATAAGGTTATTTGAAGACATGAATGAATAAACTTCTGGACAATTGTTTTATTCATCAATAATGATCACATTCTGCTTGTGAAATGAAAACAGCTGGTGATCTATTTGCTCATATATTTTGTTCATGGCGATACTCTGTCTCAGATCAACTTTTTAATGAATCTTTAAATATGTTACACAACTATTTAGGGATGAATTCATGGATCGAAAACATCCCAGTCCCAGTTGATTATCTTCAGAATTTAAAAATATGTGGTTGTAACAAAGTGTTGAGGATTATAATATCATTTTAGAATTTAGCGATCAGTGGAAACTCGATCAATAAAATATTATGTAAATCAGAATTCCCCTGTGTTCCTCCTACACATTATTCATTTATTTATCTGGACACATAAATATTGGTACAAAGGGGAGCCAGATACATATGCGCCACATAATAATAATGATAATGTGAAGATATAAAGAATGTAAGATGCGTATAAGAAAAAGGAAGTACAGCAATGAACAAAAGTTAGTGTATGATAGTGAAATAACAATAATGTGAGAGATAGTTCAATTAGAAAAAGTACAGCAACAGAGAATTCTTCACCTTAAAGAAGTTACGTCCTACATATTTGTCGTTATTAATAATAAGACGGTGAACAGCGAGATATTTTTAGACTTCATTACTGAGATTCCTATTTAAAGGGTTAATCAATCAAAACCAAAGTCTTATTAATAAATTAAAAATTGAACACTATCTAGGGTGGCCATAAATGGCTTAGTTATTGGCTCACTTTTGTTAACTAGTGATAATGAGCTTAGCTTTGCTGAGAAAACGATAAAAAAGTTAACTAAACTTGTTAATTTAATCAACATTCAATTTTTCATAGCAGTATTAACATTCGATAGCGAATATGTATGTGACTATTTGCTTACTCAATGGTGAGCAACTTTGTAGTTGACGAATACTGACTATACTATCTCAAGATATTCTAGCATTCATTTTATTCAAAGTATGAATCACTGACTACTCCTAAACGTCTATGCTTTTGGAAGTCATTGGCTAAATAGCTTTCGTGCTTGTCGTTATTATTGAACTAAATAGAAAAACTAAAATTACAATAGAACCATAGAGACTGTAATATGCACTACTTATAATATCTTGTTCGGTGATGTTGATTTACAGTATATTTGAACATTTTATTATATTTCATCACCATTGTTCTTTTTCAGTACTAAATTTAAATCAAACGTTATTAAACTTTAAATGATGTTATACAGTTCTATGGTGTGATCCATTTCACTTTTAGAAAGGAAAATGATAAGGCAAGACTGTCAGACGATATAGAACCTGTTATAAAACCCACTATACGCACTAGAAGACATATTCTTAGTTCAAAGTAAGCTAAATATTGTTCTTATCATTGGATTTATTTTAACACGAATACTATGTCTTATTTGAACGTTTCAGAATATTTATTGATTTGAAATAACTTATGCTTATTAACAATGTGTGATACCATCCAACATCTAGCTTTTAAAAGACTAATAATAGTATGAAAGAGATCTTTAGACGGTATAGTTTTTACTTATTTACAGATGAAAATATCGAATTAAAACATTATAGTTTTAGAATATAACAATAATTACTTACTTATGCCTGCTACTCCTAATGGAGCATAGGCCGCCGACCAGCATTCTCCAACACACTCTGTCCTAGGCCTTCGTTTCTAATTCCATCCCATTCTTGTTTATTTTTCTCATATCTATCTCCATTTCCCGGCGTAATGTGTTCTTTGTTCCTCCTCTTTTCCTTTGGCTTTGAGGATTTCATGTGAGGCCTTGTCTTGTGACGCAGTCGGGTGATTTCCTCAATGTGTGTCCCATCCACTTCCAGCTCTTCTTCCTGACTTCTTCCTCCGCTGGGATCTGGATTATTCTTTACCACAGTTGATTGTTGCTAATAGTGTCCGACCAACGGATCCGAAGTATTCTATCTAGACAACTGTTAATAAACACTTGTATCTTCAGAATGATGGCTTTCGTAGTTCTCCAGGTTTCCGTCCCATACAGTAGAACTGTCTTGACATTTGTATTGAAAATCCTAACGTTGTGTTGGTGCCAATTGTTTTGAGTTCCAGATGTTCCTCAGTTGTAAATATGCTGCTCTTGCTTTGCCGATCCGCACCTTCACATCTGCATCAGACTTACCGTGTTCATCAATGGTATGTAAAGGTTTTCACATCTTCCATATCTTCTCCGTCGATTGTGACTGGATTGATGCATGATGTGTTGTATCGGAGAATCTTGCTTTTCTCTTTGTATATATTGGGACCTAACTCCGCCTGTAGCTCTTATAGGGTTGCTGCCGCTCCCAACCCCGGGTAAAGGAGGAGGGTTGGGCATGGGGTTAGCGTCCTCATTCCGTAGAAAACTAACTCGCTAAAAAAACGCTTACCAGAAAAAATAATCCAAACCATTTTAACTCTGCCCTGGGAGTTAGAAGGTCTTCATTTAGAAGAATCATGACGCTTCATGGTGAAAGCCGAGTTCATTCGGAAGCCACGAGGCCGATGCCCCTCCTAACAACCAGAGCGAAAGTTTTTGTAGGTACATGGAACGTCCTAACAATGTGGGAGACCGGGAAGACCAGTCGAATAGCAATGGAAATGAGGAGATACAACTTAGCAGTACTGGGAACCAGCGAAATCCATTGGACCCAAGCTGGACAGAAAAGGCTAGCTACAGTAGAGATGCTGCTATACTCCGGTCACGAAGAGGAAAACGCTCCACACACTCAGGGAGTCGGTCTTATGCTGTCCAAAGTAGCACGAAATGCACTTGTAGGATGGGAATCTCACGGATCCAGAATCATCAAAGCATCATTCAAAACAAAGAAGGAGGGGGTCTTAATGAATATTATCCAATGTTATGCACCCATCAATGATAGCAACGACGAAATTAAAGATCAGTTCTACGAGCGGCTGCAGTCGATCATTGAGAAATGCCCAAGAAAGGACCTAACTATTCTGATGGGAGATCTAAATGCCAAAGTCGGAATAGACAACACTGTATATGAAGATATTATGGGACGACATGGACTGGGAGAAAGAAACGAAAATGGAGAAAGATTTGCAAATCTATGTGCATTCAACAAATTGGTCAGAGGAGGCACAATATTTCCACACAAGCGTATACACAAGGCTACATGGATCTCACCGGACCACACTACAGAGAACCAAATAGATCATATTTGCATTAACAAAAAATTCCGAAGGACAATGAAAGATGTGAGAAGCAGGAGAGGTGCTGACGTAGCTTCAGATCACCACTTAGTTGTAGCCAATTTAAAACTGAAGCTAAGAAAAAACTGGACAAGTGGACAAACAGCAATACAAAGGTTCAATACAGCCTTCCTTCGAGATACTGTCAAACTCAATGAATTCAAGATAGCTCTCAACAACAGGTTCCAAGCCTTACAAGATCTACTGAAAGAAGAAGAAACTACTATGGAGGACAACTGGAAAAGCACCAAAGAAGCATTAACTTCAACGTGTCAAGAGGTTCTCGGTCTAAAGAAATACCATCATAAGGAATGGATCTCTATAGAAACACTGGACAAGATCAAAGAAAGGAAGAACAAGAAGGCAGCAATAAACAACAGCCGAACACGAGCAGAGAAAGTCCAAGCACAAGCTGAATACATAGAAGCAAACAAACAAGTGAAGAGAAGCATTAGAGCCGACAAGAAGAAATACGTTGAAGAACTAGCAACGACGGCAGAAAAAGCTACTAGAGAAGGAAATATGAAACAACTTCACGATACAACGAAGAAACTAGCAGGGAATTATAGTAAACCAGAGAGGCCGGTCAAAGACAAAGAAGGCAAGCCAATCACCGAAATTCAACAACAGCGTAACAGATGGGTAGAATACTTCGAGGAACTCCTGAATAGGCCGGCTCCAATGAATCCAGTGGACATCGAAGCAGCACACATAGATCTTCCTATAGATGTCAATCCACCAACTACGGAAGAAATTAGAATGGCCGTCAGACAAATCAAGAACGGGAAAGCAGCAGGACCCGACAACATACCAGCTGAAGCACTGAAATCAGACATCGAAACAACCACAAGCATGCTTCACCTTCTATTCAAAACGATTTGGGAGGAGGAACAAGTGCCGATGGACTGGAAAGAAGGACACCTCGTCAAGATTCCAAAGAAAGGAGATCTGAGCAAATGTGAAAACTACAGAGGCATAACACTACTGTCAATACCAGGGAAGGTCTTCAACAGAGTGTTGCTGAACCGGATGAAGGATGCAGTAGACGCCCAACTTCGAGATCAACAAGCTGGATTCCGTAAGGATCGGTCGTGCACAGACCAAATTTCAACACTACGGATCATCGTCGAACAATCAGTTGAGTGGAACTCGTCACTGTACATCAACTTCATTGGTTATGAAAAGGCATTCGACAGTGTGGATAGGAGGACGTTATGGAAACTTCTTCGACACTACGGAGTTCCTGAGAAGATTGTCAATATTATCCGGAACTCATACGACGGACTACAGTGCAAATTCGTGCATGGAGAACAGCTGACAGATGCATTCCAAGTAAGGACCGGAGTCAGACAAGGCTGTTTACTCTCTCCCTTCCTCTTTCTTCTGGTGGTCGACTGGATTATGAAGACCTCGACATCTGAAGGAAAACACGGAATACAATGGACAGCTCAGAATCAATTAGACGATTTGGACTTCGCAGATGACCTAGCCCTCCTATCACGTACACACGAACAGATGCAGATGAAGACAGCCAGTGTAGCAGCAGTCTCCGCATCAGTAGGCCTCAGCATACACAAAGGGAAAACTAAGGTCCTCAAATTCAAAGCGGAGAACAGCAATCCAATCACACTTGATGGCGAAACTCTGGAAGATGTAGAGTCCTTCACATACCTGGGAAGCATCATCGATGAACAAGGAGGATCCGATGCAGACGTAAAGGCGAGGATCGGCAAAGCAAGGGTCGCATTCCTACAGTTGAAGAACATATGGAACTCAAAACAACTTTCAACCAATATCAAAGTGAGAATCTTCAATACGAACGTCAAGGCAGTCAGTTCTACTGTATGGAGCTGAAACTTGGAGAACTACAACAACCACAATCAAGAAAGTACAAGTATTTATAAATAGCTGTCTTCGCAAGATACTCATTTTCCATTGGCCGGATACCATCAGCAACAGCCTTCTGTGGGAGAGAACAAACCAGATTCCAGCTGAATCGGAAATTAGGAAAAGACGATGGAAATGGATAGGACATACATTACGCAAATCGTCAAACTGCATCACGAGACAAGCCCTAACTTGGAATCCTGAAGTGAAGCGAAAAAGTGGAAGGCCAAAGAACACATTGCGTCGGAAAATAGAAGCAGATATGAAAACGATGAATTACAACTGGACGGAGCTAGAAAGGATTGCCCAGAACAGGGTTGGATGGAGAATGCTGGTGAGCGGCCTATGCTCCTTCACGAGGAGTAACAGGCGTAAGTAAGTACGTAAGTAAGTATCTATTGGGACCTACTGCTGCTGAGACTGCTACTACACTGGTCGTTTTCTCTTGCACTTATTGTTGCGTTTGCGTATTGAAGTACTCATTACCTTTAGTTTTGTACTTTTCCTATAAATGTCCTCTTAAATCCCATAGGAGTAAAGCTAGAAATTTTCAGATCTAACAAACAGGGTGTTAACTTTTAAACTACTATGTTAAATAACACTCTGAAGCTTTGCTATGGTTTAACCATGTGTACATTTTTTCATTTGCAATCTCAAAATAACAGAAAAAATATGTAGCTAATATGAATGGTTTGCTAGTGATGTGTTTTGCAGCCTGAAAGCACGATAGTTCAGTCATGAAACTTTTAATACCATTTAAGATAACATCAAATAGAATTCGTAGCGTATATGTTTTTCAGTGTTCAATGTGTTTCCAGTATTAAACATTATCAAGTGTTTTTCCATCCAGTTAATGGGTGAGTGCTACATATAAGACCATAGTTTTTACTGAAGATTTCATTTCAAGCCCTAACTTTTCATACATTTGCTTTCGTCATTCTGTAATTCAGAATGCACTACAGTAGCATGTTCATAGAGGACAGATATAGATAACTCAAGAGGATGGAAATGAAATTTTTAGTGAAAACTATGTTCTTAACACACTGGACTCTGAATCCAGCGACCCGAGTTCGAGTCTCGGTGAGGCGTCGTTCTGTAAGCATTTCGCTCCCAAATACACTGGTAAGACCGAGAGTGGAGACAGTCCGCTCTCCCTCTCCAAATGCTCTCATATGGCCACGCGTATATAGCCACTACCAAGAAAGTTCGACTCACTGCCTTCTCGAAATAAGGGTGTTGTTTACGAAAATGATAGGATATAAAGTGAACGTCCGGCGCTTTAACCGGGTTGGTGGATACGGAAAGTCCACCTAGGGGAGTTGGAAAACCCTGATTTCAAACCAGTGATGCACATGGGCTCCAGTATCCTGAAGGAACAAATAGCGTATGAACCAGTCTTTGGTCTACGGCTACCATGGGACTGCATCTCCTTACGATGCTCCACTTCCTTGTGGATCAGACCTTCAGGTCGAAGGCTCCGAGTGTGGCTCTCTAAAAAAACCACCTGCCTCGGTTCGAACACCCGAGCAGTATCACAGCCCTCACACATATCAAATGATATTTGTATGGTGCATATGTATTTGGTGCCTCCTTGTACCAATATCTATGTGTTAAAATAAATAAATAAATGTTCTTATATGCAGTACTCATCCACAAAATTAACGAAACAAAATACTCGTAAATAATAGATATTGCACTTTTATTGGACAGTGATAAAAAGGATGGTTGTCATCAAACCTAAATCTTCTCATTAGTTCAGTTTAAATGATCAGGTTATGAAGGGATCAAAATTAAGACAATCGATTTTATTTTACCATGATATTTATTCTGTATAATATTCGGCAGCATGTTGACTATTTCAATTACTGGATTACTGCAGCGTTGCTATATATTAAAGCGATAGTTATTTTAAATTTTATCAAAAAGCACTATAACGTAAATATGCATATAAATGGACTGTATTGCGATAATATTTAAAAATTAATATTTGGATGTGAACTGGATCTTTACTTGTAGTCTGTGTCACTCCCTCCCTCCACTCTCTTTGAGTTGACTTATATTCCATTCTCACCTATGTGTTACCAAATAAAGAATTGGACTGAGACTAGGATCAGGTGGAATGAGAAATCAATTTCCTTTATTCACCGATAAAAATCAGAGGTTCGAACCTAATAAAGTGTTTTAATAACAGTCTAACATTTGGTCAGGAGAAATATTTCTTTAATTACAAAGATTTCCTCCTAGAAATTTGAGATTCATTGATCATAGTAGTAATGGTATGCCATGAAAATACTGTGATCCCTTTCTGTTAGCTTCTTAATTAATCATTCATTTCTAATATATATATCGTGCACAAATTAATTGGTTTACCTTCCCTTTTAAAGTCAGTTGATGATGTGATGAATCTTTATAAACGTAACCACTGCCTATTTCAGAGGGCGGTTTTTACTGATTTAACAGTAGATTGGCTAGTTGACTGAACCGTGTATATAGGTCCGGATTACCGGATTGTGGTCTTCACGAGGATTGAAACCAATTGTTGGAGATGTCATTAATGTTCAAAACCGATCACAATAGACTAAATGCATTTTCTCTTTATCTTACTTTAGATTTTGAGTTTTAAAATGATTTTGAACATTTTGTTCCACGAATTAATTCTTTCCTCTTGAATAATATTGGCTATTTTTGATCATTTTTATTAGTACTCATATTGTTACCATTTCTACTACTCTGGGACTTATATTTATACTTTCATTTCACTATGTTGATATGATATAATAACTTGAACTGATGCACATATACACCGGGTTCTATGTTACTTTAGATCAACTAAATATTAAACTCATCTATGTTATATAAATGAAATCTCTCAATTATTGATCGAAGTACTGTATTTTCCAAATTGACCATTAAACAATCAGTCATCTATATTGTGTTTTTTTTTCCTATCTCATCTTTTTCATCAAGCCAACCAACAACTTATGATATTACTTTGACTGATCAAAATGATCAATCACTTGGTAATACATTGGTGATTACTTCGAAAGAACAACAAACTATAATTAATAATAATAATACACAAACTACTGATATAATTATAAAATCAACTTGTCAATCAAATGATAGTTTAAAATCATCACCAAGATTATCATCAATTAAACGATCAAATAGTTTATATCATTTAACTAATCAAAAAGCATCCAACAAATCTGCACATCATAAATATCAAAATAATAATAATAATAATGAATATCCATTGAATGCAGTTGTTCTACGTGATTTAGCTTATCAATCTTGGAGAAATCGTTTAGTTAAAAGTGCACGTATTGAACGTATGTCAAATTTACGTAATGAAATTGATGAAACAAAAAAGGAGAAAGAGGTAAAACATATTACCAACATAATTATTTTATATTTGGATTATTAATTTAAATTTTATACAGTTGAGATAACCACCATGGAAAACCTGGAAGAACTGGACGGCCGTTTCGTCCTAGTATGGGACTCCTTAGAAGTGCACATCGACGATCCCGCCTCGCAACATTCGGACATAGGACCTATCAGTCTCGCACGCGAGCGCTTAACCTTTAGACCACTAAGCCAGCCGGCATCCAACGGTGGTAATGTCTAACTTCAACCAATCCACGAAATTGTATTGGTTAGTATTCAGCTTCTAATCAGAGTACATATTTCGGTCTTACAGATTGTTAACTAGGTCGCTAATAGTTGAGTGTTAACATTTCTGATAAGTATTAAATTGAAGTCCCATAAGGGATAAAAAGTACCCAAAATATCGCATATATGTGTTTTTAATGAATGTAAATTAACACGAATTTTATTCGACAGAGGTTTCTTGAAGATTACTTACAGCTTCCTGACAGAACAATATTCTTGATTGAGATCATGAACCGATTGACGTTAGACTACCATTGAAAACTTGGAAGCACTGGACGGTCGTTTCGTCCTATTGTGGGACTCCTTGGCAGTGCGCACCATGATCTCAATCAAAAACATAGTAATCTCCACAACTCCTATACTGATAACAACATTCCATCAATAAATTGAATAAGCCTAGTTGCAACTAAACAAAGAACAAATTACTTACATATCATGGGTGAAAACATATTTTTAAACGTGTATACGATTAAACTCGAACAATTGTTTGGTTTCCCGGTAAACTCCTTCTACGAACCAATTCTTTCTTTTTGTACTATATCTCTATATGCAATCTTTCTCTTATATATTACCACCTTTGACCTAACCACTGCTGTGAATCCCGTGTTCATCTTGTTGTGCTGATGCGGTATGGCAACCTGGACCGATGCACATATGTGCCTGGTCCTACGTTGTAGCTGACTGACTGACTCAAAATTAAACGTTACCGTAAATTGTGATCATTTGTAACATGATTTAAGAAAGATATCCCTAATATATTAGAATAAACCCTGAGATCGACCTAAGAGAACCCCTACAAATTCAATTTTCAATAACTTCGGTCAATCCTCAATTTTCATATTAATTAACTTCCATAACTGTTTATGTGGAAATGTTTCGTTAAACATTTATGTCCTTTCATATGTCTGTTTTATTTTGGAAATATAAAGATATGATGATGGAAAGTGTATATAGTTTATCTAATCCTTGATTGATAAAGTTACTTACTTACGCTTGTTACTCCTAATGGAGCAAAGGCCGCATGATTGATAAAGTACTTTTCATTTAAAAGGGATATTAAATCCATGTCTCAAGTGAATAAAATTATATGATCTTAAAATACGTATATTTTCAGTGTGGGGTTAGTCAACAATTTTCTGAAATTCAATAGGCATATGATTTCCAGTATTTTCATTTAGTTTCCTGTTTATTTATTGAGTTAATAAAGCATATCAGGATGTAAACTTCATTGAGGATTTCATCCAATTTTTGTGTTCTTTGGTCTTCTTCTTCTTCTCATTTGGCCTTGAGGATTCCAAGTGAGGGCTCGTCTTGTGATGCAGTTGGGTGGTTTCCTCAATGTGTGTCCCATCCACTTCCAATGTTTCTTCCTGATTTCGTTCTCCGTCGGAATCTGATTTTTTCTCATCCACAGTGGATTGTCGCTGATAGTGTTTGGCCAACGGATGCGAAGTGTTTTCTGTGGACAATTGCTAATAAACACTTGTATTTTCTCGATGATGGGATTCTTAGTTTTCCAAGTTTCTAGCCCATACAGTAGAACTATCTTGACATTCGTATTGGAAATTCTGACTTTGATGTTGGTTGACAGATAGTTGTTTTGAGTTGCAGATGTTCTTCAATTGTAAATATGCTACTCTTGCTTTTCCGATCCACGCCTTTACATCTGTATCAGTCATATACGTGGTACTCACCCATTAACTAAAAGAAAATATGCCAGAGAATGTAGAATATCGCACTCATACAAAATATAAAAATGTGAATGGATAACCGCAAACTTTTTAGATTATTGTTCAGAATAGCTTGTATATTTACCAACAACATACTGTTAGATAAATTTGTTTGATTGTAAACCTTCAATTTGTTAAATTTAATTTATATATATTTTAAAAAAATATAGAAATTGGAAAGAGTGAAATCAAATGAAATGTGTTTTCAAGCATGGAAGCAAAGTAAACATCAACTTTTAATTGATGCAATTAAAAAACGTAAAGCAGAAGAATCGGCACAGAAAAAGAAGCTTGAAGAAGAACAGGAACGTAAACTGAACTCACAAAAGGTAGGATTATTTAGTGCGCTTCTAATGGGGAAGTCGATTATATGTATGTTAGGTAGTTGGGTTTAGTCAACAGCAAATAGTGAGTCTAAGCTCTGTCTTATTGGGTACTCGTCAGCAAATCATATCTCCAATCTTGAGGAAAATAATGTTCCTTATGGGATCTGAACCTACACTACTCAGCTTTACAATCTACAGTGAGACGCATCTCGAATACCTTATCTTAGACTCTGAATCGTGGTTACATGAGCTCAACACCAAACAGCTTAGACTAGTGGGAACATTGCAACTTAGTAGACAGCATTCGAACTAGACTAAGATTTCATCAGTTTGATTATAATATAGGTTTTTATATTAAATGCGGATTATTTAAAAGGCAATTAGTAACTTTGGTGTGGTTTCTAGTTAGGATGTTAATGATTCACAGTTTAATCCTTTTGACTTTGAGCGTTTTTAAAGAAGATGGGGTGAAATCTGGTATTCAATAATTTTACTATGCATAGTTTTTTGTACCCATCATGTTCGGTCGATAACGTTTGAAACGCTGTCTGTAAATAAAGTAATATGACATGGCAGTTTACTTTGTTTCATGGTTGAAAACGATTAGTTAAAAACCTTAGGCTTTATTTTCTTAAGAAAAACCAGTGATGATTGACTGAAATTAACAGGTACTTGAAGATATGAAACATGGATTCAGGGCGTTTTATGACTGTTGCTTACTAATATTCCCGGGTTTAATGATATTTTGTACATCACAAAGACAATCATTAAAACTACTGAATGGCTGAAAATATGGACCGCCGCATGTCAGCTCAGTAGACTAAAGCTAACATATATATATTGTGATTGGAAGAAGATTGTGGATACACTTTGCTGAGGATGTTCGAACTGTAATGAAACATTTTTCCAATTTTCTCTGACCTCCATTAGTTGTCTAGCAAACGTTTCCCTGTTATTTTAGCTATCATCATCCCTTGAAACTTGACAGCTTAGCAAAAACAGTCGGTTGATCATCTATAGTGATTGAATTTGCAAAGGATTTCCTAAGTTCCAACAAGAAATTGTAACCGAATAAATCCTATTATGTCAAAGTTAAAACGGCTATCAACAGATGACAATGAAAAACAGTTGTACAATATAGCTAATTGACTGAATTTGGAAATATATATCATTAGATGCCAACTCAACGACCTACTGACACTATACTCACTACAATACATGAAGGTCTTAAGTTCAGTCGATCTTCATCAATAAATAGCCTCAAACTGAAACAGAACAACTATTCAGTATTTTCTTTTTTCAATAGTTTTCTATTAGATAAAAATGATTGAGAATTAACCCCCACAAATCACCTATTCTAAAATTAGTAGAAAAAAATGCACCACTTTAGCAACTATATTGAAGTCACTATAAAAATCAATCTGTATATATTTTTAGCAGACATGGATAGCGGCTAGCAATGGAATCCAGGATGTGCATTTTGCCTTATTTGAAACTTATCAGCTGGATGTACCTCCTACATCCCAGAGTTTATATTCACTCCGATATAAAAACAAACAAACACTAAAGACAGTCAATTCACAAACGTTTTGTCCCTTTTAAATAAGTTAATAACTGAATTTTATAAATAAACTGTTATTTATCTTATGCACAAATGATCTGTACATTATCTTCATTCTTTTCGTTGAAGGCATTCAATGCATGGAAAGCACATAAAGATGAATCAATCATTAAACAACATCGTGACAATTTATCTAAACAAAAACGTGAACAACAATTCAAAGAAACAGAACAAAATGAAAAACAATATTTAAATCAACAAGCATTTGAAGATTGGTAAATATAATATTTTTTTTAAAAAAAAAGAAATACTCCAGTAGAAAACATGACTTTGTATATATTTGGTACACTAGAGTGCTTGGTACCAGTGTGTGGTTGCACCACAAGATTGAGTTGTACTATTCGATTTTTAGCGTTAAAGCCTATATGATGTTTGTCTCTCCTGTTAAACAGGATTGAGCCGTAGTGTTTGAATTATCACGTGAAGGTCTGGATGGTGTCCGGTTCTCCTGAAAACCAATGTAAAATTACCCTGGTACGCAAGGGTAGATTATGTAACTATAATGTGTATATATTAGATAGCTTAATCAGTATAATACTAGTTCATTAACGTACAAATCACTAATATGAATTCTTTATATAGTTTATTATGTTTAACTATTATTGCATTATTGAAATTTATCAAAGGGACTAATTGTTTTAAATTTAACTATTATGTTAAATATAGTCATTTAAAACAATATAATTATTGATAGTAATTGCTAAAAAACAGTCAGTCTTGAGTGGTGTTAGAGGTATGATGGTGGTTATCACTTCCCGGTTCCCCACACCGTGGAAGGGTTCTTCTGGGGGTACCTGAAAAGGGAATTTGATTAAAGGTGGTCATAGTGACCTGAGAGTGTGACCGCGGTGCCCGAGGGACAACTGCTTGACATCGGTCACATACGACCTTTTTGTGGGTGATTTTTGTGCTAGCTCCGTACTTGTTGAGACCTTACTGTCGGAGATGGCTATCCATGGGATAAGGCGAGGTGTGCATTTTTAGGGTCGACCTTTTTTTAGCCCCACCCGTCCTTGTGGGAAGGCAGCATCGCTGTTATGCTGGTTGTTTGAAGGAAACACCTTACTACCATCCCACCTCTGTACAGTCAACAGTACGACTTCGCCTTCAGACCTTGGGTTTGCTGCTTTTCTTATTGCTCTTCAACTGACCTGTCTGGCACGGCAGGACCATGAAGAATGGTTGTTCCAGCCAGTATAGCTCGATTGGTTCATCACGATAGGTAAGCCCGACCACCACGTCAAGATAGCAACAACAGTCGAGTACTAAAAGACAGTTGTAAAATAATTCTAATTACAAGGATAAATAATATGAGGAAACATGATTAACTGAATGGATTAACTGATGAGGAATCAAACGTTTCACTAGACAAAGATATTATAATAAAATAACTTATGATAACCATAAGTTAAAAACAAAAACTTGACTGAAATGAACAAATGAAGGTGTTATGATGATTAAATAAAAGTTGAAAGACAATGTGAATAATGGTTAAAATGGTTAAAAGTTGAACAAACAAAATAAAATATTAGGAAATTTAAAGAAAAAATAAAGGAAGGGAAGGTAGAGATGGATCAATCACTATAGGGGGTGGTGGTTTAGTTCTTTTATCAAACATAGATTAGAGTTGAGACTATTCAGAAAAGCAGCAGGTATTCGTTATTTTTAGGTAAACATGACAAATTGGTTGATGAGATAGTGAACCTTCATCAACTGAGATTATATGAGTATGTAACATGCGTGCCAAACCATAGCCTAACTCAACGCGCGATGTTGTTTGATGTAGTAGGCTTGAAGAAAGCTAGATTTGACATCAGTTCATGAGGTTAGTGAAAACTGCACTGAACCCTGTTGATAAATGAGGTTTACCTTGTTACGGTTTACACGATTATTGTAACTAGTGGTTGAAGATTTTGGGTGACGTGACTGGGAATCGGTCACAATGACAAAGATGCATTCACTCTTTGTCTTTCTTTAGAGCTTCAGCTTTAAAATCATTTATACTATTTATTATGCGAATTCATTTTCTCTTCTGGAATAATATTGTCCGTTCTAAATCATTTCTATTACCTACGATACTGTTACTACTTCAAATTAGTCTGGAAATTTGTCTTGATAATTTCATTACACGAACCTGATATGATATGGCAACTTGAACCGACACACACATATGTTAGATTCTATGTTGGTTATGACCGATTACCACATTGAATATCACACATTATTATCCAAAATGTTCTCATACACTAATAGTTTTGTTGCTAAATTATTCGATATCTAGTCGCTAGTTTAATCATTATCCTATATACTTTGGTTCAGATAGCTAGATGGTAATAACAGCTCTAAAATTCTAAAAATAAACAGTAACTTAAAGCCAAATACATCACCATGTAATAGATCATTGTGTCACAGTAATTAATACATCTCTCTCTCTGTGTTAAAATTCCTATTCACATTCACAAAGTTAATACTTTTCATTTAGCTTCACATGTTCAACGAATTCAAACGTTTATCGTGTTCAGTCTTCACAACCAGTGTATGTTCTTATTTCATAAATTATCATACATATTGCTTTTTTAGGTGAAGCATAGTTGAAAAGGGGGGTTTTAGTCTCATTTTGTACTACAAATCATACTATTTGATTGACATTTGTGACTTCAAGTACACGTAAAATTCAATCATTTTGTCCATCGTTAATTTTCAGTGTTGAGATATGATAGAATCGTTTTCTGTATGACATTTGATAATATAAAACAAAATGAGATTGATAAATCTAATTTTCGATTCTCTATCATCATCGATCATGATGAAATTGATGTATACTACCAAAACAATCTGGATAGACTAAGCGACCACATGATCATAGTGCATATGTATTAGTCTAGAATGATGTTTATCGAACCATTCCACATTAAGGTGTTGAATAACGACTGTAATTTGGTTAATTTTAATGAGGTAAACAACACTAGATACTTAAAGCTAGGGTTTAGGATTTGTAGTGTCGGTTATTATATTAAGCTCATATACCTTATTCTAGCTTTCGGACATCCCATTCTATTCATTCTACTTGAGTCACACTCTAACCTTGTTATTTATTCGCTTATCAATCTTGACTGTTTTTATATGAGCGCATAGGTGTATGTACATGTCTTATCACATGTCTGTAACTTACTTTTGTGTAACTATAAGTATTGATTAACGCTTGGTTAAAGGGGAGTTGGTTTACCAGCCATCTCTACTCTGCGTCGTTTCTCTTCTCTCTATTCCATTCGCTTTATATACAAAATAAATGTATTCACAAGTCCATTCTCGTTATTTGACTTATTTAATTCCGTTATTGACTAACGCGATTTAAGTCGATGATTATATGCGAGGATAGGCGATATATATATTTCAACAACAATCATCATTACAATCCCTTTGGTATCAGAACCTGGGCCACTAAACTGGAGAGCCCTTTCGACAACATCGTCCGATCTAAATGACGACAAAATTCAAGGGCCCCACAATAGATTAGAGTTAAGATTAGAACGAAGACACATATAGACTAATCTTAAAGGCTAATTCCTATTCTAGAAATTAATTAGGTCTAGGAAGACTAAAAAATCCTTGTCACTAAAAGTTTAAAAAAACCCATATACTTATCATGCTGTATGACCGGCGACTGACTACCTGTATGTACAGACTAGGTATTCTTTTTTGTAAACGTAAATACTAAGTCGTCTATGTTTTCCAACTGACCAAATAACTTTGCTTGCTTCATTCACAGCATTCTATGCATTAAACCCAATGCACATGCATGTTTGTACGAAAAACAAATGAATTTATTACATTGTACCCCAGTTCAATTAAAAACAACTTCATAAGTATAAGTTTATACTAGCTGTAATTAAAATTACGACCAAACACCTTTTTTGCTGAAATCGTTATTAACTCAGTAATTGACTAACCAACAAATTAAAAAACTGTGACTCCCCTGAAAACATTTGACAGTATATTGATTAATGGGTTGTAATAAAAATTAGAACTATCCTAATCAACCACAGATAAACTCATTATGAAATGAATGGATTAGCTTTCAAGAGGGAGTAATAAATCGTTCCAACTCAAACTGAACAACTTGTATGAGACTATGAATAATGAAGTGCCCATGTATATATACTACTCACCTGCCATTACTAACCAGCAATGCAGATAATTGGGGTCGCGTAGTTTTTTAAATTAAGTATTCTAACGAAAATGTAACATTGTACGGTGGCTCCATAAGCTGATGGGGAATATCTCTCACCACCTCAATACAATCTAAAAATAAACCAAAGTTTTAAACAAATTTATATTGAGTGAGTAAAAAAAAGTAAAGAACAATGAAGACGGTGCCGTCGAGCTGCCACACGCCTCAACTGTCAAATCCAAAACATCGAATTCGTAGCGTCGGCTATCGTTGACCTTGATGAGTTGAGATAGAAAATCTGTCTGATTAGTTTATTATAATGTCATAATTTGACTGAGATTAGGTGCTATTTTATTGAGCCTACTAATAACTAATTTGAACATTTGGATTAAGGCATTTAACAATACAGATAATATATAAATGCTTGGGAATAAAAATGAATATTGTTTATTTAAATCTCCCAACAGGAAAGCCAAAAAAGATGCCGCATTAAAACAAAGCCTTCAGAGCAAAAGAAAACATCAAAGTGAAAAAGAAAAACAACTAGAAGAAGCTAATCGTATTAAAATGGAACAAGCAGCTGAAGCTTATCATCAATGGGAATTAAAAAAGGTATTATTTTCTCGTATTATTACTAGCGTACACGTTTTGTGCAGATTGTTGATTGAGTCACTCACAAATAAATCCAGCAATCTCCAGGACCTCGTCCCCACACCATCTTCAATACTAGTGATTAACTTCGTGAAGCGATTTCCAGAACACTTGTGAGAAGCCATGATCAGTAGAGTTCAGTTGTATATCGAGTGAGGCATCTACTCACCAATGGTATGATGAGTTAAATAATATATCGACCGACCTGCAGTGGAATCATGAACACATATTGCTAAGAAGTCCCATACTAAAACGAAAGTTTCCCTTGTTTTCAGTAGCCGTTTAGCCAGGTTCATTCCATTCTGGTTGAACTAAATAACAGTTGGTTCTTATCACAAAACGATACCAATTAAAGTATAGGTTGCAAGTTGTACTGTAGTTCGACAAAAAACCTTTTGACCATAGATTCAAATTTAAAATAAACACATCAGCCAGTTGATTATATTGCCTCGCAGCACAAACTACTTGGAGTTGAAATAATACGAACCACTGTATTACCAACTAATTTTCTCAATTAAAGAGGAAGAATGTATTTGTAAAATCTCAGTGAAAGAATTTGAAGTAAATCCAACGTTTCGCCTGACAATCTGGTCCAAGCTTTTTGATTTGAAGTTTAATGGTGTGTTAAAACATAGAAGAATTCTTAAAATGCGAACTACCTATTGGAAGAAAGCAGTGAAAAACGATCTGAGCAAAATGCAAACTACTACGCAAAATCATGATTTTTGTTTAAAATTTGGAATAGCATTTATCAGAGGCTGTCTGAGTCCAGAACTGATATTAGCTTGACAACCATTTAAAGCTATGGAGTGTTGGACAACTAATTTGTCCTAGTTTGGAGCTTGCAATTATTATTTACCACAAATCCACAGGATCAAACGCTGAAATTTCAAGTCCTGAGTTTAGTATTTATACAGTATTTGTGCAGATACTCCAATAAGAAGTAATTTTGACTATGAACTGATATGAGCCCAACGAACATTAGAAAATAATAATCAACAGTAGATAGTTATTTCGTTATATTTTTGAACTTCTGAGCATTGGGTATACATGATCGCACATCATATCTAAATTAGACCCTTGGGTTCCACGGTGAAAACCATACATTTTGATCAGTGATTTAAAATACAGTGGTCTATATTCATTACTCTAGTCGACTTGTGATATTGTATAACTATCATTTCATGACACTTATATTTTCCTCACTTCTTGCATGGCTGAACTGCAATGATCATAGCTTCTCTGTAGAACATCGGGAACCCATATCATTGATAACGTCATAACTATTAGTAGTGGAATGAAAGATTTTTGAGAAGTCTCCTCTGTCTGAAGTTAGTTTTTATCAAAAACTAATATCAACAGGGTCGTGTTCCTGCAATAATAAGGATTCTGTGACTAGAACAGAAACATATATCAACTGCATCCTATTATCTAATATTTATCTATTTATTTTAACATATAGATATTGGTACAAGGAGGTACCAAATACATATGCACCACACAAGTCATTTGATTTGTGTGTAGGCTGTGATACTGCCCATGTGTTCCAACCGAAGCAGGTGGTTTCCTTAGGGGGCCACACTCGAAGCCTTCGACATAAAGGTGTGAACCACAAGGCAACATCAGGAGATGCAGTCCCATGGTAGCCGGTGACCAATAATTGATTCATACGCCATTTGTTCCTTCAAGATTCTGGAGCCAATGTGCACCATTGGTTTGAATTCAGGGTTTTCCAACTCCCCTCTGTAGATCCTCCATATCCACCAACCCGATTAAAGCTCCGGACATTCGCTTCTTGTCTTCAAAATTTCGTAAACAACACTCGTGTTGTGAGAAGGCAGTGAGTAGGATTTCCCTGTTAGTGGCTGTATACGCGTGGTCATGTGAGATCATTTCGAGAGGGAGAGCGGACTCACCCCACTCTCGGCCGTACCAGGGCATTTGGGGGCAATATTTATCTAGCTGATGTCATTCCTTGACATAATTGTACATTAGAAAAAAACTCACATTATTGACGTTCAATGAGTATTTTTATTAATCGTTACATTGGAAATAATTATTAGCTAATGTAACTCAGTGGAACAAATAAATTGAATTCTATAAAGCTTTCTATGGAATTTTGAACAACCGTTCAAAACCGGGAAACATTGAGTGACTGTTTTGTCTAAGTTTGAGACGCCCCGGAAGTGCGTATCCATGATCTCGTCAGGGAACCCCATACTAAGGTGAAAAATCTACTTAGCGCTTCCTGCCTTTCAATGGTCGTCTATGATCAATCAGTTATGTGAAGCCACAAAAACCCAAATATCACCACAAAGCCGCTATACTAATAATAAATAATTGTTTTCTTGTCATTAACCAAGGTTGCATCATTAGAGAATCTTGTTGTCAGCATCGACCATTCAAATAAACCAAACAGAAGACCATGGAGGCCTCCATCAAAGACAATCCCTCCAACTCACTCATATAGAATGTATTGAAAATAAACGTTCCGTTACCACTTGTTAATTTCGCACTTCAATCATGTGTATATAAATATTTACTTAAGTGAAAGGAATTCATTTTCGAATTAGTCAAAAAAAGATCATTACTACAACTCCGTTGCTACTTCCCGTGTGTTTTCCTGATTAAAACCTTGTACTCTTCCAATTTTATTTTGCCATGATGTCAACTAATTCAAACAGATTTAGAAGTTATTATATTTTCGAAAACAAAATCAGTACACAATATTTTGCATGAATTATTGTTGTATTAAATAACATGATCTCTTTCCTTTCGAAACATATTCATTCACATACTACTTGAATATTGTCATGAGTAGTTTCAATAGTGTTTAACCATATTTTGTATAAAAACAAAACAAAATAATAACAGTAAATGTAATACTCACAGGTGTAAATAAACATACCATTAAATACAATTATTTTGCTCAACAATTACTCGAGTAATTCATTTTTTTTATACCTTAATTCGAAGTTCCATTAGAAACTTGTTTGTTATTAGATCATCTAAGTACTGTCAGTCAGTCAGTAACAACGTAGAACTTCGTACGTACATACATCAGTTCGAGTTGCCACACATTAGCACAGAGATGCAGTTGTCGACTCAAATCCCGTAGTGGTAGAGGCGGTAAGGGTATAAGTAGTAATCGGAAACATTAGGGTTCGAAGATGTTATTCAAGGAGTATAATACAATGAAATGCATTTGGAAAGAGAAGAAAGAAAGGGACATGAAGAAGTCAAAAGACTAGAATTTAGGAGAACACAAAGAGTGGATGCAACTGCGCCATTGCAAACGATTTTGAGTACTGTGCAAATAAGTAATTTAAAAATCACTATGAAATATTTAGAGAACAATTATTTTTCTAAATAACTTTTAAGCACAACAGTTACAAATCTAAAAGTGATAATATAAAGTATACATATGGAAGTTTTGATTAAGTAGTTAATAGATGTTGTGCATAAGTGATGGATTAAAATTGATAGAGTTAAATTATATGAATATAATACAAAAAAATACTTTAAATCCGTTGGCCAGACACTATCAACAACAACCTACTGTAGGAGAGAACAAACCAGATCGCAGAGGAAGAACAAATCAGGAAGAAGTGCTGAAAGTGGATAGGACACACATTGAGGAAAGCACCCAACTGCGTCAAAGACAAGCCCCCACATGGAATCCTGAAGGCCAAAGAACACATTACGCCGGGAAATGGAAATAGACATGAGAAAAATGAACAAGAATGGGATGGAATTAGAAAAGAAGGCCCAGGACAGAGTGGGTTGGAGAATGCTGGTCGGCGGCCTATTCTCCTTCACGAGGAGTAACAGGCGTAAGTAATTAAGTACAAAAGAGGATAAATGTTACATCTTGATTGATTTCGTAAAAATAATAATAAAATCACACGAATTACTAACGATAAATACATAATTAAAAGTATTTTATTAAGTCATTTCCTGAATAACTTGCCAAATACAGGTGAAATTGTACCTACATTACATAGCTAAAACTATCAAGTCATCTCATTATTGATTAAGTTCGCTAAATACTATCCAACAAAAACAACGCGCATATAGTCACTGATTGTTAATTTATTCAAAGGGATAAGACAAAGAGTACAACTGCTAAGTTTCTCAAAGATAGAAAAGAAAACCTGAGAAACCGAAGCGAAAGGAATCATAATACAATTAAACTTATTAAATTATGCATACTGAATGTATAAATTATAGACTTTAAGCCATAAAGAACTTTTGTATGAAAATAAATAACATTCAATCAAATTCTTCAACAAAATGACATAAAGAACAGATTAAAACTTGTCATTTAAAAGATTGAATTATTTCAACAGAAGATCTATGAAATATACATGAAATCAATCATTGAAATGCAAGTTAAATTATGGAAATATAATAGATAAAATTAATCTGATAGATATTGGATAGAATACACAAAACATTGGAAATAGAGAACAAAATAAACGAGAAACATACATGAAGTTAGTTAAGAATCAAAGATTCTATTTCTTGATACATATATATATGTATAAAAGAACAAATGATGAATGTCTATTAAGTAGTAATAATGTCATAAGATAAAATAAAAAAGTTTAAAATCTTATCAACAATTACATTCATATGAAAGTGTTGAATCATTATTTTGTACATGAACTTTTGGGATAGAATTAAATTTTGAATGTTCCATAAATGTTAAACTAGATGAGTGTCGATTACATTTTAAACGATCTGGATCTAATTCACCATTTCTAATTTTAAAAACAAGTTTACGAACACATTGAATAAAAGCTTCTTCAACATTTTCACCAGTAAGTGCTGATGTCTCTAAGAAATGAAGATCATTATCTTGAGCAAATGCACTAGCCTCCCAATTAGTTACATGTCCATCACTATCCTGCAAAAAAAAAACATTATACTGTCATGTTAAAAAGCTCATTAAAAGATTTGATGAAATATATTATATTAATTAGATATATGCGTCAACATCGGTTGGATTTTGTTGTTAATGAGTTCCAATTCAATTGGGGAATTCAATAATCCTGCCACTCATAATCAACACAGAGCCTGGCATAAATGTGTACCAAATCAAGTTGTCATACCATATCAGTAGTGAAAAGATATGAACAAAACTGAACACTATATAATTTAAATAACAACAGCATAAATGATAATGCGAAGAACTAAACAGTAGACACGATTTAAAAGGTATGAACATCGCTATCGTTTCGAAATGATCGTCAGACTGTTTATTTATTGTGGTGACCTAATAGTCATAACAGTTGGGATACATAATAATAAATTTTTTGCGATATCCCAATAATTATAAAATTGTATTTCTCACGTTTAATGACTCAATGTAAGCCACTTCTTCCAAGTTGGGATACTTGTCCTTATAAGCCAGGGTGGTCCTTTCAAGAGCAATTAGACCAAAAGCAGCAAATCTACGTCACAAGGAAGTATTACTGATAGTTTTACTGAAGTCTGATAGCGGTATAATGTTTCCCAAAGGTAAACGGTATCTCTGGCGATGCTGAGTCCCCACAATAAGAGGGACTAAAAAATTAACCCTAAGGACAGCAAATTTAACCTAGTCTCATACACTGATGAGGACGGTCAGGAAAGTATGAATTTAATGTAACAAACACTACCTACAGAAAGCCGCGTGTGACCGAACTCAAGTAGTTATTACTTTGGCTGTGTGGTCACGTCCGCAATCGTCAGGACTATCTCTGATCTATTCTTTGTCAGGCACCACAATAAGTACCTTTCCACGGCGTGAACAACCGCCAAATGACTAATGCTCCCATATATCTAACAGTAATGTCAAACATCTTAAGTAGTTTACATAGTGGTTATTTTTTTATTCAATCTGGATGCAATAAACAAGTTAGATAAAATGATTTTGTCGTAGTATGTAACTTGTCTTAACTGAGCTAATTTGTCAATCTAGTTAAAAGAGAGATCTGATTATTACTTAAGTAACGCCAAAAACATAGAAAATAAAAATTTGCTTATTACCTGTAAATCTTTTTTATTTCCAACTAGTACAATCATGATATCAGGCGAAGCAAGAGTTCGTGCATCGGACAACCAAGAGGCTAGTTCATTAAACGAATCTCTACTAGTAATATCATAGACTAGCAGTGCTCCAACAGCATCATGGTAATATGAACGAGCCACTGATCGAAAACGCTCCTGACCTTTAATTAAAATTGAGATTACTGTTCTAATTAAAATATTAATTAGAGGATACAATATAGCGTAAGAATATGTGAGGACTCTCAAAGAATTACATCTATACTTCGCAAATAGCTTACTATCGCAACAGACAGAAAACTGATCGACTGGATGTCCCTTGATCTTAAAATGTTACTACATCCTGATGCATCATACCATATGTAAATTCTTTTCTTTTATAAAGTTTTGTTTTGCTAATCAAAAAGTACTACTGTACTGTCCTTATATTTAAAACTCAATTAATTTCACAGTGGATTTACTCTTATGAGTCACTATCAGTCAACTATATTGCATTGCTAAGCATCATCAACTGATTAGCAGTTTATTTATCTGAATCATAAAAATATGCATATGTTGACACTATTGATATATTATCGCTGCAACCATCTTACACCAATCAGAATTTAATGGTCTGTTGTTATATACCTAAATTGCTAGGTTAAAACTGCTTATCTAGCGATATTATTAGTTAAAAACTGGGCACTTGTATGGCTTCAAAATAAGGATCTGGATATAATATAGTCGGGCAGTATTGGTCAAACGGAATAACCCCAAAGGCAAAGATGGACGCGGTTGAAACGAGTGTCATGAGTTGTAAAAGAACCTAAAAGAAATTTATGTTCAGTTTACTTAAAAATGGGGATGCCCATTTCCTTATTCACTGCAGGTCAGCAAGATTGTTCTGCGATGTACTTGACGGTCGCTTGACACCCAAATCAGATACAACGTTCAACGTACTTAAGAGGTAAAAAATCAAAGGCGGTTGGACAATCAATATCCCTTAGATTCTTCTGAAAATCCTGACACTCGTTTTCATCGCATTCATCTTGATCCGGTAAGTCTCTCATCAGAATTGAAGACACTTATCTACATACATACATGAGCTTTCCCAAACAATTGCCAGGAGCAGTGCTTAACAAAATTACTGCTAAAAGGATGGTACGCACTCTCGTTGAACGATAGATTTTACACTGCAGTTGTCCATCAACAATTAAAGCAGACAATGGATGCTGATTCGGAAGTAAATTATTCCATGCCCTAGATAAACTCTTTATACCCATACTGTTCCGAAATGTATACCCCTTACAAATTAACCGTATGGTAGAACAACTCTATCTCAAATATAAACATCCTACACTGAACGGATACATTTCCACTTCAGAATCAACAAACTAAAAGCCTCACATTCAAAAGGTAACCCTATCTCCGTCGACCTGTATACACATGACTTTCGATATTTATCATTTGTCACATAACTTCTTAGCATACGGATTAAAAACCAAACGCTAAATGTTTCGAGCCGTAAGAAGTTAGTTTACCGATGTCGAACCCGTTGGATTTAAACCTCCAGTCGATAAAGTCTTCGGATCCCCACTTAATAGTGCTCACAATAGATAGGTTTGTACCTGACATTGATGCTAATCTTGTTAACTTAGCTGTACACTGACTAACTGAATGCGCTCAGACAAACATTTACATCAGATCACATGGTGACCAGTGAAGCATTTTATTTGTTCTGGATTATCGGTCTAGAAACCCAACATTAGGCTACCGCTGTAAACAAATAAATTATTCATCGCAACCATCGCGATTTCCCTTCGTTTTAGGGGTAATCTCGTTAGAAGAAACTTGCATACCAGTGTTGTCCGACCCGAGTGCATTGAGGGCCCCCAAATACCCTGTCACGGCCGAGGATTGGGAGAGTTAGCTCTCCCTTTCGAAATGTTCTCACATGACCACGCGTATACAGTCACTGCCAGGGAAGTCCTACGGGTGTTGCTTACGAAATTGTGAAGACAAGAAGAGAATGTCCAGTCAGTCAGTCAGTCAGCTACAACGTAGGACCAGGCACATATGTGCATCGGTCCAGGTTGCCATACCTCATTAGCACAACAAGATGAACACCGGATTCATAGGAGTGGTTAGGTCAAAGGTTGCAATAAGGATATAGTATAGGAAGGAAGAATTAGTTCGTATGAAGTGATTTTAATCTCTTAGTTTAAGGGAAGACAAAGAGTGTATACACCGACGCCATTGTGATCGATTCTGAGCCATGTCACCAAGAGTCTCCAACCATTGGTTACGATAGTCACGCGGACCCCAACCAAGTAGTCTGCATCTACCAACATGGCTAAGACTAGAAGTTAGTGACTTCAAGCACTGATGCCACGTTTTGGTTTGGCCGCCCCTAACTTTCTTCCAACCATCCCCTACACCGGTTAGCATTGCACGTCGTGGTAATCGGTGTTCAGGCATACGTAATACGTGGCCCAACCATCTCAGTCGATGAAGATTCATAACCTCATCAACTGATTTACCATCATTCCCTAATACCCTGCGTCTAACCTCACTATTACTTACCCGGTGATCCCAGCAGATGCCAGCAATATTTCTAAGGCATCTGTGGTCAAATACTTGTAGCTTACGGGTGTCTTCTACTCTTAAAGGCCATGTTTCGCTGCCGTAAAGTAAGACAGAACGGATAGACGGATATCTCGCCTTCGCCATAGGTGGCGCAAGTTGGCAAAAGCCAATCGAGCTTTTCGAATCCGTGCTGAGATTTCGTCAGACACCAACCCATTAGGGCTGATCAGACTTCCAAGATAAGTGAAGTTGTCGACGCGTTCGACTACTTCACTCCCTATCCTTAATTCAGGTGTTGACGCACACCAGTCCTGAAGCAACAACTTGCATTTAGAGGGAGAGAAGCGCATCCCAAACATTCTGGCATTGTTGCTCAGTGCTACCAGAAGACTCTGCATTTTGTCAGCCTCTTCACCAAACAGGACTATATCATCTGCGTATTCTAAGTCGATAAGTGGACCTCCTGGAAGGAGATCAATACCCGAGAATTCAGTCGACGAGAGTGTTATTTCCATCAATAGGTCTATGATGAAGTTAAACAAAAATGGAGAAAGTGGACAGCCTTGACGGACACCACTTGAAGTTGCAAAAGTAGATGACAGTTCGCCATAAGCTCTGACTCGACTAGTAGTGTTCGAGTAAAGAGCCTTCACAAGGTTTATGTACTTCTGAGGTACGCCTTTCAATGACAGACACTGCCACAGAGTCTCGCGGTCTACAGAGTCAAACGCTGCTTTTAAGTCAAGAAAGACCACCATCGTCGGACGCCGATAGGTATGCCTGTGTTCTAGAACCTGACGAATGGTGAATATGTGGTCGATGCAGCCACGACCAGGTCTGAAGCCAGCTTGGTTCTCTCGAGTTTGTAGTTCACGAGTCTTAGTTAGGCGTCTGATAATTATCGAGGCCAGTATTTTAGATACTATGTTTGTTAAACTTATCCCTCTGTGGTTGTCACAGGATGATTTTGACCCTTTCTTATATATTGGGACGATAAGTGATTGCGACCAGTCAGATGGGATAAAGTCTAATTCCCAGATCTTAGCTAAAATGTTAGTCAACCTAATCGCTAAAATTGGACCACCATCCTTAAAGACCTCTGGAGCCAATCCATCTGGACCAGCTGCCCTTCCTCGTTTCAGATTAACTATAGCCTTTTGAACTTCAGCAAGAGTTGGGGGACCTACTTCAATGTTCCATTCACATTGTCTGGGAATGGAGGGTAGTTGTAGAGTAGCTGAAGGCCAGCTGAACTGTTCTCTAAAATGTTCCGCCCATCGTTCTAAACGTCTGGACTGGGAGCAGATGAGAGTATCATCTTTTTCCGAAATAATCTCACTTACACTTGACTTATTAATTCCAGTTTCTTTTATTAGTCTGTAAAGCTGTCTTGTGTTCCCTATAGTTGCCGCCTTTTCCATCTCTTTTGCTTTCGTTGCCCACCACTGCTCACGGTCGTTCCTTAGACTTTTTCTTAACCTAGATCTGATTTGTTTTCGCTCTTCATCATGTTCAGAACCTGATGGGATGAGTTTGCGAGAATCCATCAGTGTGACAGACCTTGAAGAAATCCACTGGTTCCTTGCAACTCTGTGGTTTAAGTCACTAATAGATGTCACTGCTGTTTCCACAGCTGATTGTATGCCCTTCCAAGCAACATCTGGGTCAGCCTCGTCTTCACAACTACCTAATCGTGACCTCAGTTGTTCCTGGAACCTACTTTTGGTTTCCTCGCTACTCAGTTCGGTCCTAATGGGTCTTTTTACTGTGGCTTTTTTGCGTCCAGTGAGGCGCAAGCAGATGCGTGCCCGTATTAGGGCGTGGTCGGAGTCCAAGCAGGTACTCCAGAATGAGCGACAATCTTCTACCGACCCTCTCCAACGATGACTGATGGCAATATGGTCTATTTGAGTCCATCGTTGGTTTGATGTAGGGGGTCGCCATGTTAGACGATGTCTCTCCTTATGCTTAAAATTTGTGTTTGCTAAAAATAAACGATTGTCTGAGCATAGCTGCAGCAGGCGATCACCATTATCTGTTCGCTGTGTCGGAATACTAAAATATCCACCTAAATGCCTTTCTGTTTGGTTTAAGCTTCCTATCTGAGCATTAAAGTCACCCCCTACGAGTACTATGTCTGAGCGTTTAGCTTTCTGAAGAAGTTCGGACAGCTTTCTGTAAAATTCATCTTTCATTTCATCTGAGCTGCAGTCGGTGGGAGAGTAGACAGAAACGACAAAAAGGCAACGACGTGTGTCCCTATCCTTTCGAGTTCTTACGTAGCCGTTCAGCCGAACAGCACATAGACGACTGTTGACGGGGATCCACTCTAGCAGTGCTTGTTCGGCCCTCATGCTTAGTGCTATGCCTACACCTGCCAGTCCACGAGAACTGGCCATCGGGTCACCAGATACACGAAGGGTGTATCTCGTTGGCTCTCCGTTTTGCCGAGGTGAGGTCAAGTGAATGACCACACTGGGATCCTGTATGCGTGTTTCAGAGACACAGCATACATCAATGGAAAGAGACTCTAGGGTTTTAGCCAAGGAAGCCTGCTGACCGATTTGACATAGAGTGCGTACGTTGAAAGCTCCAATGTGTAGTTTGGAGCGAGGTTTCAGTAGACCTGGGACAGAGTTTTGAGCACTAGAATCGTTGGCTATGGTGATACTTGAGGAGGAAGCCGAAGGAGGAAGTTTAGGGTTGAAAGTCGATGTAGGAGGAATAATAGGAATTGGAGAGGAAGGTTGATTATGAATACAGTGGTCTTGGGTGCTGTTAGAGGTATGAGGGCGGTTATCACTTCCCGGTTGCCCACACCGTGGAAGGGTTCTTCTGGAGGTACCTGAAAAGGAAATTGGATTAGAGGTGGTCTCAGTGACCTGAGAGCGTGACCGCAGTGCCCAAAGGAAAACTGCTTGAGGCCGGTCGCGCACGGCCTTTTTGTGGAAGGTTTTCGACGTGTTAGCTCCGTTCTTCAAAGGGCCTTACCGCCGGAGACGGAAATCCGTGAGGTAAGGTGAGGTGTGCATTTTTAGGGTCGACCTTTTCTAACCCCACCCCTCCTTGTGGGAAGGCAGCATCGCTGTCATGCTGGTTGTCTGAAGGAAACACCTTACTGCTGTCACACCTCTGTACAGTCAGCAGTACGACTTCGCCTTCGGACCTTGGGTTTGTTGCTTTTAGTCTTACCGCTCTTCAACCGACCTGTCTGACATGGTAGGACCTTGAGGAATGGTTGTTCCAGCCAGTATAGCTCGGTTGCTTCATCACGATAGGCAAGCCCGACCACCACGTCAAGGTAGCAACAACGGTCGGGAGAGAATGTCCAGAGCTTTAATCGGGTTGGTGGATATGGAGGATCTACAGAGGGAAGTTGAAAAACCCTGATTTTAAACCAGTGGTACACATGAGCTCCAGAATCTTGAAGGAACAAATGTCGTATGAACCAATTATTGGTCACCGGCTACCATGGGACGGCATCTCTTGAAGTTGCCTTGTGGATCACATCTTTATGTCGAAGGCTCCGAGTGTGGCCCACTAAGGAAACCACATGCTTCTGTTTGAACACACGGGCAGTATCACAGCCTACACACAAATCAAATGACTTGTGTGGTGCATATGTATTTGGTGCCCCTTGGCACCAATATTTATGTGTTCAAATAAAATGAATAAATGAAATAAAATCTCACACAAATCAATTGATTTGTGTGGCGCACATATATTTGGTCTTTTGTACCAATGTTTAAATAAATATATGAAATCAAATAATTTAATATCTTTAACAGACAAGGTCCAAGGTCTGACAGTATGTATCCGTTTGATTTTAAATATTATTTATAGTGTGAGCAAGTTTAACAATCGAACGCAAATATTTAGTATATGAACATAATACAAATCAGTATTTACTATTTGCTCACACTGAACAGGTACTTTGGTGATAAAACATACTATAAGAGTGTGAACGTACAAATCTGAAAATGACTACCTGCAGTATCCCATATCTGGATTTTAACAGTTGTCCCATCTATATTTATGATCTTACTGCCAAATTCTGCTCCAATTGTATGAGGCATATTGGGTATAAATTTTCCTTCAGTATATCTTCGTAAAATGCATGTTTTTCCAGAGCCTGAAGCTCCAATAATCAAAAACTTGAACAGATACTTGTATTTCTCTGGTATATCCATCTAGTACAAATGATTATATGTTAGGTGATTGGCAATGCATTCACAGAATTGAATTAGTATCGAGATTAGTTTCTATCAAAAGTAAAAACTGGTAAAACAGAAATTGATCTATACGATCTGTAGTCACTGACTGTAATCAGTTTACAATCTACATAGACTAAAAGTAGTCTGGAACAATTGTAGATCTGAGTTATTGTTTTTTACAAAATAAAAACGGATGGACGAACTGTCCGAAAAAAATATAAAATAGCGGAACAATTATGCTATAGAGATCACACCAAAACGTGACACTAGTCCTTGAAGTCACTAATCTCTGGTCTTAGCCATGTTGATGCAGACTACTTGGTTGGGGTCCACGTGACTATTGTAACTAGTGCTTGGAGACTGAGTGATATGGCTCAGAATCGATCTCATGGGTGTAAGTTTATACACTGTTTCCCCTTGAACTGTGAGATAAAAATTGCTTCATACCTTTCTTTCTACCAACTAATTCTTTCTTCCTGTATTATGTCCTTATACACAATCTTTCTTTCATATATTAATACCACTGAAGTAACTGCTTCTATGAATTCGGCGTTCATCTTGTTGTGCTAATGAGGTGTGGCAACTTGGACCGACGCATATATGTGCCTGATCCTACGTTGTAGCTGACTGACATCACTGTAAGCACTACCTAGTATCTGTTACCCACCACCATCGACCTCGCGTCATACCATCAGAAAATTTAAACAGATGGATTTGATAACGTTCCTTATAAAGCATTCGAAATCTACGAACAAACAGCGATTAGGATATAGAATAGGATGCTAGGCTTGTAATTATATGCCAAACGGTAAATTGACACAGTGGGTCGAAAATTCATACTAACTGGATAAAGGCACTGATGAGATTATTGTATTTCGTACATGAAAGCGGTCTATTGTAACAGAAGTTATAGTAAGCAGACTGTCGGAAGGGTTAGTTCGTTGGCTAGCAATTCAGAAATCCTACGTACGTAAATAAAATCTAACCATAAGAAAGTATAGCGCGGGGTAATCAACAAAACTTATTGTATATTAAAGAATAGACGATAGACTGTAAATAATTTTGACTATATACCCAATTAATGAACTCAACTAGCTACAGAGCAAAACTAACCCAATCAATCTTTAGAGAATACCGGGGAACTAGGTATGAACCAAATAGCAACTATTTGTTGATAATGTACCATAATTCAATGAATAATCATTCATAAAATTCCAAATAATAGCAGGATCTGATTGGCAAGTCTTCGACTACTTACTGGATTTATCATTCATTTGCGGGTAACATACTGTGTCTACTAAAATTATTCTCAAACTTATTTGCGTATTTACGGAAGCAGCCACGCTCATATGGCTTCGTTAGCATTTTAGTATTCATATTTTGGTGTTTAACCAACAGAGATGAAGGTAGTATGTTAATCCATTTACCGTAGTTCTTGTATTTTTTTTTAACTGTTTCTCGTCAAATGCGTTAACGCATTGTGGCAAGCGCTTGTTCAGGAAATGCGTCTTTGGTGATTAATTATAGGAGCCAAAACCCTGTGGTGGTATAGCCTGAACTTAAATCTCCACAGGATCAAAGATTTCCGCTCAGTATATTGACAACAGATTGTCAGTCCCCATGTTGCAATATGTAACATATACATCAACTATTTTCAAGTAACCGTGATCCCTAAAAATAAGGTGATAGTAGTGAAGCATTTATAAAGGACCCAATCAGTTCTAGATTACCGTCAAAGAATATTATCCGTACGAAAATACTCAGACCATAGAACACCAGTACGCACTTGAGTAAGAAGTAGATTCAAGCAGGCGCTCGCGCTAGGAGATATATTATTTGGCAGAAATACAAAATCCAACCTAATCTAGAAATATAGTGAAATAATTTTCTCCCAATATGTATCTGAATTAAAGTGTCTGGTTACTAGATAAAAAGAGACAACGTCTAGCGATTCCTCGGAATTCCTCAAATATCTTAACACTTCTGGACATCCTCTTAAACACCTACTTAAGCTTAGTTCGAATTATAACCTAAGGGGTAACACCCAGAAACTGGAAACACAACATAGCAAGACGGAATGTAGACACAACTTCTACTCCTTAAGAGTTGTCAAAAGCTGGAATTCGCTGCCGGCCGAGCTAGTCCAAGCGACTTCTCAGGAGTCTTTCAAGAGGCAACTTGACCTATTCTTAAGGACCAAGGACAGCATCACACTATGATTTACCAATTTCTTTTCCTCTTTTATTGTTAACATACCTAGGTTCCTGCCTGGAGGATTTCGTGATCCCCTGCTACTAGACACGGAAGCCTGTTAAGCGAAAGCTTCTTCTATTCCGTCCACAACCATTTGAACCATTTGAATCCCTTTTTCCATTGGCTTGATTACATGAGGTATTAAGAATCGAGGGGTTTATGCTCATTCGAACTCCATGCTCAAGCTTTTCAGTTTGAAGAACTTATTGTCCGCAATGCTTTGCTAGAAACAATATTGGGGTTACACATTGCAAAAGTGACTAAATCAGGCAAGTTAGTTGATGGAAGGACACAAATCGGAAGAATTTTCGAACTTATACTAACTGGTCAGGTGGATAGAAACATAATGTTCAAAACATGTGCAGAACTCATATAGTCACACTTCGCACTAATCATGAAAAGTAGTTGATGGATGAAGAACGAAATTGTAGTGGTAAATTAACCTCCAAAATAAACAATTCTGTAATACGTTGACAAACTAAAGGGTCTAGGCATTTTGGTCCGCAAAGACTTGTCACTCGCAGACCTTGTAAAAAGACTAGAAGCCGAAAGAGAACTAAAACATTGGTTAGACGCTGGCGTAAAGAACTTAAAATTTGTAAATTTTCGGGTTGTAAGGCTTTGACAGAAAATGACGTCGAACGCACTATAAGTGCAGCACGAAGCCATTTAAATATGCTCCGGATCTGTTACACAAATTCTCGAAGCGGTCTGAACTAGGTGTGCAGATTGACTCCACCAAACCAGATATAATCGCAGTCACAGAAACCTGGCTGACATTGCCTACAGATAGTATGGGATTTGATCTTGAGGGTTTTACGTTTGTAAGAGCCGACGGAATCCGGAGGCGTAAAGGAGGGGAGTAGCTCTGTTCATCAGGAATACTATCCCATTCCATTTTCCACACTATCCTATGAGAGTGGGACTTGTGAATTAGTTAACTGCAGCTTGAAATGCTAGGGACAATAGCTGCTGATCGGTTTGGTCTACCGCAGTCCAAGCTGTAAGATAAATGAAGCCTTGCTTGACAGTCTCAGTACTTGGTCTCACAGTGGTCAATGATTAATCCTAAGGGAGTTTAATGCACCAACGGTAGACTGGAAAAGTCTGAGAACTGAGTTTTCAGAAAATTCCTTTGGTCAGGAACTACTTGCTGCTGTTATCACATGTACCCTAATGCAACACGTGAAATGAGCGACTAGGTACCACCTGGACACTGAATCATCCTTGCTAGATCTCATATTGACCAATTATGAGGATAACATCACGAACTTTGACTACATGACACCCCCAGATAAAAGTGATCATGCATTTCTAACTGCGTAGATCATGTCTGTAAAAAGTGTGTACCTACCCTTGCAGAATTATACTATATTATATAGTTGTCGAAAAGCAAGCACAAGTTAACTTAACTCAGATGTGACGTCTGGAAATCAAATTCAGTAAGCATCCTCAGTATATTGGAAAATAGAGTCAAATTCAACAATTGAAACAGCTTGTGATGCATTTCGAAATATAAACTTAAAAGTTACTTCACCTCAAATCCATTGGACTACAGAAAGGAGTCCGAGAAACTCTCCACCGCAGTTTAGTAGGGAGGTTTGCAGTCTTCTCTGTAAAAGGAAGACAATGTGGATAACATTTAGGTTGTTGGGTACTGGTGAGACAAATTCTGAATATCGAGAAACTAGGAATACTTGTGCCTCGACCCTCCGTAAGTCTAGAAGGTTTTACGAAGAAAAAATTGCTAAGAAATCTAATGAATGCCCTAAACGCTTGTAATCGTACATAAACCGAAGGACAAAAAGGCGAAGAAGTATTCCGGCATAATGGAGAGACAGTAATGCTTTATCATTAGCAGAGGACGACTATAATAAAAGTCAAGTATTCTCAAACTACTTTATCAATGTATATACCGTAAAAACACTCTCCCTGTCAGTTCACACACTAGACAACGTGGCCATTAAAGAAATCGAAGTCTTTGGTCTGCTAAATTAGCTTGATATAGGCAAATCACCAGTATCCCATTAACAACATCTTAGGTTACTAAGGTAACTAGCGAACTTCGTTAGGAACCCCTTAAGTGTATGTTTTATTCTATCTGTAACCCAGGGTCGGTCACCAAAAACTGGGAGAAGGCCATTGTTAGTTCTGCCTTCAAAACAGGTACTAAGCATAAAATTGAGGACTACCGACCCGTTATCCTGACTAGCGTGGCTGTTTTAAGGTTATTCGGAAGTAGCTGTTTCGTGGTGCGCTCTTAAAAACCAAACGTTATCTATAGACGTATTCTACATTGACTTCAGCAAACGTTTTAACATAGTTTCTCACAACCGGCTGTTGTATAAGCTAAGGAATGTCGTGGTTGAGAACAATCTATTAATATGGATTACACACCTCCTAGTTGGGTGCCAACAAAGAGTACGGGTGAAGTCCAAATTGTCTAGATGGGAAACTGTGCTTAGCGGGGTTCCTCATGATACCATTTTTGGGCCAATGCTATTCCTCTTGTATGTAAGTTACTTCATTCGCCTCTTATCACAATTGATCTTGATATATGCTGGAGATGTCAAGAGATGGAGAACAATACGATGTGAGGGTGATAGCTTAGAAATCCAAAATGACCTGAAGAAATTATTCGAATGGTCTCAAACCTGGCAGTTGCCGATAAATACTTCCAAGTGTGTTGTGATACATATCGATCAGCAAGGTACAGATACATAAACGATGAATAACTCTGAGGTACCTGTTGTCCAGACGCACATAGTGACTTGGGAGCCATCGTTAGTCAAGACTTAAAGACCACTGCACAATGCCGTGCAGTAGCCGCCAAAGGTTTCAGAACCTTATGGTCAATACGTAGGGCCTTTAGCCATGTCGACGCTAAAACGTTTTTATCTTTGTACACAGTATTCGTACGTCCTGGACTTCAGCACACCATACAAGCGGCTAACCCCGCTTAAAAAAACAGAGAGCTTTTTGAAAAGATTCAGAGAACAGCAATTAAGCTAATTCCTGGAACTTAGAAGCTCCCGTATGATACCCGACTAGCTAAACTAAACATATTCCCATTGTCGTATTGAAGAATTAGAAGTGGCCTGATCATAGTTTTGAAATTGCTTAGTGACAAATTTGCACCTGATATGCCCCCATTTTTTTCTTTTCCAAAACATGGAACTTACGGGGACACTCCAAAAAGGTTCACAAACCCAGAACAAATTACTTGTCAGCTGACTATCGACTTTCCCATCAAATCATCAACGAGTGAAATTCACTGCCTCAGCACGCGAATGAAGCTTAATCTGTCGGCTACTTCAAGAGAACGTTGGATCAACTGAGAGACAATCATTGCCAGGGTTAATACAGACCAACGAGCTTCCGTTCCTTTCCAAATTGAAACTCAAAATTTGATACTGGCTTCGTTAGTTTTAGTGGGTAAATCTAGCTCAATACATTCGTTCATGCATCCACACCAGATCACGAGCGGGTTCACCGTGCTACGCATCACTTGCAGCTGCGAATCAACTCTTCCCAATATATCGACAGCCCCTAAAATATATCTTTTAACTTATTACTTTCTAACTTCGGATTTGAATGGGTTGGTATACTTTGATCATAAAAATTGCGTGTGAAGATATTCTCGAACTTCGAATATCTGTGGCGCCGTGAAACTTGTTTAGGAAGAATGTTCTCCGTATTAAGGAAAGAGCTAAACGACGAGGTAGGATTTCATCACCGCCCTTATAAAAAGATTCACATACTCGGAGTCAGGTGGAACCAATGCTTAAAGTTTAACAGAGTACTTCAGAGAGACCCATGCATGGAAAATTAAGGCTGGAACAACGCTCCTCGGCGCTGCTGAGATACCAACCATCGTACGGGTGTTTAAGTGCCACTAAGTGGTTATGAGTTCATTAACTGACTAAAATTTGTCTCATCGAGTGCTGATGGATTACATCTCCAGTTTCACTGATCTCTCGCAGGTATTCTTGCAGGGACGCATATTGTTGATTTCCCCTCCCCTCACATCTTTGAGCTGTTTCTAAAAGATTGAAGGACGCCATATCTTGCCAATTTTTAGGAGTAGAAAGAGACAGCTCACGTTTAACCACCCATCTGTTAGTCTAACTGTTATGTCCCGATAAGAATAATGAATGGTAACTTTTGCGGTCCATTTATGGATCAATACTATGCATACACTTCATCGTATAATTGTTAAATAACTAAAAAATTCATATTCTTGCCCCTCTTATTATGAGCTTTATTTTGACCTATTAAATATTATTATACGATTCACCATTCTTGAGTTATACCCTGTCTATCATTTACTATCTTCCTCATTCACGGCCACATCTGGCTGATTCTTGTACAAGTGTTGTTTCCTATTTTATGTTACGATGTAGTCTGTCTGGTTGGTATATAAACCCAGTATGCTTGAAATACATGGTTCATATTGCAGAGGCTGAGATTGGCGTTCTGGACTTAACTGACTGGGCTAGGCAGGAATCAGGACTAATAAGGAATCTAGGCTGTTCGCACGGGTTTTATGCGTCACTGGTTCGATCGATAATTCACTGCTCTGTGATTGGCGGCATCCATTGCTGAAGGTAGTGCGTCAAGCGTCAACGTTAGACCATGCTCGGGTACGCCATGTTGCGCAGGCCTCACGAGGACGAGTCAGCTAAATTAAATAAAGCTCAACACACTAAATACGATTGAAAGACATTTTCGAACCCTTTTTTTCCAACTTCTGACTAAACTGGTTTTCGCGTCTCCTTTTATGAAGTTTCTGATGACAGTGTTGGTAAGTATTTCGTTCCTCTAGGTAACCCTCGTGCTATTGATAGAACAAACCAGACAAGTAGTTAGTAGGTCTTTATTTAGATCTTCGCGCAGTCACAGTGGAGAGTGGGATTATTTATTCAGACAAACAAGGGCTCTCAACAATCAATATAAGATAATAGGGAATATAACGCTTATACAAAATAAGGAAGTGAATGAATACTTGAACAATACTGTCTTGGCATATGCTTGGTTGTTTGGGGTCAACTCTTAACCAACCAACCTAAGCTGTTACATTAGCTCCCCCCCTAGAATCGACTTCCGTAAGAACGTCGGTTCGACTAACCTATCTATCAAAAACACCTTAGTTCTGTTTACTCTACCCAAGGAAAAATTATCAACTCGCTCACTTTGACTTCCAATCAATGACGACTAACTCCGTCAGCAGTCAACGATAGTTCATAGATGTCGCTTCATTTGATAGCTTGTCAGTTTATTTTGTAGCATGTGATTTCTTCTACAACCATCGCTGACGGTTTGCTACGTGCTCACAAGAGAGTGTGGGAATAAGGAACAAGAATATCTGAGGAAGTGCCGCGAGCGGGCTACCCAACACCATGTTGATGAGGTATGATTTTTCCATGCTCAGACCGGCTATCAAATGCTTACTCACCTGTCTCTTGAGTCGCCCTTAAGTAAAAAGTAAGGAAGAATGTATTTCAAAAGTAATGGTGAAAACCGATCAAACCTGAAGTACTGATCCACTGCCTGCATAAAATAATAAGATACAAAAGGGAAATACATAAATATAATTGATAATTGTTCAGTTCCACGTAAGTGATTGGCCCCCAGAACGGATTGGTATTTTGGAAGGAAATAGGCACAGTGTAGACATCTTGTGTACGAAAAGTATGAAAACAAAAAACTCTCTTATAATGCATATATGTAAAAGTGTGAACTTGCTAGAAGTTGGACTCTTTGTCGAACCCAATTAAATGTATTACTTTGAGCCTATGATGAACAAAACTGCACCCGGGGGCACTCCAATAAGCACAGTCTCCCAGCTAGACAATTTGGAGTTCACCCATACTCTTTGTTCTAAAATATGCAATAAAATATCATATACTTTTATCTACATCTATTAGAATGAAAGAAAATGTTAATAAAAAGTGTTTTTTAAATAACTTGTTCTGTTGAGTTTTTAAGGATTTTGATTTTTTTTGTACTAATTTCCATAGATCATATTTGCGGAAGGATCAAATTTAAGGTCAATTATGAGGCAGCGGTAATACGATGTACAATGAGGAATCGCTTGAGTCCAAATTTACAGATAAAATATTCGGTGGTATATTCGTCTCGGTTAGCATTGTCATAGTGAGCTTTTTGCTTGCATTTTAACAGACGTTCAATAGATCGGTCTCTGGATTTACGTGATAGCATTATCGGATTTAGAAATACTTTTCAGCAACTACGACTGTAATGGTAACGTTTGTGGTAGTGAAAAGAATCTGAAGCCACTTTTGTTTATGAAATTCAACGTTTCTAAGTATAAGTAGGGAAACATACATGGTTTATTTATAGATACTTGCTTCACACTAATTTTGAAGACAAGGTATTATCTGTACCTGTTTGCGTTCAAAGATGTCCGGACCGTTTCATAAACTCTTCGAAGCAGCTTTCAAATTTTATAAACTCAACAGGTGTATTCTTGTGTGACCCAAGGATTCCTCCTCTGCTTTATGAGTAAGTTGGACAACATTTATTTAATATTGCTTCTACAATCTTTTTGTTGTGAGACCTAGTCATTGTGCTTACTTTATCATTTACAAACGTCTTTTTAAGAACATATGATCTATCCGGTGTATGTGCAGGGCTATGTGTATAGAGTGTGTTGGTTGAAAATTCTGTTTACTAAATCTTTAAAGATTTCAATAAAGTTTCCTGTTTTAAATTTGTTTCAGTTAAACAATTGCACATAATATCGACATCTACATATTTGTTTTTGCGAAAGTGCTTTCAACCTATTATAAATTCAGTTGTTGCAGAATTTAAGAGGACCATCCATAGTACTTGAAATATTTTTCAACTCGTTTGTACTCCCCTTGCAGCACATATGTGATTACTGCCGGTCCTAGGCCCAGGTAAAAGAGGGGAGTTAAATATGGGTTAGCGGTCCCCTCTGTAAAATAAAGGAAAGCAGAAAGCTATCCAGGATAATTAAAAGAACTCCAATATCTTTGATTTGGAGAGTTATAAGACGATTACAATAAGATTAAAACATTAAATGTTTCATTAAGTGAAATAATGCGTCATAAGATTTAAAATGATCGAAGACGCCCATAAATAAGGATTAACGGCAGCTAGCCACTGTCAGAAGTCGGTCGTTAATGCTAGATGTTAAACCATCTCACGATTATCATGGTATAGGTAGTGTTTATGTTTGCTTAGTAGTAAGATCTGTGCATTTCGGTGATAGCAATGACAAAACATAGAAATCAATTTTTTGTCTACATTTTGCATTTTATTCTTCTTAAAAAGTGATTATTTTTATAGACACATATATTTGTGACGATTAGCTGTTTTCATCTCAATTTGTTGCAAAAACTCACTAAGCGTGACTTAGCTTATATTAGTTATAGGCAATAATTTAGGTTTGCTTATTCAGAGGACAGTTTTTTGTTTGACTATTATAACGTATGAATGAATTTATACAAGACAGTTGTGTGAACAAAACAATTTATGGAAAACGTTTTACTATGTATAATATTTTGAGACTAAAATATTTAATAGCATGTGTTTATTATAGAAACCATAAACTATTTCGTGAGGGTTTTGTGTTTTCCCTGTATATAAATATATTTATGACATTCGATGGTGTATTTAGAAAAGCTTCATAGTTTTTTAACAAGCTGTGTAACTTACAACTACGCCTCCTTATTTCATTAGTGTTTCCTCGACATTCAAATCACTCAATAATTTTTGTCATTCAAAAGTTGATGTGTTAGTTTTCTTTAGTTAGTTTAAACGTCCCTACAATGCTAGCATAATACAGAGTCTTTTGAACACCCTCAGTAATTGCTCAAGCATATTTGAGGTTTGTTTTTCCTTTTCATGGCGTAAAATTCTACTTTAGAACAAGTTTGTATTATCATTTAGAGTAAGATAGTTAAGATTAAGGATAGCTAAAAATGACTAACGAACCACAGTTCTTCTTACACTTTCATCATACGATGATTGAAATTATACCACCTGACCGCTTAGTGTGATAAAACATCATTAGGGGTTATGTAAACTAAAAGCGAATACTTAATTTGGTGTAAAGCACATACTTAAGGGAGTTTATTCAAGTGACTTCAACAGTATGGAATGAATAGAATTTTAATTCTCTTAAAAATTAATTTTATTTGTTATCTAATATATCGAAACATTGAATGGAATTTTACAATACTCAATCACAGTCTGACTGGATTACTATTCAACTAAGTACTATGTAAGCAAGATATTGGACGTTTTACATAGAAAATAGGCCGAAAAAATTAATCACTTATTGATCACTATTATTACAGTCCTTTAACAGATTATATAGTTCTACATTTATCTAGTATGGCAATACTGAGAGGTGTCGCTTTTTATTTTTAAGATGATTAAGTAAACTGTAGACACTTGAATATAAAGCATCAAGGGAACTTTGTAACTGGTCTACGTGCTGATCACTTGTTAGAACTGTAATATGAAACTGGATACACCTTTACAGCCAGGTTGATACCTTTGATAATACCCTTTCTGTAGGAAATCAATCAAACTTGAATAGTTTTTAGAAATTGTTTAACTGTAGCGATGGAGTCAACTATATAAATCAATGATGTATTTTAATTTGGGTTTTCATTTCATTTAAAAAGTGAACATTTGACCAATTTCACTTCTTATGATTGTCGTGTTGTATAAAATATTTTCCGTGAATATCAAAAATCGTGAAATTAACATGGATGTATTGAGTTTTAAGATATAGTTTAGTAGTCTAGTCCATTAAGTCACA